TTGAGGAAATATATTTTATTGGGCTATAATGTTAATGTCAAGAGATATTGACTTTAATATTTAGAGATGAATAAGGTTATTTTTGGTAAGGATGTAGTCTTTGAAGAAGATCATATGTTAAAGTTTTTCTCTATAATGCTATAATTTAAGAACCTAATGATAATCATGTTGAAAAGAAAGTAAGATAAACGTAGAGATTGTGTAATGTCTTCTTAGTTCTATTAAAAGTAGAGATCAAGTTATAGAATTGTCAGATATTTTTTATTGTATTGTTGTTAGATAAGGTAAGCATGAAATGTTTTCTAGTTGTCGTGATGATTATATTACTTTTTAATTATTGAAGGAGATAGTGAGTCTACAATTTTTCAAGAGTCAATTAATTATCTTGAAAAGTAAAAGTGACTTTAGACAATGTCTGAAGAGCGAACATTCTTGAACTAAAATCACACAAAAATTAGTAAATCTTACTACATGAAAGTGAGTTATTAGATACAAATTAGTGTATAAGAAGTCACTAATAATGGTGACTAGTCACAATACAAAACAAAGCTTGTTGTAATTTTTTTTCACAAAATTAATATAGAGATCTTTTTACCTATTGTGAAACACATCTATTTGCTTAGTATTAGCCATTATCACACATGAAGATATAGAACTTAAGTAGTTGAATGTGAAGATAATATTTATTTATGGAGATTTAAATAAAATTATTTACATATAATAACCAAATGATTTTATTATGTATGAATTATAATTTATTATTTATTGATTGAAGAAGTCTATTTATGAGTTGAAGCATATATCAAGATAGTGATACAAAAAATTTGACTCTTACATGTTGAAAATTGACTACATAATGTACAATTTTGGCTAGTGTGTTGATATGAAAACTTGTGTTGATAGTTCTCTAATTATTTTGATATTCTATGTTGATGATATATTTATTATTTTGAAGAATTCATATGAGATTATTAAGTTAAATGTATTGTTGAACAATGAATTTAACATAAAAGATCTTAGTGTGACAAAAAATATTTTTGATATGAAAAGATTCATAAAGTCTAGGAGTTAGGTCAACTATAGTTGACTTATAATAGTTATCTCTTGAAGGTGGTGAATCGATTTAATATGAGTAATACTAAAATAGTGGAAACTCTTTTGACTAGTCATTTTATATTATCAATTACTTAGTGTTGGACATCTGAAGAAGAAATAAATTTATTATGCTAGTGCGATTGACTCTCTTAAAAATGATGTAGTATTTATAAGACTTTGGATTTCATAATCTATTTTGACTAATAAAATTATTTTTTATAATGTTGACTTTGTTATTATAGATTTTGTTGGAGTTTAAATCATTAAAGATCTATGACGAGATATGTTTTCACAAGGACTATAGACTTATGAGCTGAAAGACTATACTTCATATTATTATTGCATTGTCTATGACTAAGGCAAAGTATATGACAACTACTAAAGCGGCTAAGGAGGCCTGATGGTTGAAGGGGTAGTTGAATGAATTTAGGATCGGACATTGTAAAGTTCTTTTACATTGTGACAATTAGAGAGTATTTACTTGATAAATAGTCAAGTCTACCATATAATATCAAAACATATTAATGTGTCATATCACAAGATCCATGAATTGATGAATTCTAAAGATATCTCTTTAGAGAAGGTTCACACAGAGAAGAATGTCATAGATATATTGATAAAGGTCGTCATAATGGAGAAGTTCAAACATTACTTGATTTTGATTTATGTTGTAAATAGTTTACAAAAAGTGGAGAACTTAGAGTATAAATGAATGATGACCCTACATGCAACAATGATGGTTGCTAAGGTAAAGAGTTTGTTAATGGTGTCAACCCATCACATTTAATTTGTTCAAAAGACATGAGAGGAGTCACTTTTTGTCTAACTTGTTCAGGGGACATGTGAGGAGTGAGGAGTAGTGTCACAATTGTCACCTTATCCTTTTGACTCATTTAGGGGTCAAGTAGGGAGAGAGAGTGGAAAATGAGGGTGGTTGAAACCATCACCACCAAGATGTGTGGGCTTGCCCGTATGTTTGTTGAAAATACTTCTTTTTAGGGTCTTTTCACTTTTTTCAATAAATAGAGCATATATTTCTTTTTTTATGAGTATGATGAACAACAATAATTTATCTCTTTTGATTTTATTCTCTTTTTTTTCAACTTTCTTTCTCTTTTTTGTCTATCTTCTTATTTATATTGCATGTGAAGTCCTTATAGAAGAAAATAAAGAGTCTATTATTAACTCTCCAGTGTGTGGTCATCTCAAAGATGTTGAGATGTAGATTAAAGGTATTTAGTGGAGGTGTCATTTTCATCAAAATTCTTGATAGCTTAGTGATTTCTCTTATATTTTACTCACTAATATTTAGAAATTGAGTTTCCACTATTATTGTGAGTATGTGTTTACATATTTATTATAAGTTTGTGGTCTTCTAATAATCTTTTCTTCTTTCCATCTATTATATTGGAGAGCTTTTGCATCTCTAATCTGTCATTGAGATATCAGAGAAATCCTTGCAAGTTGCCATTGTTGAAGCTACTATACTCCACCGAATAGTTTATTATTATCTTAAAGAAATCACAATAGTTATAGTGATGGATTGTCTTCAGGTAGGGGGGGGGGGATATCCACACTACTTTATAGATGCCATGATCTCCACCTCAGCTGATCGACGAAGAATTAAGAGAAGACATTCAACATTACTTTCTCAGAAGCAGCTGATCTTGTACAAAAGAGTAGTCACATAGTAGGACCATTGAGTGGCCAATTGTAGCAGTCCTAAGACGTAAGTAGGTGGTGGGAACAGGCTGAAGGCGGGGAGGGAAAGTTTCTTACATACTATATTATTTACAACATGTAGTAGGTGGAGTTTTTAAAATGTTTACTACATCAATATAGCTCTAGTAGAGGGAAGAGAGAGAAAAAAGTTTCTTACATATTTATTGTGATTGCCATAGTAAAATCTCATAGGAAAATATCTTGGATGACAACATTTCATTAAGTTGATGACACTTCCATGGCACATCAACTAGTGGTTTCTCTTGATGCCATACTCTCCACCTCAACTGATGATTGGCGATCAATGGAGAATTGAGAGAAGATATTTGGCATTATTTTCCCAGAAACAGCTAGTCTTGTACAAGAGAAGTAGACACGTAGTAGGACCATCGAGTGGCCGCATCAATTGTAGCCGTCATGAGCCATAAGCAGCTGGTGGGAATAGGCTGCGGGTGGGGAGGGAGAGTTTCTTACATAATGCATCATTTACTGCATCAGTTGTAGCCATGGTAGAGGGGAGAGAGAGAGAGAGAAAGAAAGTTTCTTACATATTTATCACAATTGCCATCGTAAAATATCATAGGAAAATATTTTGTCGCTTTCATAGTACATCAACTAATGATCTCTCTTGATGGCGGCACCAGCATTTCATGTCGACATGATTAATTCAAACGGTTATATATCGAATAAATGAGTGCAATTTTTTAAGATAAATATTAACAAGTTTAGGTTTTCCTCACAAATTAATGGCATATTTTTCTTCTAATTATAGATCTCATGATCTTATGTGACAACTGAAGTAAAATGATAGCATTTGAGTGCATAAACAAAGAGAAAATATCCAAAGTTAATGAAGAATTAATTGTTTTTGGTTCTATTATTAATATTATAGTGTGATTTCTGTCTTAAAATAGGCAGAAATTAGGTGTTAAGACTGCTAAATAATCGGATCAACAAAGATGTGAATGAGCAAACTTTGTATGTGGACACGAATTTACATTCTCACCTGATGATAGTAACATCATTTCATGTCACCATGGTTATTTAAGACAATTATACATTGAATAAATGAGTGTAAATTTTAAGATAAATATTTATTATGTTTAAGAGATGGCCCAACCATTCTCTGATGAGTAGCCTATCCCTTGAGGTCAGCCATCTTCTAGAGTTTCACCGTCATGATTTTTCTGTCCTACGGTACGAAGTCAGCAGGCTCTATGTACACCAGGTTGGCTTTTGAAGCGTTAACCTATTGCCATCTTCATTTGGTAAAACCCTAGGATGAAAAAATCATGACGGTGAAACTCTAGAAGATGGCTGACCTTAGGGGACATGCCGCTCATCGGAGAACGGCTGGGCCATCTCTTAAACATAATAAATATTTATCTTAAAATTTACACTCATTTATTCAATGTATAATTGTCCTAAATAATCATGGTGACATGAAATGATGTCACTGTCATCAGGTGAGAATGTAAGTTTGTGTATGCATACAAAGTTTTTCATAGGGGGTAGTAATTATTTTCCTACTCATTCACATCTCTATTGATCCGATTATTTAAGAGGCTTAACACCTAATTTCTACCTATTGTAAGATAGAAATCACACCATAATATCAATAATAGAGCCAAAAACAATTAATTCTTCATAACTTTGGATATTTTCTCTTTGTTTATGCACTCAAATGCTATCATTTCACTTCAGTTGTCACATAAGATCATGAGATCTATAATTAGAAGAAAAATGTGCCATTAATTTGTGAGGAAAACCTAAACTTGCTAATATTTATCTTAAAAAATTGCACTCATTTATTCGATATATAACCGTTTGAATTAATCATGTCGACATGACATGCGGGCGCGGCCATCAAGAGAGACCGTTAGTTGATGTACCATGAAAGCGACAAGATATTTTCCTATGATATTTTACGATGGCAATCGTGGTAAATATGTAAGAAACTTTCTTTCTCTCTCTCTCTCTCCCCTCTACCACGGCTACAACAGATGCGGTAAATGATGCATTATGTAAGAGACTCTCCCTCCCCGCCCGCAGCCTTGTTCCCACCAGCTGCTTACGGCTCACGACGGCTACAACTGATGCGGCCACTCGATGGTCCTACTACGCGTCTACTTCTCATGTACAAGACCAGCTGCTTCTGGGAAAGTAATGCCAAATGTCTTCTCTCAATTCTCCGTCGATCGCCGGTCATCAGCTGAGGTGGAGAGCCTGGCATCCGTAGGGTTTGGCCTGCCGTTCTCTTCGCTCGTCGTCCCTTCATATCTCGGAACCACCTGCAGGGAACAGGTACAATCAGGGAACGAGATCGAGATCACTCGTCAGAATGAGCGAGCGAGAGAGAGAGTGCATATGCAGACGACGTCGGTTACAATTGCAAAAGAAGAACCAAAAGGAAGATCGCCGTACTGACATATCTGGGGAAAACCCCAAAACGTCTGTACGGTCTGGAGAGTTTTATTGGTGGGGTTGTTCGCAAAAACGTGGAAGGCGGTCTCATCGGCTCGGGGATCATTCATGAAAAGGCAGATGATAACAAACCTGATCTTCCTGCAGCTGAGGGTCCGCCTGACGCCGGTGCCAGCGTTTCCTTGTCTTGCCGTGACTCTCCACGATGTCTGGGTTGGAGAAACGAAAGGAAAAAGATGATCAGCGATGCAGATGTAGTAGACAAGTAGTCAGGTGGTGCCAATCTCCCCCCCCCACTTCCCCCCCGAGAGACAATCCATCGCCAGAATTGTTGTAATCCAGATTCCGTGACGGATCTTCTCGTCGGCGAAAGATGAGATAACGAAAAAAAGAAGGGAAGTGAGCAGTAATGAAGGTTGTGATCTTATTCCACTTTCCCTCATCTACAGGTGAAACAGGAACCAATCTCTTGCTCCTAAACAGTCAAACGTAACAGCAACGATAAACTCTTCGGTGGAGCACGTCAGCCCCAAAGGCGGCAACCCGCAGTGATTTCTCCGATCTCCCAAGGACAGATCGGAGACGCAAAGGCTCTCCAATAGGACGGATGTGAAGAAGGAAAGACCATCGGAGGACCACAGGCTCCGGATCCTACCTGTCCGACCATGGCGGTGGCGCGCCACTGCTCTCTGGCTCCCGCTCTTGCGCGATCGGCAGTCCCTGGTAGAATCCTCACCGTCTGGCATGTGCCGATCGAGCCGCAGAGGCTCCGCATCCGGCCTGGTGACGCCTGATCCGAGCCTTCCTCCCATCATCATCCACCTAACGAAGGAGTCCTCCAAGCAATTGAGGAAGGAGGTGTGTTTCTCGTCCGTCCATGCCGCTCCAGAGCCGCCTTCCTCCACCAGATCTTCCATCGATTGATCGGCTTTCTCTCTTCCACAGAAGAATAAGCGGGAATGCTCCCCCGGGGGCTCTGCAGCGTTTCCACAGTAACCCTTTATACGGCAGCCCCCGCCCCCACAAACCCAGCCTGGCGCCGATAATGTAGCGGCCCCCGTGAAATATCTTCGCAGCAGGTGAGCTATGGCGTCCACGTGGCCTCAGATATTTTTCATCATCGACCATCTCGGGAATCGCGACAGATAAAATAGAGAACCAAAAGCGTTTTGTCGACTAGACTCCGATCTGGCGGCAGACTGGATAAATATCCCAACGCTGTGACGTCGACATCTTCCCTCCTCTCTCTCTGTCTCTCTCTCACCTCTCGTTGTGTTACGTCACATTTGTCTTCATCAGCGTGACAAAATAGAGACATTTCCTATTTTCCCAGATTCCATAATTCTAAGAAAAATATTAAAATATAAAAAATGGCGACAAAATATGTGCTCTCATTGCTTGCATGGTTCAGAGGATGACCGACAGATACCCTCCACGGCGGCTTCTCCTGCGCCTCCCGGCGGATTCCTATCGTCGCCGTGCCATTGATGTCCAGCACAGGATGCGCGCTGCATCTTGCTGGCTAGTCGAGGGAAGGCGCCAAGATGGCGCGTGGCATGATGTCGCAGACGCCGAACAGCCAATCCGACTATTCGCAATTTCACCATATTAAACACGCACGGGCACACGTTTCCCGCCCGCTGTGAGACCGGGAGTCGTTCCCCAGAAAGTCAACGCCGTGTCGGGTTACGAATCTCTCGCTCCGGCTGTTAGGGCCCGCTTCACGCTGCGTACATCATACGTGGACGACGCGGCGAACCTCATTTCCTTAACGCTTCCCCCTCCTTTCCTGTACCCTTCTTCCTGTCCTCAATATATACCAGGGTGCAAACCAGAGAGAGAAAGAGAGAGAGAATGGAGATTCTGGACATCACGGTGCTGTCGGCAGAGAAGCTGAGCCTGGGCCAGCGACCGATAAAGAAGAACGCGTTCGTGGCGCTTCGGACGGACTCTCAGAACCAGGCGACCACGGCCCTCCGCGCCGACGGCGGCAGCTACCCGCACTGGAACCAGCGGCTGACACTAGCGATGCCGCCCTCGTCGCGCTCCGTCACGGTGGAGGTGCGCTGCAAGACGGGCGCCGACGTGCGGACCCTCGGCCGGGTCACCATCCCCGCCGCCGACTTCCACGGCGGCCTCCTCCCCGCCGGCTACCTCCACTTCCTCAGCTACCGCCTCAGAGACCCCCACGGGAACCACAATGGGATTATTAATCTCTCCGTCAGAGTACGGCCCGCGCCACCGCCACCGCCACCGCCGCCGCCGGCGCTTCCGTGGGCGGGGGCCGGAGTTGCACTGCCCTCTTTGGCCGCAAACTGGGAGAGCATGAAGTAATGCGATCCACCTCTAATCTATCGATCAAAATTATCAAAAGTAAAAAAAAAATTATCATTTTAGATAGCGCATAATTCAGTCGTCTCGCGGCACCCAGAATCATTCATTCTTGTTTTTAACTACTCATTCTGGGATATTTCCCGCGTTATTTTAAAAAAATCATACGTACCAAAAAAGTCGCTCTTGCCGGGGAACATATATGATAAGGAAGCCGTTGACCTTTCCATCCACGGCGTTGAATTGGTCGCGACGCGGTTGACTGTTAAGCGTATAATAATGGGTGGAGGAGGCTCGCGTGATCCATTTGACGAGTCTTCGGGTCGTGTTCGCACTCATTTTATAGGGAGCGTATCGATTAAATGAATTCTTTTGATGCAAAAATTCTGGAATTATTTTAAATGAATATAAATAGATTTATAATTTTATAATTCTCTAGACGTGTACTTCTGTGGCGACTTGACACGCGTGGCCTCCCTTGCCCAGTATATTTTATTCTCCATAATAAATAAATAAATAAGCCAATTGGGTCGATCCCGTCTCATCACGATCACGCCGGCCTATCCGATCCGATGGCAGCAGGTTGATGGGGCAATCGCAATTGGCCCAGATACCCCCAGACAGGCCGACCCATATCTGTCTTAGCCCAAACTCCTCCTACTGGATTGGGCCACAGTGCTGAAGCAAGAGTATGTGGGGACGCGTGAGAAGGGGAGGAGCGAGAGAAGAAACCCCTAAACCCAGCTTCTTCTTCCACCTTGGCTCGTCCACGGTGATCTCCCGGAGCACTAATGGCGGCTTCCAGCCGGAGGAGTCTGGCTTGCAGCTTCTACCGCATCGCCCGGCGCTTCAACTCCTCTCTTGCCCACCTCGCTTCCTCCGATAGAGATGGGAATGAAGATCACCATCCCCAGCCTCCCCCTTTTGAGGCTACCTCGCCTTCGTTGTTCTCCTCCCACGCTTCCCGTCACTTCTTCTCCGCTCAACGGTCTCTTGCTGGTTACCCCGGTGACTTTGGTGTCCTCTCCCGGGATCGGAGGGGTATCGGCTTCTCCCTTTATCCAGGGCTCCAATCGTCAGTCTGCAGGTACTACTCTTCCGGTCCCGGTGGATCCGGTGATGTCGAGTACATGAAGGACATCGCCACCGTACTGACGGACAAGAGCGTTGATGTGGCTACCGGCGCCGTAGCACAAGTCGCTCCTGTGGCCAGCGAAGTAGCGTTAGCTGCAGCTGATTCTGCTATTCCTGTCGCAGCTCTCCAGCACTTGATAGATGCCGTCCATTCGTTCACTGGTCTGAATTGGTCAGTGGGTTTTCGACTTATTGATCCTGCGTACATATTACTGCAATTTACGTCGGCGTTCTACTCATCCGACAATACATCCGATGAATGGCCTGTTTAAACCAGGTGGGCTGCCATTGTCCTGACGACTGTTTTGATTCGGACAGCCACTGTCCCGTTGCTGATAAATGGAATGAAAGCTTCAACTAAGCTGAGTGTATGCTTCTACCTCTCTCTCCTAAGGATATTTTTAATAGATCTCTCGATAAAAAATATATGTATCATGAAAGATCTTTCTAGGTTCGAATCGGTATCACTCTGTGATTTTTTAATAGAAACAGTGCACGTAGAAGAATGATGTAGGTACTAGTAAACCTACCATTATTACATGATCCCATTGGTGTAGCCCATGGAATTGGGTGGGAGCTTTGGCAATGGGATCAGTCTTATGTTTTCTCTCTCAATGTCCTCCCCTGAATTTTCTGATAATTCACGATTTCTAGTACAGATGTTTAAAAAAAGGTTTATTTTATTCTTTCAAAGATATGTAGTTAGTACAGAGTCTATACAGGCGGCTAGACCTCTGTGGAAACATTGTGCTCAGAAATACACAACTGTTGATTGCCAGGTCGTATGTATGCCGAACAATCTGTTCCTTCTGTTCTATAAGGCTCATCTTGCCATCATGAGCACGCTCAAGAATGGTCATGAAAAATTTTCTTGGGTCTTGAGCCCTTTTTGAGAGACGCAAACGTAATTGAGGCCTCTAATGACAGTGTTTAAATGTTCATATATCAGTGAATATTGCAGAAAGTTTATGTGACAAAGTTAAATTTAATTTAAAATTGATTTTCAGTTTTATTGAAAGAAATAGGAAAATGGCTTCAAACATTATGCGAGAAAGGTTGCGAGAATGTCACTGCGTTTTTTTTGTTTTATTATGCAGAGATAAGGTGACGGCCTTATAATAAGCACTGCGTCAAGTTCTCTTCTTGTATAGTTATTATATAACCAAATGAGGAAGTTTTTGTCTGTCTTTCTTGGAATATTAAGGTTGGGTGCATATACAAGATGTAGCTGTGACACTAGAAATCTCATTGATGTCATATGTCTACGCTTGACTGTATACCCATCATTTTTCACAATATCATGGTTCCAAGTGCTACTAATGGCCCAAACCTCCAGATAAATACATCCTTCAAACTGTGGGATAATTTCACTTCCTTAAAAGGAATGCTAGGACTACCCCTGGATATCGGTGCTGAACACAATCCAGTTATTTAGACACAGGCCTCTGAAATTTTAAGCAGTCCCACAGTTGGTCCTTAACCGTTTTCATATATGCATCTGTATTTAGACTATACACATTCCAGTTATTTAGAAGTGGGCCTCTTGATGACAACTATTTTCATTGAGATTTCTCAGATCTTTGCAAGTAATGAAGAAAACAACCGCAGATTCCGTAATAACTTAAAAATTATGGATTTCTAGGAGTATCTAAACAATATGATTAAAATAATGGACGGTGTATGTCTTTTTCTCAATTTTATGCATTATTTTTCACAAACATCAATGCATTGGCTATCAAAGTTCAATTAGATCAAAGCTATATTTTTCAGTAATTTATCCCGTATTTGTATTATAATTTCCTGACAAAAGACCATAGACAATTACATTTACCATGCCTATGCTATTCAGAATTCTATGGTCATTGGATCATGGTTACTTTGCCATGCAAATTTAATATATTTTTCTATTATTTTAAGCACGAATTCTATGGTCATTGGATCATGGTTACATTGGATCATGCTATTCAGAATTCTATGCGTCGTTTTTGGTGTTAAAAGTATCCTTATTTTTTTAATTCACTTCGACTTCTTTTTAAATGTTAAAGATAGTCCCTCATTTGTAATCATCCCTGTTCTCTTCTTTTTCATGTACAGTTAATGAGACCACACCTGGAGGAGATCAAGGAGAAAATGCAAAACGTAATTTTTTTTCTGGGCTAGAGTCGAATATTACGAATTCGAGCCATAACATATTTTGGAAACGGGGGCAACCATTTTCAACCTCATTGTTGCCCGGTTTTTATCCTTTCAATCATTTAGATCAACAAAAACTCTACATCATCTTATGCAAGCTATACATTTCTTTGTTCCTAACATATGCATCTTTCTAAATTTTTATGCTTTTCCAGAGTACTGATCCACAAGCTATTCAAGAGAGTCAGAAACGAATGAAAGAACTGTTTAAACAGTAAGTTTTATTTAGTTGCCATTACAGATTCATTTTGCTGTGTTCTGGGGTTACATCAAAACTAGAACATGATGTTGCTGTTTAATACCATATATTCTAAGAAGTAGAAAAAAACGATCACGAGGCTGTATAAACTCTTACTGCAGATAATCCTTCTTCACAATGATTCGGAAATGGGTTGGAGTCCCTGCATCATGTGTTCCAATTTGAGCAGAAATTTCTCAGATGGTATTAATACTGTTAAATCTGATACCTTAATATTTATAGAAATCTTATTAATACTGTTCCAATAAGTCTCCAGTTACATTCAGGCTAGATTGATGAGGAGAGACTGGTGAACAAAAGACAGTAAAAAAAAAAAAACTTGAACCCTATGGCTGACATTTGTAACCTGATATATCCTTCCAAGCGTGCTAAAACCCTGACTCTGGTCTTATCCTGGTATGCCCATTCATAATCTGTTCGGGATTGCTGTCTGGGCCATCAGGAAATTGCAGTGCCATTTCTTCACTCGTCAAGCCCTCATGTTTAAGTACCCATTTTCAGATGCCTCTGCTTGCTGTGTAGTATTTTTTGAACGTTTTATTTTATGATGGATATCTTTTTCTTACAAATGTAAAGTAAGGTTATACTAGTATACTTTCAAGAAAGGTAATAAAAATAGTATTTTGTTGGATTAGCATGTTTTCTTTATTTTTTTGAATAGTTTAAAAAATTTGAGAAACCACCTCTGAAAACGCTTTTAGGTTTCAGAAGGCTTTTGTTGTATGCTTTGAGAGGCTCATATGTGATAAAATGGGTGACTGCAGTGTTTTCATTTTCCAATGTCAACTGAGAACCTTGTCCACCCTTGTAAGCTTAAGAAAAGAGAATGAATATGCCAGATCAAATCAGTTATGTGGGAAAGAAAATACCCTAGGTCTACTAATCCCTCTCGAACTGACAGTTCTTGATTTGATGTTATGTGTCGAGCTTAAGGTGTGTTTTATCAACCCCTGTAACTTGCAGCTGAATGAAAGGAAGAAGACTCAAATCCCTTTTATTGAACTATATCTTGGGTGTTAAAATGTTTATTTTTCTTTAAACTGGTTGAAAACCAATGTTTGTCCTCCTTATTTAACATATAACTACGGCTTCATTATTTATAAAACATCATTTCATACTTTATATTTTTGGGCAGAATGGACCTCCCTTTTTCCTCTTGATTGGACGTAAGTTCAGACAATCCAGATACTCAATCTGGATCCAAAGTGCTTCGCACAGGTGCCTGAGCTTGCTATTGTGGCTAAGTCTTGGATGTCTGTTCCAGTGCCATTGGACTTAGTGTGCAGGGAACAGCAGTGACCACAGCCCAGTTCTTTTCTCTGCCAGTTACCACGCCTGTGTTATTCGTGATGCCTCTTTCCACTATATATATTTGAATAAAAAATGTTGAAGTTTCACAGACTATCCCGCATAGCAGCACCTCCTCTCTCTCTCTCTCTCTCTGCCTTTTTTCTGACCAAATTGGAAAGGTTCGTCTTGTAATTGTCTACACCCATCAGATGATTTTACTTGTCTTACTCAGTTTGTTACTTAGATTGCCAAAAATTGCGACAAATAATATAATTTTTTTGGAATATTTGTCCTTCATTCTTTTTGTTTGTTTCCTTTGTATGCCACCTGAAACGTCAGCATCTGTCATTTGAGCTATGAATGTTTAGTAAGAATGAAAACATGTGTTGTTTTAAACTTTACCCATGGAGTGTGGAATCTTGAAAAAAAAATTACAGTTAACTTTTGATCTATTGTTATCTCACTTGTTGTCCCATCAAATTTATACTGAAGGCATGGGGTCACTCCATTTACTCCTCTGAAGGGACTTTTTATTCAAGGGCCTGTTTTCATCAGCTTTTATTTAGCTGTAAGATTTCAAAGTCCTCTTTCCCATAAATTATTTGAATTTAAAGTGTCATTTTATCTGTATTTAAGCTAAAAAGAATGCACTCAAAAGTTCAGGCACTAATTTATAATAGTTGTTTTTGCTTGTAGATAACGAACATGGTTGAGAAAGTTCCGTCTTTTAAAGATGGTGGAGCTTTCTGGTTTAGTGATTTAACTACTGCTGATCCTCTATATATGCTTCCAGTATTGACATCACTTACGTTCCTGGCAACTGTGGAGGTAAGCATTGATCTTCCAATCATAAATATGTACATGTGAAAAGGAGAATCTTTTAACCGTGGAAGTAACCTTGACAAACATTTTCAATGACAAATTCTACCCTTTGTTCATTTATTTTTGCTTCTGTGGTTATAAATGTAGATCATGACTCTTGCTACAGTCAAGATATAACATCTGCTTGTTATCAATCATATCATTCCCTAGTTTTAGTTCGTCAACGTCCCCTGTCCAGCCTATGGAAGAAATTTCAAGTGAAACTTCGACTATCCCTCCTTGAATGGTTGGAGGGAGGAAAAAATGAGGCGAACAGGGTGTAGAATGAACAAAGAAGAAGCAAAAGTAGAAGGAGAAATTCCAGGCTGCAGCCATCAGAGTATGTTTAAAAAAGGAGATTGCTGCCACTGTTGCTGCAGCAACAATTCAAAAATGTGGAAGAAAAAAACTAAGAACTGTTTGTGGCCACCAACGAACTACATTGCTCACCTCTTCTCCTAGAAAGGTAGAGGGGAGAAGTCAGTGCTTGAGAGCTAGCAAAGATTGAAGTATTTCAAAAATACCAATTTTTAATAATGTTGAGTCATACACTCTTGTGCTGCGAAACTATCCCTGATCTAATTTTTTAAACAAACTGGCCATTTCCCTTAATCATGTGTATTAGAGTCGGCTTATCAAGCATTCCTTTTGATCCTGATTCGACTGTGGCCACTGGGCTCAGATAATTCCAGGCTGAGCTGGACCTTCTCTAGAAGCCCCCCTAGCTTTTTACAAGCTAATGAGAAAGCAGAGGGGTTGACGTTGAAGATTATGGGAGGTGGAGGATGAAGAAGAGTGGAGGAAAAATGATAAAAGAAGAAGAAGAATAGGATTGATTCATCTTTTGTTCCTTCTGCACCCTGCTGTGAGGCACTTGTGAACCGAATGGGATTTACGTCTGTATTGGATTGGTTACTTAGATCAGCCTTGTGCATTGCAATCTGGATGGGAATCAGACTGGGAAATATAAATTAGTTGATTCTTTGTGTCGAAAATCTTGATCCTTCTCTAAAATCAGGCTCGCAGGGTTCAATTCTGCCAGAATTCAACTCAATCTGATCCGTATTCCCCCTTGTGAATTGGAATTAGTTGATTATGCAGAGACTTTCTGATAAATGAGAGGGATATTGTATAAGACACCATTTATCAACTTAATAAAATAATTGTGAATACAATTCAAAAACAATGTAAAAATGCATTTTGGTATACTTAGCCTTTTTGGGGATACTTCTTTCAGATCAGTTAATTTGTATATCTGAATGATCAAAGCTCCACAGCTCTTTGTCATATCACCCTGCCCTTATCTTTCGTATTGGTTGTAAACTTTATAGTTAACTATCCATCCATTACCTATGTTGAGGTTGCTCGTCGCATTTGATTTTCGTTATTGCATGATTATCGAATTAGTCTGTTAGTTTTGCAATAATTTGGTTAGGTTTTAATCTTAACAAGGCAGAAACACTGATATGCTGATTGTTTATTATTTATTCATTTATTTGTACTCTCTGATTTCCTCGTATAATTTTGTAATTCAATGCGTGTTTGAATATCTTTTATGTCGTAGTTTAATATGCAAGAGGGTATGGAAGGGAATCCAATGGCTAGCACCATGAAGAACTTCTCCAGAATTCTTGCTTTCCTTACAATTCCGTTTACGTCAACGTTTCCAAAGGTATTTTGCATTTCTACTACAATTTTTTTTTCATCTTCTCTTCAACTCACATCAGTATCTAGTGAGTACAACACGATGGAGCATTTTATTTTTCGTTGAACAGATGGATAATCATTATTTAATGAAGAATTATGTATTAATCCCTGCCATCAATACTGCATCATTAGACTATGTTCATAGGATATCCTTAGTCGTCCAAAGTTATCGGAAGACAATAAATATTCGTAATCATCACATTATATGCAATATGGAAAATACGCCAAAGTTCGTGCATGAAATAACAGATTCATGCTAAGAAACTAGCGTTCAACTCCGAAGTCCAGATTTATTGGATATTCAATGAGATTACGAGCAGATGATATCTTTTTTTAGCTTTGAAATCTTGTTAAATGTTTCATAAAGGTGCCGTGGCGAGCAGATGATCACCTTGTACGGTTGGTCTAAAGCTCGTTCTTATGATATCCAGTAGCGAATCATGGAAAGGTGTCTGACTGAGCCTTCGTCATTCTGCAGGCTATCTTTTGCTATTGGATCACTTCCAACCTGTTTTCCCTCACATACGGAATGGGTGAGCTTCTGAACCCCCCCCCCCCCTCCCCTGCCCCCCCCTCCCTCCTCCTCACTCACTCAGGAGGAATCCTTTCATGGTTATAATCGTCGGTCTGTCTTATATTTTGGGCAGTCCTCAAGCGTCCGGCAGTGCGCACGTTCCTGAGTCTTCCGGAAATCTCTGCTCCCCAGCGCGCCGCTCCTCCCCCACCCAGCTTTCCTCTCTTCGGGGGATCCAAGCAGGCAGCAGTAGAGACTGCTGATTCTCCGTCCTCTTCCTCTGAGGAGCGAAAGTCATCTTCAGTCATCAACCAGCGGATTCGGCAGCTCGAACGAAGAGTCAAGAGTCGGAACAAATCGAAGAAAAGGTAGATGCCCTGCCGCAATTCTCTAGCTTTCCTGATTTTTCTGCCCAGAGATCCCAAGCCGACAGAATAATAACCTCAAGCGGCAGTTTTAGAAGATAATGATATGACTTCTTCTTTTTTTTTGCCTCTATTTGAGGTCGGGTGATCCTAGTTTTCCAAGGATGAGAAATATATGCTGTATTCAAATGGCACAATTTCTGTTTATTTCCAAAAAAATTTATAAGGGGGGGCGGCTTTCTTGATAACCCTTTTCATGGTGGTTGTGAATCACTTGGCTCTCCAGCATATACGAATCTTATATTAATGCACCAAAATTTGTTTATTGGTTGACTTCATGCCAATGGTCAGCTATTTATCATGCCGTCTAGATTTTTATATGCAAATATTTGGGAGCTTTATCATTCGTCCACATTGTCTGTAAATAGGTAGTAAATCTTATATTTTTTTCGATCTTGTGGATGGGTTTATTCACTTTGGTTGACTTCATGACGATGGTCAGCTCTTCATCATGCTCGTCATGCCGTCAAGATTTTTACATGCAAATATTTGGGAGTTTTATTCTTCGTCCACATTATTTGTAAATGTGTAATAAATCTTATATATTTTTTATATCTTGTGAATGCATTTATTCACTTAGTTCAGTAAAAAAAAATGTGGTTTTCTGGGAAAGGTAGTTAAATTTAGTTATTTTCTGAATTATTGGAAGAAGTTATTTTTTTGGTAAAAAGAAATAGAATTAGAAAGGTAGTGGATAATTTTTGTATCTGATTAACCATTTTCCAAGTAACCATGTGTTTGGTGGCTGATTTTACTCTAGTAGTTGTTTTAAGAAGTAATTAATTTTAAAATTTATTAAAACCAAATTTCTGAAAATTATGCTTTCAATTATTTATAATGTGTAGTGGAGTTGAGTTGATCCACAAAGAAAAATTGATATTATGTGATGCACGAATATTTTCTATTAAATGTTTGGGTGAGGTGAAAGACAAAAAAGGAATGAAAAAGAAGTAGATTTAAAAACTTTTTTACATCTTTCACAAATTCAAAATCGAAGGAACAAAAGGAAAAATGATACAAGAAATATTATAAATTTGTGAAAAGTGAGAGGTGAAAACACTTCTATTAGTTAGTTTATTGGTAGATTACTAAATTTGTGTTTGAGAGGGAACCTTAGATTGTATTGACAACTATAAAAAATATACAGTTAGTGTGTTGAAATTCAATGACTATTGAAAATACCAAAGTCTATTATTTTCAGCATTCGTAAAAAAGATTATTAAAGCACTTAATTCGAAGCTTGAGAGTGTAGGTGTTGCTGTTGTTCTACTTGTCACATAGTAAAGCAGCTCACAACCACTGTTGTTGTTGTTGCTGTCGTGAACGTATTGTTATCATTGTTGTCGTTACTAATATATTCATCTCCTCTTGTACATGTCACGTCAAATAGGAGTTCACAGTCATTACCGTTGTTGTCACCACTATTGCTCTCACTGTCATGAGCACCACCATCGTCATGCTCAGCCCCTTCTTTGCCTGTCACACAGAATGAGACTCAGCATTGTTGATGTTGTCGCTGCCATCATTGTCGTGATTTCTAGTTCTTCAGAGAGCCCTAATTTCTCTTAATCATGGGCCCCTTCCCCTTTTTCTCTCTCCTCTCTCTCCTCTCTCTCCCTTTAAATACCCCTCATTAGAATAGGCTGGCATGAGGCTTAATAGTGGGCCAATTGTAATGGATCCGTTGATTAACTCATTAAATACTTTAAAATAATAGAAAATTCATTTAAAATGTAAAGTATCATTTTTCTAATTTTTCTATATGTAAATATAAATTTTCATATTGGAATACTCAATATTACCTAAAAAACATTTTATTTTATTTTAATATATATGTTATAAAATATATAAAAATCAATATTTTTTATATGTAATTCAAAAATAATATAAAATCACATAAAAAATATATTTACATTGACCATGTGCTTTCATTGAGACATTTAAATTATAATGATATCAAATATACATATCCTATCATATAATATTGAGGTTATATCAATGGCCATTGACCAAGAGACACGTACCTACCTTGTGGGTCAAACTTGGTGACTAACTACAGTCTTTGTTACTTGATGATAATGACAATGTTGACTACGTAGGATGAGGTGAATAGTCTGTGGGAGAAGCCCTCAACAATTCCTCCGTACCCACCTCTCTCTCTCTCTCTCTCTCTCTCTCTCTCTTCCCATGAGGTGCAACGTTTCTTGTTGAGAGAGATAGAGAGAGAGAGAGAGAGGATCATTTAAGGGTGTGATAGCTGGCTTTGATCCTCCCCTCAGACATCCGCCATGGGGAGACGATCATTTTGTAGGGCTGATGATGTAGAAAGAATAAAAAAGAAGAAACTGATCAAGAGCCGTGGGGCGGCGATGGCATGACAATGATCTCGACACGAGTGTTAAGATCGACGAACAAGGTCAACGCTGATGAACACGGCCTCTCGACGCCCATCATATTTGGCAGACACATCCACTTCACTTTATACAAAAAGGCCCCTCTTCCATGCAAATCCTAGGCCCCACCGAATGCGGGCATTCTCAGTTCAACGACGCCGAGAAGGGCCTCAGAAGCATGGGCCAGGCACACCCACACGCAGACATGAACAAGGTAGGTACATCATCGCGTTCTTTGCAGCAGCAGTGGCGAGAGAGAGAGAGAGAGAGAGAGAGAGAGAGAGAGGGGGGGGGGACGGGGGGGAGGCAATAAAAACGCCAGGGCATGCGGATTTTGGACCCAGTAGAAGAAGCTCTTCTAGACGTCCTCTCGGCCATGGCTACCGTCCTTTCTGATGTTGTACTTGCAAAGGGGGCAGGTGGCGTTGATATACAGCCATTTGTCTATGCAGGAAGTGTGGAAGTGGTGATTACAGGGGAGCTCCCGCAGCTCCACTCCGTCCTCGTAGGTACAAAGACAGATGCAGCACTCCTGCAGGCACCAAGACGACGATATCAAAAGACCCAGATGGGTGAAGAAATTCCCTTCTTCTCTTTCAAGAAATTCTAACTGTTTTAGGCAAGGCTGACAGGCTAGCACAGTCAACCCACCAATGTATGAGAAGAATATTATGACCGCTATAAGGCAGAGCAAAAGACCCAGAAAGAAATGACCGGCATATGTTGAAGTATTGAACTCAAAATCGCTGAGAAGTTGATGATTGGAGCGAGGACGCTAAAATCCGCCGAGTTCTTCTGATATAAATCTAAACAGAGCTCCGAAAATTCGTCCCAGTTCATTTTTAGCAAAAATGATAAAAAATCAAATTAAAAAATTGCTACCAGAGGAAAGCCCGCCCCCTTGCTTTAATTAACGCAGTTTGGGAAATGGAAATGCTATTATTCAATAAGGAACCGGACCGGGATGGAACCATAGAATTGGACTGCGTGAAGGGGATAATAATACCCAAATTTTTAATGCGGTGGTGCAGCATAATCGGAGGATATTGCCCTCAGTGACTCTACCGAAGGAGGCCCTGATGAACTGATAAAAAAAATACTGTGATGGTTGGCAGTAGGTGATGCGACGTCATTTATTTATTTATTTATTTCCTATTGTTCCTCATATTCTTACAACCCTCTGTGATGAGGGCATCGATTAGTCAGCGATGCACAGATCAAGGTCTACACTCGAAGTATATATGCCTGGACATGTGAATAATGTAAAAGCTATTTCTTTTTGTTGGTACTATCTTGGCCGTTTTTTGAAGTACTTAAGGTCTACTACTAAAGAACCGAGGATCTCCCAACCGTCTTCACTACTTTTTAGTGACACTTAAGGCCGAAATTTCTGCCCATTTTAGCGATGGGAGCTACTGGGGTTTATAGGCCAGATCTAAGAACGCCCCTCCAAAGGGCCTCATGTTGCTCCTAAAAATAGGAGGTCGAATATGATGGGAAAAAAAAAGAGGGTATTTTGAATGAAAATATTGCTCCTACCTCTTTCTCATGAAGGTCCTTCGATATGAAATCAGGGTGGTTCCAAAGCTGAGGTTAGTTCATCCTTGTTTGATCCCTAGGTTTCTTTAGGCTGCGTGAAATCTCTACACGTCCAGAAGAGCATAGCTGCTTGCCTGTTTACTCCAAGATCGTCAGGCTACAAGTCTCTATCCACGAGATCAAGGTATAATCTTTGTCATCCTATTCTAGACCTCTCATCTAACTAGTTATCAGACATTCTTTATTACTGCTGATACCTGTATCTGAGCCTCCAACAGCCCTATCTCCACATTTCCTATTCCTGTCCACTCTTAACACATCATAAATATCAACCCTACTCAGAGGAAGCTTCCATAAATCACAACCCTGCGATGTAGTCTGGTTTGGAAATAATATAATCCTACTGTGACTACCTTCATTTAAATTGAACTTTGCTGATTTCTCTTAAAATCAGTCACCTGCGTGGTGTCCTGCATTACTTTCCTTCACTTGTCTTCCCTCGTTGGGCACAAGTTGCAGCCTCTTCTTTCTCCAACTCTTCCTCTCTCTTTAAGTGGGAAGGCAAGAAGCCTTGGAAGAATCTTCAGGCAGACAAAAATGGACTGCCCCAACTGATATCAGAATTGTTTTCTGCTATACAAAACTGCAAGGACAGCTGGGTTTCAACAAAATCAGGGTAGGGGCTTCTAATTTCAATCAGAGTTAATGGGTTTAATTGAACTAGTGCTTCCTGATCTGGCAAACCTTGGCATGAATATAAAACAAGAAAATAGAGCAATGCACTAAAAATATACACAATGCAAGATTCAACATGCCGCAATCGCACTCAGGACACTGGACGATCATGATGCACATTGTTAGCACGAGAACAGTAAAAATTTTCAAATAGGAGGCTTACAGAATCCTCTTCTGAAAGAACATGCTCCGTAGGTGCTTCAGAGGAACATTCAGTCATCACTCCTCCAAAGGGCCTAGATATCTCCCCAGGCAGCTTTTCAACACCACCAATTCTTCGAAATTTGTATCTTGGGAGTTGACTAATGTCCTCATCAGATGCCCCTTCCTAATAGTAAAGGATGTTTAAAAATAAACAAAAACCAGTAGTCATGAATCCTAATATAGACTCATTAGACAAGTAAAAGAAAAGCAAAAATATAAATCGATGATAACAATTAGCCGTGGTGTGTGTGATGGAATAGGATGTCTGTAAAGCCTATTCAAATTGGTTGGCTAGAGGCCAATAACTTGGCACAAAATCACGAGAGGAACGTTTCTCAGCATAACTTATTCAATTTAGCTTCTTGTCATTTCTATCAGACACGAAAAACGCAACTATTTGCCAGCAGGGAGGGGAAAAAATTATATCCGTCAATAAATTGCGATCGTGGGGAAAATATATTTTCCAAAAGAAGGTCATGTCAATCGCAGTGCTTTGATCCTTTCCATAAGCCTATTGTCCTGAGAGAGTGACGGTGTTCACCCTCTATAATATCCTTAACGAGTGGTATCAGTCAAATGGTGAGATTGACGGATATTAAAGTTAGATTGAGTCACAATTTCGCTGCCGACCAAACATTCCAGATTTTCATAATCTGCAAAGATTATTCTTCTTGGTGGGTCTTGTAAGATTAAACATACATCCTATCAAGTCAGAGGAAAGTTACATGGACTGAAAAATTTATTGTTGGCATGGATCAGTCAAATGGTGAGATTGATGGATATTTAAAGTAGGAAAAAATTTAGTGCAAAAACACCTCCATTACCTCTGACCAGATCTCAGTCATCTCAGTTGTTTGATTATCACCTGGAGATTTTTTCCCTTCTTTCTCTTATGTTTTCTTTTCTCTCAACCGACTTGTCTTATAATACTTTCATCTTTTTCGTTTTTGATAACCCATTGTCCCCCTTAAAAGTTGAAATCGGATGAAGTGCAATCAGATCAATGTCCATCAATTCGGTAATCCATGTTATGTTCCCTAGCCTCAACACTTTTGGGTCCTGCATTGTTTCCTAGTTGGTGCCACTGGTCCCATTATTCCACATGACGTGCTCAACCATAACATTGCCTGAATCCAGTGTCCAAGACTGGGGGGAGGTCCCCATAGATTTGTCTGATAAAGCCATTGCTTTCCTTAACGTCGTAGATATGACTTACTAGACTAGACGTGATTATCCCCACACAAAAATGAAACTTACATATATCAACCGTTACCAAAGCCTAATACAGGCCTCAGAGCGCATACACAGATCCTAGAATCATAAAAAGAACAAAGTTGGGTACATACAACGACACTTAGCAGCAGCTTAAGTTTTGCCTGCGAATCACACATCGCATGAAAAGAGAAAATTGTCATCTTGTGTTCTCAAATTTTTGCTCAGGCACTCTTTAAAAATGTAGATTAATGGCACCCTACACAACCGTACACTACCAGTGTACAGGCTCAAGCTTTTTCATCTACACAATCACTTTCAAAGTCAGCAGAACTACCTTCACAACTGATATTTATCCATCCATAAATCATGAATATGTCGAGATCAATAAACCACTCCCATTCCTCAAGTACAAGATACAACATAAATCTTCAAAACCCACCAAAACAGAACTGCTTGGGACATGGAAAGCAAATAAAAGCATCATTACATTTTCTGAGGAAAGCATGATTCTATTGTAAAAGTGGAATACCTGATCTGCCACAGCATACAGAATTGCAATAATACATGGCAGGCAGCAGCAAACAGCAATACCAATAATACAAGCAAGTGCGACACAAAACACCACGAAGAATACATCGAAGGCCAAGAAGACAATACAAAGCCTGCACAACAAAGGAGGACGACAGTAATTTGTTAATTCAAGTTAACAGCAACAAAATTGTATCAAAAGAATTCAGTGCACACCAATATAGCTGGGGTGCGTCACGTGTCAAGGTTTGGCCACCAGTAGATACCCAGTAGAATCCAATAATCCACCATATAAATGAAAACATTGTGTTTGCGGACTCCAGGTGCTTTGCAACACTGCCAAGAAAGACATGAGATAGAGAATTCTTTAAAAATGCATGTTGATTTATAAAAACTATATTCCCAAAATTAATGACAATAGAAAATACCAATATAATTATTATAAATTAAGGTTATATAATCATTTCTCTACACAGGGTTGAGTTTAGAACTTGTCTAAAGGCTGAATGATATGCTGGATGAAAGCGATCTGTTAAGATGTGTATGGATTATATCCTATGTCCATCTAGTTAAGATGTGCCAGATAAAAAGACACTGAAATATATCCATTAAGATGTGTATGGATTATGTCTTCTGTACGCCACAAGCACTCATTTGCTTCAGTGGGGATGTCCATCTAGTTACATCGGATAATGAAAGATAAACAAAGGCAAGGACCTGCTACCGGTAACGCTAGTATTATTATAAAAAACTGCCATTTGCTTTTTCTCAGTTTCAACATCAATGATTAAAATACTCCAAATAATAAAAAAATGGTATAGATTCCCAGGAGAGATTGTCACGAGGAATGTACAAATTGAAGTTGTGGCATAAGAAGTTCATAAGAGAGGATGTGGTCTCAATAGGATCATATACATCCGCCATGCACACCTGCACACCACCCCACATCTGGAACAGCAGACCATTTCTAGAAATGGTTAATTTTGGGGCCTCAAGATTTCACGGAGGTAAACTAGAGCAACTAATTGAATTGGCGAATGATTGAAGTACAAAATTAGTATAGTTCCTTGAATTGGGATGCATGACTCCGAGAAGAAAGCCTATGACTACACCACCCCGCTTCGAATAGCAAGAATAGCTATCAATCACTGATAGAATTTTGAACGACCATTTGAGACTCAATTTGATGAACATTATAGGCTTCGTCATGGAAGTATCTTTGCTGTTCTGTTACACAAAAATGGATATTTTTAACATCATTTTCTGCTTTCAACGAACGGAGTAATTTGGAAGAACCTGTCAGATACAAGTGCGTTCTCTGTGGGAAGTGTAAAAAAAGATTTCGAATCATTTCCCACTTGCCTATTAATACAATGCACAAGTTTTAAGATGACAAAGTTAACACAAAGGCAATCAAAATGACGAAGTCATCAGAGTTACGTTATCCACTACCATCCAATCGCACCCACGGTTGAATGAAAGTAGGTGCGCGGAGATCAACCCAACAAGTGGTCCAAATGGTACCTGGTCAGTAGCCAGGGAGTTTGCACTACATGGGATCACAAACAGAGCGCACTAAACCTTGGAAACAGCATACCGCACACTAAAAACTAAGAATTGTCTAAAGGAAGCATCATAGACTGAAGCACCCAAATGAATCGGAGCAGATGAATAGAAGCACTCTTCTCTATTTTTTTCCACCAGTTATATCCCCCGGATATCAAGACAAGTTCCATTTTTTCATGACTAGCTAGAACTTCTCCAGGGGTGCTATTTGAGTCAAATTCACTTCAATAAAATGTAATGTGTATAATCCAAACTCCAATAACTACAAGTAACAAAAGTACTCCCAAGTGTTTTATGTATCCAAAAGTAAATGTCAATACTTCGTTCAGGAATGACTTTTTCATGAGAAATATGATGCATAATGAGTTGGGCATATTGCATCAAATATAAAGTTCCCCTTTCTAATGGTGTTGTCCAATTTCGGTATGTTATGTTTAAAACAAATGATGATCCCTAGCCGCCGAAATAGTCCAACAGAGAATTGTAATTTAACATGTTTTATCCCACAAAACAACAGAAGAACCTATTCCCTCTTCTACTATCTAGACGGCGTCTAGAACCATACCTTGTCCTCTCGTCCTGTACCTGCTCGGTTTCATACATGTCGGCTTCCTCCGCCCCGCGAGGCGTGCTGGAACCTGAACCCCCCTGATTAGCCTCGTTTTCGTCGAGGAAAGAGGGCTCCTGCACTTGCCTGCGCCTGTATTCCATGCATACACAGACCATGTGGAGGATGCACTGCAGAGCGTACCCCGCTATCCACAGCCTAAGAGGCATCGACGGCGACTCATATCGGCTTATGACCATCACCGTTACCGCGACAGTCACGAAGGCAAGGTTCCAAAGGAGGTCCAGAACGACGACAGGCCTAGAGTATGCCCAGTCGCTCCGCCTCTCTTCCAGCTGCTCCGCCGCCGTCTCCCTCACCATCATCGACGGTTCCCTCATCATCCGCCTGCTGCTCGCCCGGCGCAGGAACTGCGCAGCGCCACGCAGGGTCGGCCTTACACGGAACCGACGCCCCCGGTCGTCCCCCTCTGCACCGAGTAGCGGCTCCGTGCCCTCCCCAGAAGGGCTCCCGGTGGGGCTAGACGATATCGTCGCCATCAGAATCGGATCCAGACTTAGCAACAAGAGGTGAATTGCAGAGGAGAGCCAGAAGGAGCCGGATAGAAACCCTAATCAGGCCGAACTTGCTGGAAGGGCTGACCCAGAGGGTTCCACGCCCCGCTGAAATGGGGGGGGCGAGGCAAAGCGTCCTCCAGGTTCAACCACCGGGGCTCGCCCACCGGTCGCTCGACCTCTGCGAAGAAAAGCTCCACGGCCACGAGGATCCACAGAAACGGAGGGGGAGTCGCTGTTTTAGAATTGCAAGAAAATGGACGGGAACATGCGGAAGGCGTTTAGCATTTATCCCTGAAAAAAATCTTAGCAACGAAGTATTTAGAAGGGTCTACAAATAAACCAAATGACCAGATACCTCTCCCTTAATGTTATAAGCTGGAAATATTATATTTTGATCAAATACAGATATCAGAGTGGAAAATAAAAATAACCCAGGTTTCTGGATTTTTTAAAGTCAGCGCCCTGGTTTACCTCATGGGCTCCGCCTGAAGCAGGTGAAGGCTGGGTCTCTCTCATTCCCATTGCCAGTTCCCTCACCTTCTCAGACGTCGATTTGTCTTCGGTACTATAAAATCCAGACTCCACCCCGGCTGAATATGATGGGACGCTAATTTTCCTCTAATGCAACTAACTTGTTTGACCAAATCGGGCCTCAATTTCGTGTTTTCAGACCGGCCCCAACCCATTAACCCATCAGTTTTTCGCCGTTGACCCGAGAACGTGTCTGGTGATCCGGCCTCCGTTGGATCATCCGAGGACGATGCGAATGACTGCGAGAAATACGTTATTTTGTTGATGCTAAGGTCAAGGAACGGGGTAGCGGGCTATCGTAAGGCTATGGTGGTCAACTCCCCGGAGCCGCCGAGAACCACAGCTGGCGGGAGTGACCATGTTCTCTGACCAAGAACGAGGACGACGGCGGGAGAGAACCATAGCTGGCGGAAGGCACGGCGGCGGCGCTCCGGGCCGCCGGAATGTGCTCCGTCGCTCGGGCTACAGGGGTCGGGGTTCTCCAGCTGATGATGAACCGGGGGTTGAGGCTGGATCAGTACGCCCTCGGCGGCGCTCTGCGCGAATGCTCCGCCCAACACCGCCTCCTCCCCGGGCAGCAGCTACACGCGCTGGTGTACAAGTCAGGGTTCGACGGTAGCGCCGCCGTCGTCGCCGGCCTCGTTGACATGTATTCCAAGTGCAGGATGGTGGCGGAGGCCGTTCGGGCTTTCGCCACCGTGCCGCCCCCGGAGCGCGACGGCAACTGCGTCCTCTGGGCGGTCATGGTGGCGGGCCACGCCCGGAATGGCGAGCCTGTCCGAGCCGTCCGCCTCTTCTGCGACATGCGGTCAGCGGGCGTGTCTCCGAACCAGTTCACCTTCCCGACCGTGCTGACCGCCTGTGCCGCCGCCGCGGAAGCGGCGCCGGGCGTGGGCTTCCAGGTGCACGGCTGCGTGGTCCGCAGCGGCTTCGGCGGGAACGCCTTCGTGAGGAGTTCGTTGGTCGAGATGTACGTCAAGTGCGGGGATCTCACCGCGGCAAGGAAGATCCTGGAGACGAGGGAAGATGGCGGCTCCGGCGACGGCGGAAACGAGGTCGGCTGGAACTCGCTCATGGCGGGGTTCGTGCGAGGCGGGCGAGCAAATGAAGCGCTCTCTCTGTTCGTCGAAATGCGCCGGAGGGGTGTCGATGAGGACGAATTCACGTACCCATCCGTCCTCAACTCGCTGGCGGCCGCCGGGTCGGTGGCAGAGGGGGGCGCCGTCCACTGTTCCATCGTGAAGTCGGGTTTCGGTGAAGGTTACGTGCACATCGGCAACGCATTGGTGGACATGTACGCCAAATGCGGCGACCTGGAGAGCGCCCACGGCGTGTTTGACCACATGCCAAGCAGGGACGTGGTGTCGTGGACGTCTCTGATCACGGGGTGCGCCCGCCGTGGCCTCTACGAGGCTGCACTCCACCTGTTCTGCGAAATGCGCGCCACCGGCGTCGAGTCGGATTACGTCGTCGCAGCGGGGGCTCTGAGCTGCTGCGCGGGGCTTCCCGCCCTGGCGCTGGGGGAGCAGGTCCATGCCGGGAGCGTCCGGCGGGGGCTTGATGCATTTGTCTCGGTGGGCAACGCGCTGGTGACCATGTACGCCAAGGCCGGCTGCATCGAGGAGGCTCGTCAGGCGTTCGACGCGATTTCCCACAGAGACGCCATCACCTGGACGGCCCTCATCGTGGGATATGCGCAGAACGGGCGCGGCAGGGAGTCGCTCCGTCTGTACCACCGCATGGTGGAGAGCGGCGCGCGGCCGGACTACGTCACCTTCATCGGCGTCCTCTTCGCCTGCAGCCACGCGGGCCTGGAGGAGGAAGGACGGCGGCACTTCGACTCCATGGAGAGGACCCACGGGGTGGCCCCCGGGCCGGAGCACTACGCCTGCATGGTCGACCTTCTGGGGCGGTTGGGGAAGCTCTCCGCCGCCGCAGAGCTACTGGACCGGCCGGGGTTCGCGCCGGACGCGGCGGTGTGGAAGGCCGTGCTTGCGGCGTGCAGGGTCCACGGGGCCACGGCGGGGCTGGCGGAACGTGCAGCGGAGGCGCTCTTCCGCGCGTGCCCCGGCGACGCCGCGCCGTACATGCTGCTGGCCAACAGCTACGCCGCGTCGGGGAGATGGGAGGAAGCACGGCGGGTGCGCCGCCTGATGCGGCGGCGGGGGGTGAGGAAGGAACCCGGGTGGAGCTGGACGGAGGTTGGGGGGGAGGTGCACGCCTTCCGGGCGGCGGACAGGGGCCACCCACGGGCAGCGGAGATATACGCCAAGGTGGAAGAGATGATGGAGAGGATAGGGGAGGCGGGCTACAGGGCGGACCTGGGATGGGCGCTGCACCAGACGGCGGATGCAGCGGTGGAGCTGGCACACCACAGCGAGAAGCTGGCGGTGGCTTTGGGGCTGCTGATCGCCCCGCCGGGGATGCCCATACGCGTGTTCAAGAACCTGCGGATCTGCGGGGACTGCCACCAGGCGCTGAAGCTGGTGGCCAAGGTGTACGGGCGCGTGGTGGTGGTGAGGGACGCCGCCTGCTTCCACCACTTCGGGCGGGAAGGGATCTGCTCCTGTGGGGATTTCTGGTAGAGATAAATCTGAAGCTCCTTGGAACTTCCTGCGGAACGAAGGGATTCAACAGCCAACAAGAATTCCCACAATGTCACAGAGATACTCGTTAATTACATGGATCATGGAGAAATACATGAGATGAAAGGAGAGGGGTGGGAGTTCTCATGCGGATGAACTCTCGAAGACATGACCTTCAGGATTTAGCTGGGTCGGATTAAATGCGTTGGGCCTCAGCACTTCTCTTGGCTCGTTCATTTTTTCTGCTTCTGGGCAGATCATTGAGGATCAGAGGTGGGAGAGGATGGTCGGCTGGAATCATCAGTGCGTGAGCTCTTGAATCAAATGCTGCCGACAATTTGATGCTACTTCATTCCAGCTCTGAGAAATCAACATGAGTAGGAGATCAGATGCCAGGTGGGGGGAAAGAGAAGCTGTTTGCTCTTATGGCTTCAACCTCAAGATGTGAAGTTGAGCAGAGGAGGAAGAGGTTTCCGTTGGGTAGCTGTGCTTTGGAGTCCTTCAAATCATCGAAAAAGGGATGGGCGCAGGCCTCCAACTGCAGAGAAAAGGACCATAATTTCTGACAGTGATACAACTGCATTCTCTCGCGGCAGAGTCACTGACAAAGGCGGCATAAGCTATGTACAGCAATCGATGTTAGAGGGTTGACTAATCACTGTTACTGTATGTGCTGTTTATTAAGCATAACAAGGTTTTTTTAGAGATAATTATTTTTTTATTGAATAATGGATATAAGGGAAAATAAGTAAAAAAATCCTTCTTTTTCTTTGATCTGAATCCCCCCCCCCCCCAAATCCAAATAAAAAATCCGGGCGGTTTTTTATCAATCAATTAGTATTTTAAAGTATCACATAAAGATAAAACTAAACGACTACATCCATGGAGGCTGGCCAAAACTGACCATAGTTCTTGCTTTTTTTCACTAGCCTGCAGTCATTCTAGGTGGTTCAGTCGACAAAGTAGGTGCATGTCTACATTAAAACACCATTGAAGTATCTGAGCTCCAGAACTGATAACCTATCCTTCTTCTACCTGCTTATCAACTAAGGGTAAGCTTTTGTTTACATGGGGCTTCCGTATCATCACCCCGCAAAATATATTGAAGTTCCTCTAATCATCAACCCCTTTGTTCTAAAAAAAAAATGGTACAAGCACCAATGCCACAGTTGTGACTATGAACTAAGAAATAATTAAAATTCTACAGATATATGGAGATTATTTGCCCGGAGCACAATCAATTTTCATAGGACTACATTGTACAGAGTATAGAATCTTAACCATGAAAAGAAAAAAAAAAAAAAAAAAAGATTCAACATAAATGCATAGAAAGACAAAGATAAGCCCCTAGTCTACTATATAAAGAAAGGAGGACAAGAAATAACTCACAGGAGTGCAACGCAGATTAGGCGAGTATTGGAGCATTCGTGATACAAGGTCAAGAGCCTCGGGAGGCACCTTTTCACGGAATAGCTGAAAGAATATTGAATAAACAACAAAGACTGAGGTATCAAAGAAGAGACTAGATAACGTATAGACCATGAAATTTAGAAGAAAAATAAGTACTACAATGAAAAGCCACTCAACCTTATGCCAAGGATGAGCTTTAATGTGAGGGAACTTGAATTCAGCATAATTTGGATTCATACACTTAATTTCTTCCCTTGTTGGCGTACCAAGGACCTATTAGAATGAAATAATTACTTGTTGGGTTCATAGTCAAAAATGACCTTTAAAACGATAAACAAGAAAATAGTTGCCTTGTTTTCGACCTTAATAATTTCAACCAGCGGATCAACACCACTTTCTCCATGAAAGATAGGCTGCTCGATGTCAGATACGAAAATTTACAAAATAAGCAACCAACTATAAATGAATAAATAATGAATGTATAAATAAGCAATTGCTGCAGATGGATGAAGTACAGAACATTCAGAAAATGATAAATTATAAAAAGACTGAAAAAATATAAAAGCACAGATAAGTAAGCTCCCATGGAGGAGCTATTGCTCTATCACTTCCTAGATTGTAAGTGGCACGAAATTCTCCGCAAAATAAAAATATTATTGAAATGTCCACTAATTTCTTGCTGGAATGTCCTCTCCAGAACGTGACAGTCTAATCATTCACAATCATTCAGGCGATACAGCAGATACTAATTGAAGCGTTTTTCATGTCACAAATTTCCAGATCCAAAAGGAGTTGTCTTATCTTTTTCAACTTTATTGCAGGATTTCCTAACAAGATGGCAATCTGGCAACAAACTTCAAAGAAGTCATCTTGAGATCCTCACTAGATGTGACTACATGGGAGGTCGCTGTTGCATCCATAAATCTTACCAAAAGTTCAACATACTTAAAATAATCCATGAAAAAATCAGCATTATCGTGCACAAAGTGACTTTTATGACATAATGATTGCTAAAACAATAAAGGATAACTTCAAAGCATAATCCAAGACAGATGCCTTCAGAATTGAAGGAAATGAAACGCAATAATGATGGTTAAAACACACGGATATTGACAATATGGTTACACCCACCTGACCCAAGAGAAGTTCAGCTAAGACACAGCCAACGGACCACATATCAATTGCAGCTGTGTATTCTGTGGCTCCAAAAATTAGTTCAGGAGCCCGATAATACCTTGAGCAAATATAGGATATATTAGGCTACCCGGGAACCTAAAACTAGAAATGTTAGTAGTCAACAGGGAAGGAAAATGTTCAAGCTGCTCTTAAATTTAACCAAACATCACATACCAGCACTTTGGCACTTCCAAAGTCACAAAGCTTGAGCTGATGGGTTTGAGGATTTACCTGCAACATGTAACAAAAAATGTCACAGACTGCAAGCCAAAGGTGACTCAGTCAAGTCAAAGTAGTTCATATCTTGACTGGGATAACATTACAAGATGTCATGGACTCTTCTGAGCCTCATGATGATAATTTTACTGAAAACTCGGACAGCGAATCGACAGATTGACAGTTCAGAGCTGAATCAGATTAACAGGACTAGAATCGGGAAAGAGTAGTCCAGTTCGGTTATAAAAAATTGTAAAAAATAGAAAAGCGTAGCGTTTTCAAAAGATTGCACATTCATTTACCCTATCCATATTTTTATGATGGTATAATTGCCATTTTATAACAAAGACAGTTATGAAATTCTGTTTCTGTAGATGCAGTTCACAAAGTTTTCATCTTTTAAAAACTAAGCACATTCATTCTACCACCAACAATCCATTTTTAGGCACGCACAGAATTATACACAATATTTAATGACATAATTAGATTACATGATTGTGGAATTGATGTTAATCACCTCTTTGATGCCGTACATTGTTTCCTTCTTGAAGTAATCCTATATTCAAGAAATCCCAGGTACAATGGAGAAACCTTGATATCATTAACGGGAATTATTTTTTTAACAAGAAGGTAACCTGAATTTCACCAAGAAGTAAGAATTCTTAGTAATTTATAAACTCCAGTTTGAGTAATAATAAAAATGAATCATTGGTCCGGAGTTCAAGTGCATAAAGACAAATCTAATTTACGCAAAGGAGGTTTAAATGCGCTTGAAAGTACTGTGTCAATCAAAGATAGAGGTAGAATATGTGGAAGGCTTTATATAAAAGCCAGTGAGCTCGTGAACCGGTGGTTGGATGGAAAGGAAAGTGGGAAGTGTGCCACGGCGATAGAACTGCTGGTCAACAGTGGCTAGACCAATGAAGTCAATTTGAGAGCAGGACAAAAAAGAATAGTCTGCAATCAGAGGCATGGATTATTGTGACCAGAATCCCTTGGTTTCTTCCTTTTTCTGCATCACTCATCAGCGTTGGGCTTGCCATAATAGGGGCAATATAATGTCTAAAAAACCAAATTGAGTTTGTGCAGCTGCAGGTGCTCTGAAGTCGACATGATGAATCGAACCATGCTTACGGTTGGAAAAAAAATGGCTGCTTGGGCTACGTGGCAAGTGCTGCAAGAAAGGGATTCACAAGACAGGAAGTCTGAATTTGGTGGAGATACCGCTTGAGACTTACTGATATGAAGTTAAATAAGAATACAACAACGAAAAGAGGGATGGATGGAATGTTAATTGGAAGACATCACACTCCCATTTACAAGGGAAGGAAAAGGCCCAAGGAAACAGCATAACAGTACTTCTAGCAAAGCTTTTGAACAGGTCCCTGTCCAATTCTGCTTACCCATGCTGAAGTGGACAAATTTAAACGCTTTATAAGCAGGATTTGGCAGCACAAAATTAGCATATTGTTGAACAGACATAAAACAGACGCATTCTTCTTTATATGATGGATTCGTATAGAGATGAACCCCAGGCCTAAATCCATGTAATTTACACGGCCAACATCAATTCATGTAATTTACACGCTCCCCGGATCAAATTTTTCTACTTAAACGAAGCATTCCATTTTATTTACAGGATTTATTTTGAAGCATTCCAAAATGCTTCAAAATAAAATGGATTACTACCCTAAACTCAAACTTCAAAGACTGAGTAAAATTCGAGTTGAGCCAGTGTTTAGTTCGGATCAAGGAAAATGGCCAGGTTGGCTTGGGTCTAAATTATGTCATAAGCACAACACATTGTCGCCCCAGTGTGAAAGCAAATGAAGAAACCAAGCCTACAGAGACTGCATATGATTGTTTTATTTTATTTGGATATCAACCTAATACAAGTTATGAATAATAGATGGTTTACCCATTATAAGAACAGTCAAGGAGGTAAACTTAGAGAAGTTGTCTTTCTAATCAACATCACAACAGCGCAGATATTAAAAAACGACTGGAAATAAAGTAGTGGAACTTTCCCTCGTGTGACCCCCTTAGAACTGTTTAATTCACGATATTACATGTGCCATAATGTGTTTAACATGAACATGCTCGACTAGCAAATCAAAACAATACCACAGAAACCCACCAAGAGATTTTTGAGGTTTAATTTCACGATGGCAAACGCCGATGACACCATGAAGATAAGTAAGAGCACAGCATAGCTGCATGGCATTAAGAATATGAGTTAATAAACAACAGACAGTATGAATCCCACAAAAAACGATGAATGATGAAAAAAAAACATGTGCAGACCCTGAGAAACTCACCTGGTAGATATATAATTGCACAATGAATAAAGGTATACGTTGGTGCATCTTGTTATAATGCTTAGCTACATGATACACAGTATCAGGGACAAATTCAAGCATGAGGTTAAGGTATTGTTCATTTTTGTCACTGGAAGAAAAGAAATAATGTTGTAGCCCAACTATATTGGGGTGATCGAGTAATTGCATAATTTGGAGTTCTCTGTTCCTGTATCGCTTGTCCTGAAGAACTTTCTTGATAGCAAGTGTTTCCCCAGTTTCAAGGCACTTAGCCTGGAAAAATGAGATCAAATATTTTTCAAAGAAAGAAAAATAAGCACAAAAACAATGGTGAACATTGTGTACCTTAAAAACAACGCCAAATGAGCCTGTGCCAACCACTTGATCGGCCATGTATGAGACCACCTATCAATCAAGGAGCATGTGAATTTAATTAATCAGGTCTTGCTAAAAGAGCCAAAATCCGTGGAGGCCATGACATGTAACTCCCAAGTAAGAGATGCCTTCGACTTTTCTTCAAATATTCTTCAAGTATTTTTTAAACTATTAAAAAATGAAGTAAATCATAAAATGCTGGTTTTAGATTACATCAAAGGTACTTCAGAATATATTGTTTCAAATTGATGAAGCAACATTTTATTTAGTCAACTTCAGAAAGCCATATAAGAACTCAAACAGGCTCCCCCCACATGGCTAAAACGGTTCCATCAAGTTGTTATTAATGCCGATTTCATGAGAATGTTGAAGATTATGATCTCTTCATTCATAAATTTCTTCGTGAGCGTCCTTTTCTTCTTTATACTGATAACATGCTCATTACTAGAGATGACTCTACTACCTTTGCCTCCCTCCAGTATCCTCTACCATCAATTAAAATGACAGACCTTGGGCCTTTGAGCTACTTCCTGAGTCCCTTATATGGAGACTTTTTTGTCTTTTTCCCTTGCTGAGCACGCACAAAGTTGAATTAAAAGAGGGAAACATGGTGGACCCTGATGAAGTAAGAACCCATCAATCTATTGTACAGAGAACCTTTTTTCTTATATTTTCGATTTTTTACCTGATGATAAAAAAAATCATTATAGTTCATGGAAAAAAACAGTTGTAGACGCCTAGTAGACATTTTTTGATGTACTTAACAAACTACTACATGAGTTCTTGTTATGTTGGTAATCAATGGTTCAGGTGTGAAGGTAACTCATACTTTATCATTGATATCAAGCAATGAGAACTCTGAATTCTCCATATTCAGATCAGGTCTGATACAATCAAGCAGGACGTACTGGCTGATTTAAAGGGAGAGACCTGAATATAGCTCAAGAATGATACAAAAATAATAGCTCCTCATTATACGGTACATTATCAGACTGCCTCTTCATTTTATGAGACGAGAGATCCCACACACAGCCACTGATGACAGCAGGCAGCCATGGACATAAGCTACAAGGGCAGCCAGTGATCGTGGGCAAGCCACAATAGGAAGCCACTGGCTATGGCAGACGACACTGGACAGCTGTGGACGTAAAGAACAACGGATTTCTGTAGGCAAGGGGAAATGACAAGGTAAGTTTTCTTATCCATTTCTCCCTCAGCCAGCTGCAGTTAGTTGCATTATTTTCTTCCACTTATTCTTCCTTCTCTTCTGGCTTCTTCATATTTTCTCTAACCCCAAGAAGAGACATCATCAAAGGTCTCTGAAGGCCTAATTTGGCCTATTCTATATAAATAAATAAATAAAGGCAGATATTACATTCCCCCCCAGGGAACAGAATCAGGAACCCCCAACTCAGATCAAAGTCATCTGATTAGGTGGGCCATGCCTGAAATAAGTTATGAGGTACATTCATGTAAGTAATTGAAATTTTACAAAAGGCATTGCAGCCCTCAGTATTTTGCATTGTTCCTTAGTCTCCTGAGTAAGAACTCACTTAAACCCTTAGAGGTTTCTTGCTTTCAATTTAATCAGATAGCGGAGATCTTCTCTTTTTTCCTTGTTTTTTTTCCTTCTCTGACAAGCGTCATGTGTGATGCTTATGAAAAAGGAATTAGACGACCTTTTACTTGCACATTAAGAAATCTAATATTCAGAAAAAAGATAAGAAAAAGGTTAAAGCAGAGTACCAGCAATCTGTGACACAGCATACCTGTTTGGCTCCACCACCTTGCCCGCCAGTCGTTATTGAAACTACCTGCCCTGTCTCAGTCCCTTCGCCATTCACAACAACCAGTTCCAAATCCTGAAAAAATCAATAGTGGGAGTTAATGTCCAATAACCATGGCGTAAACCCTAATGCGTATATATCAATAAAAATGCCTGGTCGTCTGGTTTAGCAGCTTTCTTGTCTCTGATTTGCATGTCACTCATTTCCTTTTGAAGCCCATAGACACCTGCATGTTCAGTTTGAAAAATTAACCCTACATTAGATAAGACTGTAACAGGTTAAAGTATGGAACTGATATGATCCATTATGTTCATTAGTTTACTTCCAGCAGCTTGATCCACAGGAACCTTCTGATCATTGTCTTCTTCAACCTTCACTCTTTTGGTCCCAGAGTCTCCGCCCTTAGAACATAGGAATGCAATAACAGCACTATTGTGTCAAAAAAAGATCTCAGAACCAAACAATAACCCAAAAACCACATGATTCACCACAGGAAAAAAAATTATCATATAAGAGGAACATTAACAGCATTCCCACAGCACATGCAATATTCATGTTCGTATGCCGATGACATCCACAAAGCAAAGTTCCTCGGAAAAACACCAATATTGGACCACAGCAGGCATTCCGTATGAACGTAATGAAAGAAGTACTCGACATCATCACTAGTGACCCCATAATCCGTAATGATTCACTAAATCCGAAAAAATATATTTGGCAATATAACTACAGCAAAATACAAAAAAGATAACAGTCTTCCCTCTTCAGAAATGTGGGAAAATTTGTAAATATATATTTTTCGAATTTCTTTATCTTCCAAGAAATCAGCAGTCGTCTCTGATGATCAGTGTCGCAAAAGAGAAAAGCTACCTAAAGAAGCAACACTAGCCATCAGGAGGTTTGACATTAAAGTGAGAATAATAAGAAATTTCTCAATTGTTTCCCATTCCGAAGGAGAGAATACGATTATCATCATTTTCAGCAAGTTATCATCACTCCTACAGGGGAATGTATCATCATTATATTAGTGCTGAGTAATTTTCAAACCTGGAAAGTATGGATCCAAAGGCAATATCCTTTCGAATAGTTCCTTGTCCTCTGTAGTCTCTAGGCATATCACCTTTGGATCTGATGTTAAACACTGTTAGAGTGAACGAGATGTAACTTATCGAACAACCTTTTTCATCACAATGTAAAATTTATCTTTCCAGATATTAATCATGCATGATTGTATAATTGTACAATCATTGATTATCTCTTATACCCCTTATAATGGAAACAATTCTAAATGAGGATCACTAGTCTGAATCTTCCTAAAAGTAATTATCTGATGCTTTCAATTACCATTGGCGTCCCCAATGCCAAAATGTCCAAGCAAAGTCCAAGGGTCCGCATTAAATGGTCTACAGATGCCATCAAATTTCAAAACCACCTGAATAGAGACAAGTCGATAGTTGGGGCTAAGCTTCAACCACGTCAGCAGATAATTCATAAAATTTCATGGATTTCTATGCTTCCAGATTCTTTCTCCCAAAAAAAAAAAAATTATGCATCCCAGCCTGAAGAAAGCACGCACATTGATCTAATCGAATGCCCTTCAACTGAAAAAATCAGCCTTGAATTAGCTTTTTAGTGATTAAAGCAAATGATTTCGGATCAATTTAATGAGTCTAATACCGGACATAAATGTAGATAGATAGAGAGAGAGAGAGAGAGTTCTTTTGGCTAGTCCTAATAGTTAGGCGGAGAAAACTGAAGTAATTAAAAGAAATAAAAAGAGGTAGTGAATAACATAAGGAAAATAAAACGTAAATGTCAATATGTTCGTAAATGCCAGCAGAGAAAAATGGCCAACAGAAAATTGACGAAGAAGTCTGCCATCCTAACCATCCGTCTCCTCTCACAATGAACCGATCCGTGAAACATCCCGGTGGAAGCAGCCTACGACTATCAAAGGTAATAAAACGCAAACGAAAAAAGGAAAACACTCACGAGACCCAACGCGGAAAATCTTCCCGAAGCGATACTCCTGAGAAGCCGCATGACATGCATGGCTTCAGCTCCTCTTCCCGCCGCAGCCAAAGATCCTGTACCGAGACAGAGCACTCACTCCGTCTTCCTGCTCCGTCTCCCCCACCCTCCCGCTTCACCTTAGGGCCCTCCCCCTCCTCCCCGTTGCGACGAGCTGCGCAGCGGCGGGAGGAGAGAATGTGAGCACAGACGGGGGAGGGGAGGCAGCGGATCGTCAGCAGAACGAAGAACACGAGAGAGAATATTACATTCATAATTAAAAAAAAGTACAAGAAATACGTAAAATAAAATAAACCAGACCCATTTATATTATTTATTTATTTATTTCCCCAATCATTGACTCTCTCTCGTACGGACAGTCAACCGGGAAGAGAGCCCGCAGAAGACGGAGGCTCCACCGAGCTTGTACCCAAATTAGGCGCGCGGGAATCGGTCAACCCCGATTTAAACAGTAATACGTGAACTCTAGGCCGTGTGATTGGTTCGAGGTCCATCGTTTCGACGGTGGATATGAAGGGAAAGGAGCGGACGGTGCCGATGCGGCTAAAGATGGTCAATGGCAAGTGTTTCAAGGGTACGTACTTAAATTTTTTGATGCCCATGCTATTTTGATAAAAATAAATATATATCCATTTTTGTGGTGGGATGACAAATAATTTGTCATTTTTAATTTCAATTCTCACAGTTCGAGTATCCTTGTCTCACTTGCCTAAGTACGATGCTTAATTATTTTTAAATTGAATACAAAAATCAAGAAAATTAGTTATGAAGTACTTCGGGCATGGGTTGACTTGGAAGCTACCAAAAATGATATTATTTATTTATTTGATCTGTATTAAAAATGATAATTTTATTTATGAAGTACTCTCGGCATTGGTTGGTTTGGAAGCTGCCAAAAATGAAATTATTTCCCCCTAAACTCGGAGAATTTATAATCATGGGATGACGTGCATTATTACAAATGTATACCCTGAAATAAAAAATTGGAATTGTACCCTTCCGAGTGAGAGAAAGAGAGAGAGAGAGAGAGCTGGTCGCCGCTCAGACGGGCGGGGGAAATAAGCCCAACGGGCTTATTGGGTTTATTTCTAAATGGACCGTAATTAGCAACCCACTTCAGCGAATAAAATGGACAACACATTTTCGGGATTTTCTGTAACCTAAATAAATAAAATGCTCTTTAATATTTTGCCGGATGCTGAATGCTTAAAATGATTATTGACGCTATCAGAATACTAAACCGACCTGGCCTGGGCTCTCTCTCTCTCTCTCTCTCTCTCTCTCTCTTTCTCTCTGTGACAGCGGCCGGGGGGGGATCCGGGGCTGGTGGAGTCTTCCTGGGGGCTGCTGAAGTGTGTTCCTTCCCCTCGACCTTGCCGTCCGTAGCAAATCGGCGATCTCTTGCGCTTTTTTCATCTATAACCGTTCTCTTTCTTATTCGTCCTCTTGATCCTGGATATAAATGTGAAGATTTTCGAAGCCTGATCTGGCAGTATTGGGGAGGATGGTGTTGGTTCTAGCCCTGGGGGATCTCCACATCCCCCACCGTGCTTCCGACCTCCCCACGAAGTTCAAGTCTATGCTCGTCCCGGGGAAGATTCAGCACATCATTTGTACGGGAAATCTCTGTATAAAGGTACTCTCTGCCGCACTTCTTTTTCTGTTCGTGGTACTTCATCAAAATTCGCCGTGTGCTCGTTAGATCTTGAATGATCACTCTCTGAGGTCCTCTCTACACTTCAATACCAATTCTTCGTAGGACGCCACGGATGAATTATGCACCCCGGAGCTGGACAAACCTGCCGTTTTATCATCCGGCTCCCTCGATTCATCTATAACTAAGATATGAAAATGATTAATTCCATAAATTAAACTGCACATCACATCTTGGTTACTCGCTCATTTTTGTTTTAGGATTCGACATCTAGGATGTCGTTCAAATAGATGGATCAATTACACATCTGGCTTCGTTTAATCGTGGTTACTCGCTTCTCCTTTGTTATCACTTAGGAATTTCAAATGATGCTCGTTCATATCAAGGTGTTGATGTGTAGAAAATAAGAATATATTACTATTCAGTAGGATGAACATAGGGTTGATAACAAGTTTAAAGGTCCTAAGCGTAGGGATTACCATGGTGCTCAAAAAGGTAACTTTTCGGACATAAGTCGTCCGTGATTGTTCAACTTCCGTATCGAGATTGTACATTGAGAAAACACACGAGGACACTGACATTCAGACGATCAACTTATAGACCCATGTTTTCTGAAGTAGAATGAAGTATGTACAATCAAACGGAGGAAAGGGAAACATATGGGAACACAATAAGTTACAAATGGTGATGGAGCTGACAGTTCGAATAGAACGGCCACCATTTTATTCCTTCGAGGAAAACGAGTTCGGGAATGGTCATATCTTCCCCGAGTAGGAACAAGGTTTTCTCGTTATTTTCAATTTTGGGGTATTATGACATTTTATAATAAACATGTGTGCTAGTGCACACCTATTTTATTAGAAATGGGGTAAAGGCATGTGCTCATATCACCTGTTGGTTATGTGGCCCTGAAACATTACTAGCTACCCATGTCAGTTAGTATGGTATTAATATGCTCCGACGATTAGGCCGCGTGTTTGCAGAAACATGTGACAAGCCCTTTACTGAACTCGAAGTGACTGAAACAGAGGGCTTGCCGGTGATCCGAGCACTTCAGAAGATAAATCTCAATGATAGAAGAATGGATCGCATGACAACTTGTGTCAGATTCAAAGTAGTTTCTACCAAGCTGGTCCCTCACTGGCTGCAGCCCAGGATTTGAGGATTTACTTGTCGCTGGATATATCATCTAGTTTAATGCCGATACTAATAATATGTAAGAGCCACTTTGCTCTTATTACACGAATAGCCCGAGTAAAGACTTAGTAGTGCCCATAATAGCTTACTAATCTGCTTTTAGTGAAGTGTAATATACGTGAGCGTGGTCCCTTTTCAGTTGGTGTTCGGAAGATGTGCAGTAAAAATATTTCTTTGCTCTCAGTTTAGATTTTGGTTCCTCGTTTTGTCTCATTATCCTTCACTCGTGTTGGAACATTTTCTACTTGTTGAGTTCAAGGAAAAACGTTTTTACATGCATAGTTGTGAGAGAGAACTTAGAATGTCTTATGAGGGTTTTAATATTTATTAATCTGATTTTTTTCTTTGATTTTGTCTCCAAAGTGTTGCATAACCCAAGAGTGAGAGAAATTTCCCATTGCATGAACGATCCATCTGAATCTTTACTACCTAATTTGGTCCAGTCTTCTCATTGTTCACGGGAGATGGCACAGCATAGTCATCAATGTATTTTTCTTTGTAAATACAGATACTTAACATTTATGCTGCCAAAAAAGAACGACATGACTGTACATTTGATATGTTTTTTCCTTTCTTTCCTTGTTCCTTCTGTGTAAAGCATAGAATTCTTGCATCTCGTGGTTATCAATATGGCATTCGTTGTCAGCAAACTTTTATGCAAAGTAGTTTCACTGTTGATGAATGCCAAAATTTATAAATAAATGACTTAATATGCCCTTCTTATTTACAGGAAATTCATGATTACTTGAAAAGTCTTTGCCCTGACTTGCATATTAGTCGAGGGGAATATGACGAGGATGCTCGGTACCCTGAAAGTAAAACCCTCACCATTGGTCAGTTTAAGCTCGGAGTCTGTCATGGTCACCAGGTTCGTTTTTCTTGTAGAAAGAGTTCATATCTCAGGCACTTTCTCTGGATTCCACCTTGTGCTTGTGAAATATTTTTCAGTGACAAAGAAATGTTTTACTGAATTCCAATTGTGTTGTTAACATAGTTGGTGAAATATATTATTTAATCATAATTCTGTTATTAGAGTTGAATTAGGTTTTCCTGAAAATCCTAATTAAGTCTTTAGGATTTTAATGTAATTCTTTGCCTGAAAATGGTGCATGTGACCTTAAAATATGGATAAATCTGGACTGTTGGACCACAAAAATAAATCTACCAGCCATGACTTCGGTTACCTTTGTCAACTGAACCCTGAAAGACATTCTGGGTCTGAGCCGAGATCAAACATCAGGTTTCGTTGAGGTTGATCTTTGATAGCTGAGGTAAGTGCCGACGTATGACTTCATTGCCTCCTTACGTCCCAAAACTTTGTTGATTTGGGTGGTTATTGAGGTAGGAAAAGTATGCTTTATCCTGCCTCCGATTGTGCTCGGGTTCTGTTTTCTTCGTATAATGCCTCTAGCCAGACTAATTACGGCAAAGCTTAAGAACTTAAAAGTTTTGACCCATAGTTTTTAATTAGTGCTATCAGTATGATCGCAAAACTCTCCCGCCGGCTCTAAACTTGATATGCCCATGCTCTCTCTGAAGCGGATAATGTGGCATGTATTAATGCGTTTACATGTTAAGTTGACTTAACATAGGTAATTTCTGTCAACCGTTTGGTAGATCCCATCTGACGGATAAAACTAGGTCTTGTTAGGATAAAATAGAGAATGGCAGGAAAACGAGCTAAATTCGTTGGTTGATCTCATCGTCTGATGACACTAGATCTCTTTAAGATCAAACTGGAGAATGGAAGAGAGCTGAGCCTAACTACTAGGTTTCTTCCTTCCATTTTTCGTTTTTATATTGATCAATCTGCAGTTTCTTGGTAACTTTAGTTTCAATTTCTTCTCTTTCCAAGTATGGAACATTCCATAACGTAATCAGCCGACTCCCCGTCCATGACAGTGGCATTCATGGACGTCAAATTTCCAACTCTATCGTTCATCCTCGCCAGTAATCTTTTATGTGAGATGGCTGGAAGATGGGAGTTTCATATCATTGTGTTGTTTTAGTGCCGAAATATGCTTTTCACCTATCCAAGGCCCCGATACATCTCCGCTAAGTCTTGATTTGGCGGAATTAACTTGGTATCAGGTCTGATCAATTACTGTTGCATCAACAGTTTCTAAAGAAAAACAGGGTACAAATCGATCAGGTGTACACCGCCCAAAACCAATCCATCTTCAGTCCTAGCGATCATTTATTTTTAACTCGTTTTTGTTCATGGATTTATACTTGCCAAAGCAAAATCTTTGTCCAACTGCTGCCGTTCTCTATGATTCGTACTGTATTCATGTTTCTCGTGTTCCTGCGGCACTGAAAGCAGGTCATCCCATGGGGGGATTTGGACTCCTTGGCCATGCTTCAGAGGCAACTGGACGTAGACATCCTCATCACGGGCCACACCCATCAATTTAAGGCCTACAAGCACGAGGGAGGGGTCGTCATCAACCCAGGTTCTGCGACAGGCGCCTACAGCAGCATCACAAATGATGTGAACCCCAGCTTCGTACTCATGGACATCGATGGCCTCCGCGTCGTGGTGTATGTTTACGAGCTCATCGATGGAGAAGTGAAAGTCGACAAGATTGATTTCAAGAAGACCTCGACCACTGCATCTGCTCATTAAGCTTCCTGTCTCTCTGGATTGTCTCGCATCGCCACTAGAGGTATCCAGTCTGAGTGTTGTTTATGGATTCCGCATGATCTGAACTGACATTTGCCTTCACTTTAACATGTTTTTTTTCTTCACGTCAAGAGCCATCCCTCATCATTCTCATTCATTTGCCACAACGCTTCTGAAACCACTTCACAAACTTTGGAGTCCGTGTTTGATTTGAAAGCTAGAAAGAAAAAAAAACCTTGACCAGAAGAATCCTTCGCATCAATCCATGTCTGCAGGTCTGAACCATGCCACCCCCAGGTCTATGAACAAAAACACTCCACTGGCAATACAAATGTTGCTCCGATTCTCTACAGGACAGGAGTGCTGCCCTAGATGATCTAAGCTTGGATCATCATGGGCAGCGTTAGATGTATAACCTGCACACTTGGCAAGAACAGCGAAGATCTCTCTCTGTATTTCTTTAGCTTGATTGCTTCCGAGCCCATGCATCTTCTTCACTAATTGATCTCGAGATGGATCCTCCCCTGTTTCAGAGACACCCATCTCTCAGACATGACCACCAAACAAAGGCTGGTCTCCCACAGAACCCTAGAATGTACAATTTTTTTCTTTCCCCGACGTCTGGTTCTTTCCCTGTACAGTCACACAGAAGGCTTGGCCGAAGAATATCTTCATCACTCTGCAAACTCAGATTCCACAGCTGAATCAGACCCATCTTCCTCCTCGCTCACCCCATGGCAGTCTCTCGGAAGGCATTCCATCCCACCCGTCTGCCCCCCTCCTCCCCAGGCCCTCCCGAGACTGGTCAGCATCCTGTCCAGGTTGACGTCCTTGGGGCTGGTCAGCAGCAGCTCGGCGAGCTTCCTCCTCGCCAGGTGCACCGGGTTGGGCTCCACCATCTCCCCCTTGCAGTAGGCCTCCCTGAGGAACACCGTGTGGAGCTTCCCCTGGTTTCCCCTCGTGGAGATGTAGAAGATGCCCTGGTGCCGCAGCAGGAACTCCTTGAGCTTCATCGGGAGGTCCATGGCCTGCCTGAAGTGGGCGATCCTCTCCAACGTGGTCTTCTTCTCCACCGTCAGCGACAGCAGCTCGTGGATGGTGGCCACCGCCCGCTTCTCCATCCTCCTCTGCGCCTCCATGGATCTGAGGTCGTACCCCGATACGTCCTCGTAGGGAGACCAGTAGGGCACCCGCTGCCACTTCCACATGGCGATGCGGAAGTACTTGCCGATCTTGAAACCAGGCGGGAACCTCACCAGGAAGGAGAACCTCATGTCCTCGGCGTCTCCCCCCCTTTCCCGGTACTCCCTCTCCCGACTCCGTTCGATCGCGCAGACTCGCAGCTCATCGTCCTTGTCGTCCCCTTCCGCCGCCGCCGCCTCGATGTACTTGGAGCGCCGCCCGTCGCCGCCGACGAGGCGGAAGAAGCGGGGATTGGCGAGGACGACGGAGTACTCGAAGTCGTCAGGGAGCCCTAGATCGCGGCGGGCGACGCGGACGTGCTCGAGGCGGAGGCGGCCGGAGTTGGAGAGGAGGAGGAGCTTCCGCAGGCGGAGGGTGGCGTCGGGGAGCATATCCTGCACGGCGGTGGCCTCTTCGTGGAGCTGACGGGCGGCGCGAGGGGTTAGGCGCACCCAGAGCACGCGCTGGACGGGGTGCTCGTAGATGTGGAAGACGTGGGGGTGCTTGAGGAGGAAGGAGCCCGCCTCGAAGGGGCCGAAGGCGGCGTGGCGGCGGGCGAGGGCGTCGAGCTGGGAGACGGGGGCGGCGCCGCCTGGGTGGGAGAGGATGAGCTCCTGGAGCTTGAGGGCGCGGCGGACCTTCTTCTGGACCTCCATGTAGCCGTCGAAGCCGTGGTCGCGGACGCGCAGGAGCTTCTTCGGGATGGCGGTGGATTTGGAGAACTCGCGCCCCACGACGGCGCCCCCGGCCGGCGGAGATATTCCGCAGCAGCGACGGCCGGCCACTCGGGCGGCGCCGTTCCGCCATCCGCGTAGGGGTAGCATAGCCTCCCTCCCTTCCCTCTCTCACTCCCCTCTGTTCCTCCCTGGGATCGTCGGCGATGGTGGCGGAGGTCGGCGGCAGCGGAAGGGACGAAGTAGGGCGTCAAGTGTTAGTGCCAAGTAGGCTGTTTGTCACTGGGATAAGTATGGGCCCGGCCCGTGAGTCAAAAACGAGCCCAGAGAGGAAGTCGGACGGCCCGATTAGCCCGTAAAGTATTTTCTTCAAAGATCATGCAAGACTGACATACTCTTGTTTTATTAATTAGTAAAATAATTTCAGAATAATCGGAAAATCGACTTAAAGTAATTTCAAGAATCAGAATGTGTGAGAATTATCCGTGTTAAATGATGGGGCCCATTTTTTCCATCTTATGCTATATTTTTTCTCACAATGCACTAATAAATAAATAAAAATATTATCATTATTATGGGAATATATAATATAATAAAAAAACAAGTCTTTGCAGCAATATCCACTACATAGAAAAAGGCCGACACAGTGAATAAATAAATGGATATTTTCTCTAAAGCGTTTAATTTTTTGAGAGATGGCATGCGGATAACTGGGTTTCTTTTTTGGTAGACTAGACGATTTTTATTTTATTTTTATTTTTTGTCGTCGTCAGAATCTGTCGTTGACCCAAGAAAATAAGCTTATAAAAGTCAATACCTCGCATGCTTCTGATACATTTCCCATCATATTTACGCCCACATTTGTCTCTTTCTTTTAGTCAAAAGGGTTTATTTTAGTAATTAATAGGGGATTAATCCGCACAGTTATTAGAAAACAAAAAACCTTTCCTGATTAAATGTCGTAAAATATTCAGACTGACGGAGGTAATAAAACCCAGGACGAGGAGGATGTAAAGATGGTGGAAGTCGTTTAGACCTCTCGTGATGGCGCTCCGGGTCCTCGGTTCCTCTGAGGGGCGGAAGCGTAGAGCCCGTCAGTGAACAGTGCATTTAAGGCCGCCGGCGCGGCACTGCAGCGGGTCGCCAGGCGAGAGGTGGCCGCCGGGCTGGAGAATCCCAGCACGGTGAGAGGATCAGATGCAGCGCCGCTGAATTGGCCGGCCACATGGTGGGTGTTGACAAAAAGAGACAAATACGATCACCCCTCTGTCCGCACTCCAAGACGATCCCACTGATATTTGTCAACGCCTTATACAAGGGAGAGAGAGAGAGATAAATAACGAGGTGAAGACGGTGAACGAGGTGAGGTAGGTCGGTGCCATGGGGTGGAACGGTAATGACCCAGAAGAACGGTGAGACAGGAACCATGACCCGACGGCACACCCGGCGGCGCCGCCGACGATGCCGGCGGCCCTGTAAAACGCCTCGGAATGCACCGACCCAGCGACTGAGGTGAGTCACGGACGACAGCTCCGCCGCGGATCGTGGGCCTGTCCCTCGCGCCGCCTTGGGGACCCCTCCCCCTTCGGCCAGCGCCATCAAAGTCCCCGGCCATGTACGGATGTGAATATAATATCGGGCTCTGAGGCGGTGGCGCCGCGTGAGAACGCCCGGCATTAAATGAGAATGGCCGTATGGCGGCAGTGCATTGAATGCCCTCGCCAGAGAAGGCGGGATGGGACAGACTGACGGGAATCACCCCGCCAAGAGCCGCTGCAGAGGAGCCCGCCGATGGTATGCTCTCTCTCTCTACTCCCCGCTCTCTCCTCTCTCTCTACTTTGCTCTGCTGGACGAGAAGAAGCTAAGGGTCAGGGAGAGGGAGGGCCGATGGGTGGTGAGAAAAGGAAGACAAAGACACTGTTATTAAGAGACGATTACAGAAAGAAAACAAGCACGACGAGCCGATTGGAGAGCAGACGATACTGCTGCATCCACTAATGGCTCCCAATCCCTATCTGCTCTTGTTTTCTTTTGGTATTCACCTCGTTTTTTACTGAATGACAAGACGAATGACGAAGACGAAGACGAAGACGATGACGACTTGCCATACTGCTGCTCCAAGGACGATCGCGGCTCCAGACGGAGTCAATGCCGAACCACCACCATTGATCCCTCCCTCTCTTTCTCTCCACAGCTGTAGCTGTTCTTCTCTGCGGAGCAAGGGATTACCGCGGGGTTCGTTCTTGACTCAGTCTCCAAGTGCTAGGGCCCTTCGATGAGACCGACCATATCTCTCTCTCTCCCTCTCTCTCTTACCTCTCTCTCTTTCTCTTTCCGTTCATCACCTACCCAAGGGGAAAAGACTCAACGACGATTATTGCCGTCGGCGGCCTCCGCCCTGGTTCTCAGATTCCCTCAGTTGTCGCAGTGCAGGGCGACCTTGATCTTCTGAACGGTGCAGGATATCAAGTTGTTGACCGTTTCGACGGACTCTACCGTCAACTTGGCGGTGGGCAGGCTGTTGACCAGGATCTGAAAAGCAACCGTGAGCAGGGACCCGGAGGCGGCCGGTGGCGGCGGGCTGCTACCGCCGCCATTGTGTGACTGCTGCTGTGATCCCCGCAGGTCAGGCCCGTCGGGGGAGATAGCAAACCCCGAGGGAAGCAGCGCGACGCAGGAAGAATCGCCGCCGTTCATGACGAGGTGCATGGCGGGGATGTCCACGGGAGCGTACACCACCAGCGAGCCCGACGCGTCGGTGCAAGTCTCCTGCAGGATCAGCATGCTGCTTTGGTTCGCGCCGCCGGCCTGCACATGATGAAAACGGGGGAGTTTTCAGGAAGAAGACGACGACGGTGAGTGATAATATCAGTCGACCGGCGGCGTACAAGGCGGATCTCTCAGCCGGAAAAGAACAAAGCCGCAGAGGGGGGGAGTCATGTCAATGCCTCCACACCCTTTCTCACTAGTTTACTCTACCTGTGTCGTGTACTACAACGGAAATGATGACTCTCCGGCAGCCACCGGAATGTAAAGAGGACAGCGAAGGCGAAGGGTGAACGAATAAGTCATCCCACCACACAGGAAACGAGGCGGAGATTGAAGGAAGGTGAAAGATGGATAAGGATGGTGGAGGCCGTTACTTACGCTGGCGCGGAGGAGGGAGACGGCGTTGCCCTGGTCCTGGCCCTTGGCGATGTGGGCCATCTCCTGCATGGGGCCGCCGTTGGAGAGGATGTCCCACTCGCTGCGCAGCGACGCGTTGCGGAGGAAGTCGAAGACACGCTGGGGGGCGGAGGGCAGCCATACGGAGGTGGCGGCGCTAAGCACTACCCCCGGTGGCTCCCCGGGGTCGTTCTCGCTCTTGCGGGTCATCACCCGCACGTCCTCCCCAACGGCGCCGATGTTCAGCTTCGCCCAGCTGTGCACCGACGAGGCGCACACACCCGCGCAAAAGTTGGCCGTCATCCGCTGCGCCAGCTTCAGCATGCTCCGCCGTCCCGCCGCCGTGATCCCCGTCACTGGTAGCGCAACCAGACGCAGTAAAATAACCAGATTAGTGACTAATCCACGATCATCGTCGTCATCGTTATCGTCGGCCGGAGAATTGAGACGAAGACCATACTTGGCAGCTCTCGGTTGGAGAGGACGGAAGACATGAGGACGGCGAGGCACTCGCACTGCCGCTGGAGGGTGGCCACCCACCGCTGCGCGCCGAGCGCCATGCCGGAGCGGAGCAGCGGCCGGTAGAGCAGGTGAACTCCAGACTCGTCGTATTCCGCGTGCTCCACCCACGTGACCTGCGCCACAGCAGACGGCTTCGTTGGACGAGTAAAGATGGCGAGGAGACGCCGCCGTTAACATCCACCAATCACCCCAATCTTCTATCTAACATAGGAATTATAACCAGCTGGGAGCGGAACTCTAAGACTGCTACTGCGAGGCATTTATCGATTAGTCTAAGCAAAGAGGCTTGCTTAGCTTAGAGGGAAGGGGGAGGTCGAAGAGAGACGTCAGATAGGCCCAGTCTGCAGAGGGGGAATAGAAAGAACCAAGGAATAGTTAATGTAGGAGAAGACGCGGTCTAGAAACATAAAAACACGTTCTTGATTCCAAGGGCTCTCGCACGAGGGCCGAGGTCAAGGAAATTCAATATGGCCGGGGACGGCTGCACCAGGCGGGGGGAGAAGAGCCTCTTCTCCTACATTCGGAAACTCTAGAAAATCCCGCTAGGCAGAGACTCGGGAGGAAAGCCGGGATCTGTTCATTGACCTTTGGGCGCAAGAGAGCACCCATTGGCCGCTGATCCATCTCGGGTTTGACCAACGGATAGGAGGGGGATGGTTGGGTGTGGGGGGGGGGGGAGGGCGCAAGACCCAACAAGATTTCTGGAAGCTCGAGCTCCACCATCATGGCTGCTAAGCTCTAAAATAATCTAGGGCCTCAAGGAACTGCGTCACGCCCACCGCCGGGCGAATCCCATCTTTGCCCAGAGAATTTATTGAGCCTGAGATAAACTAGACTGTTTCCTAGTGTGATAATTTGCCAGGGGATTGGAGAATCACGGGGAGGTGGACGGAAGCGGAGAAACCAACGATAACGAGAAGGAGAGGCGAGCGCACCTTGGAGTACCCATTTGGCATGTCTTGCACCAGGCAGCCGGAGGGGAGCCTCCGGCAGCTGACCGACTGGTGAAGGCCCGGCGAGCCGCCAGTGATTGGTTCCACGGAGACGTCCACCACGGCCCACACGCCCTGGGCGTGCTCCTTGCAGTACCTGAGGAAGTTGACTTCTCGGATGGGCACGAGCGGCGAGAGAACTTGGAGCTCCGCGCGCATCTGCGGACATCCCGAAGTCAACCCTCTGCCCGACTGGTAGAACACCGGTCCGGTCTGGAAATGGAATGAAGAAAGCAGAAGGGAACGCTTACGAGCTGAAGTGTGCCGTTTCTCGTCCCTCCCATTCCTACGTAGATGACATCCGTCGGAGAGTTCTTCGCGATCATGGTGGGGAACATTTCCGGCCAGCGTTTCTGCAAGAAATAAATCGTGTGAGACTAATAGCAGATCACGAGGAAGAAGATTCAGACCCGAACTGGGTAAGAGAGGGCGAGAGAGCTCACCCCATCCATCAGCGTCTCGACGAGGGCGGAACTGTTGATGATGACGATGCCGCTCTCTCTCGTGGCCTCCGTCACGAATCCCACTGGCTTAGAACCGAGGCAATGGGAGGAAACGCGAGCGTACTCCTCGCTGTTTAGAACTTCCCTGCCAGATCCGTCGCGAACCCAGAGGGGCTCCTCCATTTGCGCCATCTTCACAAGTTCGTCCATGGCGGCGAGGGCGAGCTCCACCAGCATGGACCTCTCGAAGGACCGGTCGACTTCCCCAACCGGGGCAACGGGGCGCACCGATGGCGGCGCCACGATGGGCATCCCGTTAGAGATTCCGGTGACGTAGTCCGTCACCGGAGGGAGAGCGGAGGGGACGGGGCAGAGTCCGGCGAACCCGTTGCCGCCGACAGCCAGCTCCAGCGACGAGTCGGGCATGTGAGGGAGCTGGCCGACGAAGGAACCAATCGGCCTGCCTATGAACCGACCGGCCAGAGCAGTGACACGGTCAAGCTCGTCCCTGAGACGGGCGTTCTCCAGCCTCAGCTGCTGCTGCTCCATCGAAACCTGCCCCAGTGTGGCGGCGCCGCCGCAGTTCTGGCACATGGGGTTCCTCATCGACTCGCGGATGTGCATGTTCTCCATCTTCAGCTTCTCGTTCTCCTGCCTGAGGAGAGCGTTCTCATGCCGCTCCAGCTGGGTCTGCACCATCATCCGGTGATCTGCTGTGAGAGACAGATAGATCGAGAAAACGGAAAGAAAATATTCGGAGGAGATCGATTACCTTCATCTGTGTGCGTCTGTTCTGGAACCAGAACTTGACCTGGCGGCTGTCCAAGGATAGCTTCTTGCTCAGCTCCAACCTCTGCTTCTCATCAGGGTGAGGACATTCTTTGAACAACCTGCATGAGCAGTGATGAGAGACGCAATCAGTAGGGAGAGAGAGGAGAGAGGGAGAGAGAGAGAGAGAGAGCGCACGTTTCGAGCTCCTGGATCTGCCATGGAGTATGGCGGTGATATCTCTTCTTCTTCGGAGGGTTCTCCGGATCGTTGTCGTCCCCCGAGCCGCCCTCCATGTTGTCACTCCCCGATCTGCTCTCGTTCTCGTCCTCCCTCTGACCGCCGTTGGACTTCCCGGCGAAGCCCGCGCCAACGGTGAATCCGCCACCCCCCGGCGAGTCGAAATCCCCCACACCGGCAATCTGTCTGAACATATCGTTGTGGCCTCCGCTTACACCGCCGACTCCACCGCCTTCCAGGTTCGTCTGCTCAGAAATTCGGAGACAAGATAATCATGCACGGGTGGGTTGCGCAATTCTAAACCGGATGGAAATCATAAGAGAATGACGAACAAATAACATCAGAAAAAAATCCCGACAGAAGAAAATAATGGATGGACGCTAGGCTTCGCGACGATGGGAGGCTGAGCTGGGCTTACGAGGGCTAGAGAGAGGCTCGGCGAGGAGAAGATGGACTTGGGAAGCGAAGGGGAGAGGAGACGCGGCTGCGACATAACGCCGGCAGGCATGCCGGCTGTGGCACTGCTGTAGGGAATGTCCACCACCACCGTTGCACCAGCGCTGCTGCTGTCCAGGAAGCTTCCAAAACTCATCAATTTCCCCGGTTCGTTCGTCGCTCTTCCGAGACGCTTCTCGCTCGCCGCTGCGCAATCAATTCCTTACCCTTCAATATATATTCCTCTTCGCTGTTTTTCAGCTGCAGGCCTTCTTCATCCGCCAGACGAAGGCCACCTTAGTTCCTACGGTCTTGCGGACTTCTTCTCAGGGATCTGACAGGATCTTCTCTCCTCTCCTTCAACCCAGAGCAGTGAAGACCACTACCGAGCTATGATCGTCCCTTTTTAGGAACCCTAGTTCTTCGGCCACTCGGATCTGAAACCATCTCAAGCCATGCACGGAGCTCTGGAAGGAAACGAGGAAGGAAGACCGGCTATGGCGAAGGAGAGTGTTAAAGAAGAGAGAGAACGGAAAGAAGAAGAAAGAGACTAGAAAATGGAAGAAAAACGAAGCTAAAAGGAAAGGACTCGAGTGAAGGAGAGGCCAGAGGAGGCGATCGCATTAACCCCCGTTCCAGATGATGGTGGGTGCTGCCAACAAATGCCTCCTAACCACCTCTCCTCTCTCTGCCTGTTCTACGGAAGAAGGGAAGAGAAAGAAGCCGAGCAAAGCCCCCTCTCTCTGGTAAGAGATTGCGCTTGCTAGCGCCTCGTTCTCTTCCCGTCTCCCCCCTCCCGCTTTCACTCCAAACCCCAAGACGAAAAAATATGAGGCCTTCCCTCCTCCTCCTCCTCCTCCTCCTCCTCCTCTACCTCCTCAGAACTCGCCTCTCATATTTTTTTCCTTCCTGTGCTACGGCTGCCGACGCAGAGCTCCAGGGCCTCAAGAGAGGGGGGCCGCTAAGGAAACCGGGTCGGGAGGCAGATGGCAGGAACGACGGGAGGCGACTATGGAAGGATAAAAAAGCATATGTGGACCGTGTGAAGCCTTTCGGAACCAGAGGTCGGAGAAGAAAAAAGAAAAGCTTCGGCGAAGGAAGACGAACAAAAGGTGGGAAAGGACCCCAGAGCCGCTTGTCGCTCTGGCGGTTCTCAGAGCGCAGGGAGGAAGTAGGCGAGATATATAACGCCGATTATTTAATAAGAGGAGGCACAGACGAAAGGCGCCATTTGACTGCGCCCTCCCATCACCGTTGGAATGATCAGAAAAGAGAGAGATCGGAGAAGGCCGAGGTAAAATCGGGGGAAAGCCGAGCCTTTTGCCCTTCCCTTTCTACTTTCCCTGCTTCTACCCCGTCGTAGACCTACACACCGGCAGAAGGAGCAAGATGAAGACGGTGGGGGTAAGAAAAGAGAGAGAGAGGGGGGGGGGGCTCTGTATTTTTTTCTTAGGAGTGTGAAACAGGTGGAAATCGGAACGACCTACTGGAAAGAAAAATACAAAGGGGCGGATCGTACTAGACCTTTGAGCCCGAGAGGAGGGATCACGGCTGACCGACTGGTTCTTTCTCTTCTGCAGATGGCAGTCGTATTTAGCAGGAGCTCAAGTCAAAACAGCGTCCTCACTCGCCTACCTCCCCAACCATTCTCTCTCTCTCTCTCCCCCCCACCACGCCACCCCGTCCCTGTCTGTCTCTCCCTCCCCCATCCACATCTATCTCTACCCCGCCTAACACTGTGCTCCCAAAAACCACTGAAAAAATATAATAATATTATGCACAGTTTATAGACGATGAGCATACTCTAGACACAGTATGACAGAAAAATACACGCGATTTCCTCGCAAGAAAACCCGGTCCCCCGGCTTCCCACACTTGGTCATGGTCACTCCTCCCTCAATTTCTTCTTACTACTTCTCTCTCTACAGATAAGACAGTTACACCTCTCTGAAAGGCTTCCCGTACACGGTGATCGAAGCGGCGTCGGCTGGAGGGACGGTATGGGTAGAGACGACCACTGGTGGGGCGAGAGAGGCTACCCAGAGATGGAAGGTCGGAAGAGAGAGAGAGAGAGAGAGAGTCGCCGAATGTCGTAGAGGGGAGGCGGAGTGACGGAGTGGGCATCGAGATGGGGACGGGTACGGGCGCGCGGGAGGAGCCGGAAGGCCATTAAATTCCTCGTTACGGATCTACAGGTGGTCGATCTCCCTCGGTTCCTCTCTCTCTCTCTCTCTCTCTCTCCTCCCGAGTGAGAGAGAGAGAGAGAGATTTACGAAAGAATCGCGCGTGAAGGGAGCGTCTTAAGGATGGATCATGGCCCCCCTACCCCTACGTCGTCCGCCTTCCAGACGGGGAGGACGAAGCAGACCCTGCCTCCAGCCAAAGCCGTTGCATTCCCGATCGGGAGGCGCAATTAAGGCGCCGAGCTGGGAGTCGGTTGGCCGCGCGCGCGCGCGTGGGGGACGCCGTGACGCGCCCGGCTGGCCTTCGCTGTGCCGGCCCGCCGCCTCCGGCAACCTCACCGCACTCCTCCCCCCCGCCGGAGACGAGCGTCGCTCACGGGCACCTCCTCGCCGGAATTAAATGCTCCTCTCTTCCCCTCCCTCCCTTCCTCAGGCGGTCCCGCCACCGCCACCGCCGCCGCGGCACGAGGCCCAGCGTGCATACAGCCCGCCGGGGGCCTCCTCGCCACACCGGAAAATGACCGGCGGCATTAAATGGCCGCTTCCGTATGCGCTCCGGCGGCAGCCGGGCCGGTCGACTCCGGGTTCCTTCAATTCTAACGCCATCAACCAGACGCCCCCATTTCCCTCTATTTACCGGCCAACACCTCCTTGTCCGCATCCTTATCCTCCTCCCTCATTCAATTACACGACTGTTGAAGGGATAACAGTTGGAAGGTGACGACAGCGCCGAGACTTGTCGATGTATCTTCAGTGTCAACGCAGTTGACGATTGACCTCCAGGACTGACCTCGCCCTCTATAGAAAAATAAGGGGGGAAATATCTTGGCGTATGCTATGTATTTTAGTGTGACGGCGATGCTCTCTTTGAGCCAATAATAGCAGTCGAAAATCAGCTTGAATGCACCAAATATGTGACTCGTGGGGGCTATAAAGTTCGGAATATAAAAGGGCATCATACATAGTTATTGTCAATTGTCGCTAGTAATTAATCTAAGTGCTCTAAAAAAAGTGCCACTCAGTCGAGTAAGCTGTCAATGGGCCCAATTACTCTCCATTCTGGCATTCAATACGCACATGTAGTTAGAGAGAGAGAGAGAGAGAGGAGAGAGAGAGAGGGAGGGATGTGACTGCCACGTGAGAGGACGTCATGGGGCAGCCACGTGGCAAAAGGACGGACGCGTGGGTTCCCAACCATGCAAGGTTTCTGTAGTGTTGACTTTTCTTTTACGGCTTCACTTGAAGGTCAGAGGTAAGACATCCAGGGTGGCCCGCGTCGAGCTCACTCGACTCCGCCCTTTTCTCCACCTCACACTGGAACAGTGGTCACGAGCCCATCAATGCTCCCATAAGAAATAATAGAAACACTCTGGAAGGGCCCCCCCCGGGTCCTCCATGTGCACCCGCTTGCAGGAGATGGATAGAGAGAGATAGAGATAGAGTGGAAGACCCAGACGAAGGAAAGCCACTTCATCATTCGGATACGCCCGAACCATGGAAGAACTGCCTAAAGTTTGGAAATATAAATGAATATATTGCATTTCACGGCGCATATATTCTCGAGGTCAGTATCGAGTATTATAAGGGACCAGGAGGATCGCGATTTGATGTGCTTCCGAGAGCTCACCCACCGTCCAGATCTCCACTCACTGCTCAATAACTCCGGAGAGCGGAGCTCACCGCCTCCGCCTTGCAGATCGAATGAGGGGAAGGGAGGGGGGGTTTCATTTATCAGATTCCATTATCGTTGACCTTAAGTTCGTGTGACTTTTACAGGGGTGGTAAACCGCCGGCGGTTTCAGCTCAACCATGCTCAGCCGGACTCGATGAACTGGATCCGATCGACCCTCTAAAATAGCGCGGATAATCTGGCCAGCCGGGTCAGCTGGCCGAGAGCGATTCGATTAAAATATCTTTACTGATGAGGGAGACTCGGAGTTACCATAAGCTCTGATATTTTCGGAGGCATTAAATTAATTGGACCGAATGTTCCAACTGTCAAATAGCAGAGTTATGGCGCCGGTTTGTAAAAGTCAACGACGTAGACAGTGGCTGAAAATGGCTAAGGCAACGATTTAGCCTGTAAAAAATGGTGTGATAATGAGGCAAACCCGTGAATAGGGCCAGAAAATGGTTCAGGTAAACCAATGAGTTGCTCGCAGTTCTTGAAGAGGGTCGCGCCCGAGGGGTGCAATTAAACCATGGCAGTTATGCCGTCTCGTCGCCGGGGCCGGCTTTAACGCAAACCCAGACGTCGAAGGTCATTCGCCATGGACATCGACGTCCCCCACCACGCCGCCTGCCCACCTTCGCATCTGGAGCAGGCCCTGTGAGCTGAAGAAGAAGACGACGACGATCCATCCCTTCACGTCAAAGCATGAACCTGGAAACCGAGAGACATGCTGGGGTAAATAGAATCTCAGATCCTGCCTGCATTCATACTTTTCACTTTCAATGCTTCTCTCTCTCTCTCCCCTTCTTTTCTTCTCTGTAGTAGAAATGAAGCCCGAGAAGTCTTTCACCTCCGGCGGTCGGCGTGGCCTCTTCGCCGCCGTATGACTCCGCCGCAGGGAAGACCGATCTTCTCAGGGGTCCCCCCTTCCCTCCGTATCTGCCGGGCTCGTCTGATCTCCCCACCTATCGACCTTTATTTATCCGCATAGGGAGGACTCGCGATTGCACTCCTCAGACGGCGATGACGGCAGATAGCGAGAGACGGTCTTCCTCTCTTCGAGCTTCCACTCCTTCTCTTCTTCGTCGTTCCGCCGCCCGCCGTGTGAAAGCAGGCAGAAGAAAAAGTCCTCCCTTGGCTTCTTACTTTCTCTTCCTCCTGTCGTCCTCACTGTGCAAGGATGAGCATCCGGCGTCTCTCTCTCTCTTTACGTGTGAAATTGCGCCGGGCGGAGTCGGTCTCCCATGGTCTCCGCGGCGGCGGTGGACCAAGTAAAGTGGGGCCCACCTGCTGAGATATTTTTTCAAGATCTCAGCGAAATAATTTTTAAATGTTTACGTGGATAACGAGGCCTTTTTTCATAATAAATAATAAAAAAGATCTGATTTGGATGGAATGGGTGCAATTAACGGGCCGTAGCCCATTGCCGAGTTTGGCCCAGTAACTACTCGATGTGCATTACGATGGGGGGGGGGGTCGGCCCAAGTTCACAATCGGCCTAGTCCACGCGGCTGGGTTCGGCCGACTTTCCTCGCCCTCTGGACCGGTACCGTTAGGGTTTTCCTCCTCCAGCGGAACCCGGCCGAGGTGGTCGCTGCTTCCTGGTTCTCCTTTCCCGGGGCAAACCCTGGCTAAACCCCTCTCCTCCTCGGAAGGGCGGTCCAGAGGGACTCCGCTGAGGTTGCTGCCCCTCCTTGTGATTACTCAGCTTGTGGATGACTCACGGTCATCTGTTTGATCGCATCTGCCGCCATACGGAAGGAGCCTTGATTGCCGTTCAAGCGTGAGTGTCGGCGTTCCTCTCAATGGCGAGCCAGTGCGGGGGTCTGAAGGTTTTGTCGCACAATGGGGTCAAGGTGTACTGTATCACGGGCCACCGATACGGTGCCACACCTATACCAACGAGCAAGTTGAAGTCCCTCAAAAAGGACGAAGGTGCGCCTAGATTTATTTTCTTTTCGGTCGTCTTATGTGCAATTGTGCTCCCGAGATGCAGGCTCAGGACCCTTCCGTCTTAACTTCTGTAACATATCACCAAAATTGTCCGCGTTAATTTTTCTTTTTTTGGGTCACTGGAGGTCTATTTGGATATGATCTCATCCGGGCTTGTCTTTACTTTTTCCTTCGAAATAGTTGTGTAACATCCTATGGTGGCATTTACCTCATTTTTTATGAACTAAATGCCCTTGGTAACTTATTTCTACCAGAATTCAAGAGAAGACTTGACGTCATTCATGATTTGAAATTTGAGACAGCAACATCCCGAATTAAGGTTACTCCTGATGGTGAATATGTTATTGCATCAGGTATTTCACTGCCACAGATTCTTTATTAACGACTTGGCGTTGAAATGAAGGTTTTTTTTTACACGTTGAATTGCGCTTCCGTTTCATATGTCTAGAGTGCAGTTTTTAAGTTCAAAAAACCACCTACTCCTAGAGGGACAACTCTGCACCCATCTTATACACGGTCTATTATTGTGCGCTTACTTTGACTAAATCGACCAACTGTAGTTTAGCATATTCGCTCCTTTGTCCGTGTTCGCACGTGGGATCAATGTTTCCATTCGAAACCGTAGTATACAAATAGGTTCGTATTGAATGAAAACCGTTCACATCTGATGGAGCATAAGATGGCCTTAGTGTTGACATGGATGTATGTCTGAAGCTCGAAGAAACCACTAAAAATAAGGTGCAATGGCCTTAGTGTTGTATAATCTGCATGTATTTACTCGTGTTCATGCAGATGTGAAATTATCAAAACTATGTTGAAGGAAGGTTGGTTGAAACTTAATGTTATTATGAGAACAGACATTTCTTGCTTGGCGCCGCACTATGCTCTGCTTCAAAAAATGATTCGGTGGAACCGGTGAACCACGCGAGCTGGTTAGATGCGTGGGACAGAGGGCTCGTTGTACCTGCTAAAATTCGTAATTGCTAAAAATTCTTCAACATTTAGACGATTTTTCTCAGAGTTTTCATGATAAGTAATGGGAAATAAATCTGGGATAATCAATGTTTGATGTTACAGTTATTTTCTTTCCTTTTTTTGTATAAAAAATATTATACTCTCTGTGCCACAAATGTTCTCTTTTTGCTTCCGATATATTTTTCGCTGTTGTAGTAGATACTGTGTTACGCTGTGTGTACTATGAATATGTGTATCTTTCTTTGGAATTTTGGTTGATAAAATCAAAGTGGTCATTCATATGGGTGGGTGTGTGTCACAGAGAGAGAGAGAGAGAGATAACAATATCACCTTCTTGTTGTGGCGTGTAGGAATTTACCCTCCTGCAGTAAAAGTTTACGAACTGAAGGATATGGCACTGAAGTTTGAAAGGCATCTCACATCTGAAATCATAAATTTTCAGGTATGTGCTTTTAATGTTGCCCATTTCTCCCTTCCCTGTGCTTGCTGAGGGAAAAGTAAATATGTTTCTCTGAATTGCTCAGATTGTTCCTGTCAAATTTTTTCAACTTGACTCTTTGTTTCTGTTCATTCCTTGAAATTGTTATTTTGTTAAATTAGCTAAAGAATGTTGTAATTTTATTTGACTACTCTCATAACCCTATTAAAAATGGCTGGAGGAGTTGAATGGAGTTACGTAGTGTATCTCTTCTCTCACTTGGTAGCTGCGGCCCTCCTCCATGGAGTCAGTCTCGCCATTGTTGTCATTAATTTTGTAGAGAATTGCCAAGAGCTTGTGCATACTTGCTGTCCTCTCATTTAAGGTGCTGCTATCGTCTTGAATGGAAGTGAAATGTGATGCGTGTGTTCTGGTAGAACACAGCGAGCATGATGTCACTGACATTTTTTAAGCTCTGAAGATGTATCACGTGCTTCCTGATATTGCAATTTGCAATGGAAAATGATCTTCATGCTATGAACTGATCTTTCCATCACTCATTCTCTGAATTTCTCTCATGTATGAACTAATGTTTCAGGCCCAGGGATTAACATGGGATTTGAAATACATCATTGTGCTATTCTCAACTTATTTTCTTTATGTATCTTTATTAGAGTTTAGAGCCTATCCTTTGGTCTTGGATTCTGAAAATGGCTAATCATATATGTAATTTTTTGAGGAGACAAGGAAGTAAGCTTGATCCATTGACCTTAAGTTTTTTTTCTAATGAAAATTGTTTTAAAGGATGTTGTATAGGTGAGACACGATTAGAATGTCATGTTGCGGAAGCCCAATATAAGATAACTAGAAGCAATCTAATTTAGCAGTCATATTTTACTGAGTATTGAGCATGATATTTTTGCAAGTTCGACAGGTGTCGTTTTTTATGTTGAGTGGAATGCTATTGCCTGCATATTTCATTGTCTGTTTGAAGCATCTTCTTAAATGTGCCATGGGTGGGGGCGGCAGTGTTAGCCATTGCCACTGTTGCACACAACAGCACGGCCAATCATGCTGCCAATACGTTTAACAGCAATAAGAGCTGTAACTAATAATGGGAACTTCTGAAGCAGCTGCCGTTAGTGGCACATTTTCTTTTGAAAATTTTAAATTGGATTTCTTTGAATAGCATGCGTGGAGTGCAAGCTATCGTCTTTTTTGGAACTTTGTTTTGACTTTATGGTTTCTATAGTCTTTTTGATGAAGTGTACAATATCTTTGCTCATCTAGGTGTTGTGTGACGACTATTCAAAGATTGCATTTCTTTGTGCTGATCGTTCTGTTTGCCTACATGCAAAGTATGGAAGTCATTACAGCCTGCGCATACCAAGGTTATTTACCATTCTCAAACATGCCGATTTCATTGTCATTGGTGCATGCTGTGATAGCCAATATGAATGGTTAATAAACTTCTGAGGAGGGGTAGATATTTGAGGTTATTTCTTTTTGGGTTTCTTTTAGATATCATAATCAACATCAAGCATGAAGTCATTTGTGCTTGAAGTGCGTCTACTTATATCCCTGAAGACTAAGGATAGACCATTCTGTTCTAGCTTATCACCTTGTTGGATGGTAAGTGAAGACATTTTTGGGGTGTTCTTTAATGCTGTTTCTTTATGTTTTCAGTGACAAATGGTTCTTTTGTCATCCTTTCATAAGTAGATTATTCCTGCCATCAACATAATATGAAGCATGAAACTTAAGGTATATATGCCTAAAATTTGCATCATTGTGGTTTCTCTGTTAAATTATCTCTCATGTTTATTTTAGTGGATGAATGCTTCTTCATGAATGAACATGTAGGGAAAAGAACAGAAAATCTATAACATGATGTCTTTTTGTGAAAAATATGAGTGTCTTCCTAGAGGGACAAATGAATCGTGGAGGCCATCGAGATTTGTCTTCATTGTTGAATCAGTAGGCAGGTGTCATGGCTGGCATATGTCTGAACATAAACACACCACTTTCTTTTGTTGTTTTAGGTATTTCTTATGTTTGGTTCAAAAGCCATGCGTAGACCACTTTTTGTGTTCTTTAAGGATCCATTAAAAAGAAACAAAAGGAAACAAATAGGCTTGTCAGCAAGTTGGAATCTTTGAGCACATGGTCTGACTCCCCCCCCCCCCCTCCGGCCAAAGTGATCAATCTTTGAGCACAGCCACTCCTTGATCAATCTCGGACATATTTTTCTGATTTAATTCTAAGGCATCATCAATAGACGAACTATTTTAAAATATTTTAAAATATTTTAATTCTAAGGCATCATCAATATTTTGATACACTTATCTGCTGCGACTCGAGGCATTGTTTAATATGTTTGTTTGATATCCATTTTGTTTCTCCACTTTGAACGTCCACAGCAACATCTAAAGCCCTAATGTTTTGGAATAACTTGTGGGCGAAGCTATTGCTAATGATTTTTGTATGATTTTACAGAATGGGGAGAGATATTACTTATGACTGCTGGTCTTGTGACTTAATCTGTGCTGCTTCTTCTCCAGAAGTTTACAGAATCAATTTGGAACAGGTCTTTCATTTATATTCTAATGATTAAATTTCTAGACTTCAATTCTACTATTTGCTGGTTTCAATACTTGCCTTTATTTTATATTTCTTTACTGAGTGATATATTTTTTCTGCTCTTCTCTCAGCATTTATAGAATCAATCTGGAACAGGTTCTCGTTGACAGTCTATAAAGTTTTGTAAATGTGTAGACTCTTTTGCTGATTGATGCGTACTACAATTTTATGTATTTTGTTTAGTACCAATCTTATTTCATATGGATTCTTTTCTTTATTTCAAGCTAGCTGCTGTGTAATTGCTTACTCTATTGTACCAGATCAGTTGAACTGACCTCTCTAACTTTCGAAAAGGTTTTGCTTCTGATTGGACCCTTTGTTCAGATCCCAGTGGGAGGTTCATCTTTGCTGACGAAGTGTATTTATTAAAAAAGTTTTAATCTCTTCAAATTCATTCTAATAGTTTATCAGGGGAACATGTCAGAAATTTAACCAATAGTTGTATTTATGTGCATGGGAATGTACATCATTGATTAAAAAGGGCTGAACTTGTCCCTTTTTTAGATATTTGAAAATGGTAAAACTTGGTGTGTTGGAAGTTCTAGGTCGTAGAGAAATAGTGCAATTAGTTGATGGTGTTTTGGCAAAAGTTGTGTATTGTTACTCCCTATATAATGGGGGTTAGAGTTGAATGAATCTTGAGGTGGTTTCTACTGTTCTCCCCTCCATCCTTCGTCAAGGTTTTTTCTCCATTTCCAACAGTATGTTGGCTTGAAAGCGAGAACATAGATCATTGATTAATGGTTAAAAAATTGTGTAATAAAGGACATACACAGTGAAGTAGATAATTTGGGGTTGCGGTATGTCCTCTTTTCTCTAGCGGGTGCTTTATTCTGCGTTCTTGGAAGACTTCAGAGGAAGACTATTTGTGAGAAGCTTCGATGCTGCTGATCATCTACCCTTCTCTCCATCCACCTGTTCTCGTTTTCTTGATTGTCAGTGAATGTACATCTTGCGGCTTTTCTCTCATTGCTTGAGCTAGATTGTGAGAGATGACCACGACGCAATTTTTCTTATGAACATGCAAGAATGATTGCGTGGCCAATGCTGACCAGTATTGGCCATCATTTGGCCCTCATTACCTACTCATACCTTTCTGATTGTACATCCTTCTGCCTGATTTTTATTGTAAGTAGTCAATTCAGCCGTATGCTGACCAGTATTATTCTTGTGGGAAACCAAAACAGTCAAGTGAGGGGTAAAGTAAAGCACCATTTTAGCCCTCCTCTCTCTCATCCGATATCTTTCTCTCCCCCATTTCTCTCCAGCTATCGCCTCTCTCATGCATATCCTGCTTTGTCTCTCTTCACGTCTGTTTTTTCAGGATCATAGACTTGAGGCCTTCAGTTCATCATTTGGTCAGAACAATGCGTAGAAGATGGGAGTAATCTCACAAATCATTCCGTTCACTTGTCGTTACCCTATATTCTTTCCTTCATTCGCACCTGACCTTTCTCTTGTTTCCACGAAGGCAATACTAATGATGGTCTTTTTTTACAGCTTTTCTTTTTTGGGACATGATTCATTTCTAAGGCTAATTAAAACAGTTTTTCAAGGCTTTCTCTTTATTGGTTGGCTCACCCGATTTTCAAGCATCTCAGATCTATCAGTTTCTTACATGGGATGGTCTCTCTTGTCTTGCTCGGAAATATTTTATTTGCTGTATTATGTTCATCCTGATTTCTTCTAGGTCTAAATAAAGTTTTAGCTGACAACTTGCTGATGACCCTTCTGAATCAGACCCCATCACAGTTGAACTTGCTCAATTGGTTCATATTTAGAGTTCGGGACGTCCAACTTAAATATGGATAATATCTTATCGAGCTACTTGATATTGTTTTGTCTGCTCTTTTTACCTACCATTAATTGGATACGATGATTTTTCCTGCATCTCATTTGTCTGATCCAATTGCCAAATATGAGAACTGGTGCCTAGAACTCTAGGTTTTCCATGATTATTTTTGTTTAATAATTTTTATCAATATAATACTACTTCATTGGGTTTTGGCAATTTTTTTGTTTCATTGGTCGGATGGTAGGTTTTGATGTTTTTGTTATTTCCCCAGTTCTTTCACTAAACATTATCAACTATATTGCCTTCTAAATTCTCAGGGTCGTTTTCTTTCCTCTCTCAAAACGCAAGCACCTGCTGTAAATACAGTCACTCGAAGGTCTGTACACCATTTTTTGCAATGTCTTTGTTGAATTTCTTGCTGTTATTGGTCTAATAACTAAATTTGCTTTCGAAATCTCTCCTGTGCTTTGATGAGGTTAGTGCCATTCATGGGCTTCTTGCTTGTGGTGGAGAAGATGGGTCTGTGGAATGTTTTGATTTGAGAGTGAAATCTTCAGTTGGAAGGATTGATGCTTGTATGTCTGCAGGTGGCTCTATTGAGGTAATAATAACGTCTTTCAATCCAACTTTGTTTAAATTAGTTAGTTTTCTTCGTGGACATATTATGACTCATACCTCTTCAGGAGGTCACTGCGTTGCAATTTAATGATGACAGTGGCTTTTGCCTGGCTGTTGGGAGCAGCGCTGGAAAGGTTAGACAAGATGTCATTCTGCCCTAATAATCCATTTATATACATGCTAATATTGTAAATGTATATGTATATATTCCTAATACTGTATACATGTATGCACGTGTAGATGGTCAAAGAAAGATCGACATTGCAGGCAGTGGACCGGTCAATTTTACTCATGACCTGAAGTCTTCGAAAAACTAAATTCAATTTCGATGAATTCTGCCTAGAGAAATGTATTGAGATAAAAATAATTGAAATGCGTTTTATAAACGTATATGGGCCATATAATCTAATATATGTACACCAGGGATATTTTATTTGATAAAAGCTATTTTATTTCTTGTTCGGTTGGTTTCAATCATCAATTACGTTAGGAAAACATTTAGCATGGGACTATTTAAGTTGATTGTTTTTGTATTAAATTTTTATCTATCACATTCCACTGAATGGCTTATGGTAGATGGCCAAAAGTGAGGCGTACTAATTAAGGTCTCACTATTGCGACTTGTAGTATTATTCCAGTCTGGGTTTTTTTCTGTTACAGAGAGATAATACTTTGGTTGGATTTTTTAAACTATGAAGAGCTTTATTATGCGGTAACTAGAGATAGTGATGGACTTATTCTTAGGATGTTGGCACCAAGTTGTTTCGAAGTCTCATGGATGCCATCTCCGTGGAGTGTAAATAGTTTGAGGAATGATGTGTCTTGGTTGAATGCCAAGTTACGTCCGTGGTGTTGAAAATTTTACAGGAATGAGTAGTTTTCAAAGGTTCTTCACAGCTAGGCTGTTTTATGGCTCAATTATAGTTTGCTTTTATTGGCGTGTCAATCATGGTGTTCCTCTTATTCATTTTACCGTTGTGACTGCAGCCATTTTCCTTAGAGGACCAAATCTGAGTATTTTTTTAGGCACATGTTCGCAGACTTTGGCTAACGAATGTGACCTCAATAAGCTTCACAACGAAACCTATGGGTGTCAGAACAAATATTATGTAATGGTGTAAATGCAATCTTTATTCTCACCACGAATTGGCATGCAGTTCAACGGTTAGTGTGAACCAACGTTGAGCTCGCTATCTTTGGGCCAAATTGTATGAGTAGTTGCACTGCTCAATCGGTTGAGCCAACCATTGGATTACCTTAGAGAACTATATATAAGCTATGTATTATTTCAGATATTTTTTGTTCACGGTACTGGTCGAGTTGTTCCTTGATAATTTGTTAGCTGTGAATGCTTCAATTGCGCATGTTTCACGTTCGCCTTTCACAGATGATGAGCAGCTTTAGATGTAAAACTGTTCTTAATAGTGTGTCTAGATTCTTTTTCAGTTGGCTTTAGACTTGGATTGTGGTCGGTACCATTGATTTGCCAATATCAGATTTCAGCCAAGTGACTCTGATCCCTATTTCAAACTTCCGAACCCTTAATAGGGAGAATCTTTCAAGCTTTCTTTCATGAATAACAATTTGTCTCTTTCGCCAATGAATTTGAAGGAGAAAGTTCAATTCTTTTTTTGTTTGACTCTATTTTGTCCTATTTTGCCTCTATTTTCCTGTTACTAATGGCAGATGTGGCATGGTCATCTAGTTTGTTCTTCCACTTGGGCATTGAGTGGAACGTGGAGAAAGGTGTCAGCATTATTTTCTCCATGCTTCGGTGTTTGTAAATATTCTAAAGCTTGTTCGAAAGCTTGAATCTCATCCTTTTTAAAAACAACAATCGATTACATACCTTTTTGTATTGAATTAATTTACAACACCTACCAAAAATATGCTGTCATCGATTACAGTTTCCTTAGTTTTTTTGGTACTTATTGGCAAATGTTTTGACGATGATCAATCAATTTCCTTTTTCGAACTGAGGGCGGTCTTGCAATATTTTTGTCCTTATTGTTCAAGTTCTGTGAAGTGCAGGTACTAATCTATGACTTGCGTTCTTCTTATCCTATCAGAGAGAAGGATCACAAGTAAGTTTGTCTGCGGATTCTACAGTTCCCCAATTACATTTTATATCCGTTTTCCATTTCTCTTGAGAGAATTACTTAGTTTTTTGATTATATGTAATATATAGGAATGACAGCGCAATAGTGAACATAAAATGGCATCAGACCCTCAATTCGGTAAAGCCAAAATTGATCAGCGCCGATTGTCATATTGTCAATATTTGGGATCCTGATACGGTAAGGTTATTTCTTGGTAGATGCTGCATGATTGGTGTTTAATTTGCTAATATCCCTGGTGTTGAAGTGGATTCTTATTGTCCCATCTTTCCTAAAATGGGCTCTTCTAGCAGATGTTGCTTACACATGATTGCATTAGGATTGAGGTAGCTTTTATTCTTTGGGCTATTTGCTGCGAACAGAGGGCAAATTCTGAGAACTTTATGACGATTAAAAAATTGGTACTAGAATTCGTAGTCATTTTCATGACAAGTCATATGATTTCTGGAGTTTGAACGTGGCGACATGTTCCTTCATCACAGTAGGGTTGGTGGGGAACTTTTTTTGTAGTTATTCCTGGGGTTTACTTTGGGATTATCTTGTCTCTTAGGAGGGGCACAAAAGTGTGTGTACTTTATTATGATTTTCTTTATGAAATGTAGTTTCACCATCTCCAAAAGAAGTTTAGACCCATACACGTAGTTCATATTAGGTGTTGAATTTAGACATTTCCTTTTGTCTCTTGCTATCCTCCCGATACCGGTTTCCTGTAATTTCCATTGCGCTTGTTTTCTTCAAACGAATCTGTGACTAGTTCTGGTTGTCAGGAAAAAAATGTTGTCAATAAAATTTCTTCTACTTTACTTCTTGTTGGATCCTGATGCTGCTAGCATTTGTTCAAAGTATTTTTCTCATTGTTAGTTCCAATTTAACTCTATTTTTTAGAATATGCATTCCGTATTAACTGTATGAATTTTTTTTCTTTGAATATTTTTTGTGAAAACATGCGGCCCTAGTTTATGTCAAGTTATATCTGAGTGTCAGTTTATTATGGGCTTTTGCGGCGAGCTAGATGAAGCCTTGGAGTTTTTTTCCTAGGTTGGTCATTCTCACGTGAGATTTAAAAGATGGTACACCACTCTACAGGCATATGCTGGCGTCATCTGGTATTGGATGCTTCAAATAGACAATTGCAAAAGATGATGGCTTATCCTCTAAGCGGCCCTTTGAGCTTTATGGAATGAGAAGAACATACACATGTTTAAAAGGCAAAACTTTTGGTTTCCAGTTGAAAGGGCTTCAACCTTTAAATAAGCTAAACCAATAGAATGGGTATTTTCTCCCATATGGAAAGGCATGCTAATCAGAATAAGCTATAATAACTTGGGAGTATCCTACCGTTCCCTGTACTCTGAAAGAGTACAGGAAAAATTTACTTCTAAATCCCTTTCTTATTTTGATATTGAATGAATAAGCGGCTTAGCCCATATTGAAATTTATGCTATCCAATTGTCTACTGTTTTTTTTGGCTTTTGATTGCCTCATATGCTTGGGAAAAAGAATTGTTAAATTTAAGCTGGAGAACAGTAGCTGTCAATGTTTACTTTAGGCATGAACTTATTCTCTGTAATTTCATTTCTTAGCGGAATTTGAGCCATTCAACTACCTATTGTGATGCAGAATTTGTTGTTCGTTTTTCCAGGGAGATAATTTGACCAGCATTCAACCAAGTGGTGAAGGTAGTGGAAATATCAACGATGTTTGCATCTTTCCTCGGAGTGGCTTGATGCTGTTTGCTCTTGATCATAGTCAGATACCTTCCTATTTCGTGCCTGCTCTTGGTCCTGCCCCAAAGTGGATTAAAGACCTTGACAGGACAGTGGTGAGATGATCCTTTCTGCTTTCCTAGTGCCACAATTTTGGGTTAAGGAAACAATTTTTATGTAAAGAAAATAAAATATATTTTTCATGGCCTTGACTTGCTCCTTTTTTATGTTCCTCCTTTGTTCCCTTTGACAGGATGAGGAGGAAAATGCTGAGACGATGATATTTGAGGATGTAAAATTTGTGACTGAAGAAGAGCTTGAAAAGTTAAATTTGGGATATTTAAAATCGTCCAATCTTGTGAACCCATATTTGCACGGCTACATTATCAACCTTCAGCAATATAAGAAGGTATTGCTACTTTGTTATCACGGTTATCCAAACACGTTGTAGATTCTTATTTCTTTTAGAATATATTTTCTAGTAGCTTGTCAGTAGTTCTTGATTCATTACAAATAAAAAACTGATAGTACTTGCCTAGCTGAAAAAACATACAGTCAATTGCGAATCTTAAAATTAAAGGCGATTTATTTACCGTAAACTGTCAGCCAGTAGATAATAATGACTCGTGAGGATATTGAATGGAGGTTTAGCCCGCCTTACAGCCATCCGACCAGAAAAGTAGGCGTACAAGTGGCGTCCACCCTTACCATTCCTTCTTCCTGGCTAGGCCCTTCTATGTACCCTTCAGGGCTGAGCTCTCTTCTAGGTGCTTGCTGTGGACATTAATTTCTCATATGAGAAGGTGCCAGACCAATAAATTTGGGGTCAATAGCTGTTGGACTTGATTCACAAAAGTAACATTTCTCACAGAACTGAATTTTCATTCTACCCGCTGCAGGCATCCTTTCACACCCTAGTAAGCATTTTTCAACCTGACTAGAGCTCTTCGGTTTTTTTCCCTCTTCATAGTGGTGAAATGGCCCTACATGTTGCATATAAGATTTATCTCTTCAACAATAATTCAATTATAATTTCATGTGTTGGGTAAGATAGGCAAGGTTTCGATCATGTATTAGGGAGCAGCTACTTTCCCCTTATTGGCAGTGGTGACAGTCTTAACAGCACCCTATGTCTTAACAGCACCCTATGTAAGAGAATGGCTCATGGTGGGAAGAAATGGGTTATTCTGAAGACATCTAAACGAGAACGATTATGAATTGGTGGTTACCGTGTGTAAGAAGGACCAATAATGCTGTAAAGGAGAGAGATTAAGGCAGCTAATATTGAATTCTAGAATTTTCGTTACTTCTCTTTTGCATGCGAACCATACAGATGCATATGAGGATAGAACCAGGCCATTGGGAAAAAAAATATTTCAGTGCTGTTAAATCTCTTCAGTGTGGTGGATTGTATACAGCAAAAAATATTTCAGTACTGTAAAGGAAATGAGGATATTTCAGGAAGGGAGACAAATGGCTTCACTCTGTGATGACATAGAAAAGGGTGACTAAATGTTTTGTTTGTCTGTGATACTAGAAGGGGGAATTGAAGACATGAATGGGTGTTATGAGAAAGCCTGAGGAGATTTTGTTTAAAGACTTGTCATTCTGGGGATTATGATTTGCGCAAAAAGGTGCAGATGATATTGGACAACGGAGATTTATGTCTTAGAAAACGGAGAAACAATACATAACTTTTCAAACGCATTGAAACGTTTGTGGAGAGCTTTAAAAACGTGGTGTTGTAGGAAATATGGTATTGTCCTTTTATTCTTCACAATATTTCCTGTGATTGAGATGCACTGCGATACAAAGCTTGTCTTGGAGTGAGGCTTCCCATCTTCCTCATTCTGTAGCACCGAAACTGAAGCTATGACCATATGGAAGGATATTGTTACATGGTGAATGCTGAACCGACAATTGTGAACTACTTAGACATGTCAAAATATTTCTGGTATGCTTGTCGTCTGAGAGAGGTGGATGGTAGTACTTATAGAGGGGGTAGATATTGTACGCTCATTTGAGAGTAGAAGTCTCGAGTATCTAAGCCCTATTTGTCCTTGGTTCTATAAGTCAGTCCTCACCCGGTTATTTACGTAACTGTGTGACAGTGCAGAAATCTCATCATTTGGCATAATAATAAAGTTTGAAACTTAAAAGAATGATTGAAAGCTGTAATTATCCTAACTAGTGCATGCTTGTGACAGTTCAGTAAAGAGCAGTGAAACGTTCACCTCTCATTTCACGAGAAAATGAATATTGGTTTCCAATACAGCCCATAATCTGCTTTTCTGCAAGGCTCTCCCCTCCTGAGTGGTCTACATCAATAAATGGAATAGTTTTCTGTTCAGATTCTTTTTTGGGTTCTGTTGCCTCTTTATTTTTTCAGATGCTTCTACCTACTTATCAACATTTTCTTACCTGCAAATTATCCGGCACTTCTGTTCTCAAGGAAAAAATGTCTATGCTTGATTACTTTCTTTGCATATTTTGCGTTGATATCCTTTGCATATTTATGGAATTAATTTTCTGTTTTCCTACGCCTAGTTTGAAGGGTTAATTACACTCCTGCACGCAGTAAGTAATATGGCGTGTATCTATTGTCGCACATTAATGGGAGTCTTTTCCATTAAGGAGTCTGGATATCATTCCTCCTCTGTTCTCTTACAGAACCTGTATCATTTCTAAATTTTCTTGCTGTCGTTCTTTCATTTGGTCCAACATTATCTTATCAGATGTGTCGCCCCTTTATGATATGGAGCTTGCTTTCTGGCATAGTACAATTCAATATTTTTCTCCACAGTTTTCCTTTGGTAGATTTGAGTTCGAAATTTAAAATTTGCTGGTAAAGCTTATTGCTGGCATAGTTCTTTGGGTAATTTCACTTTTGCATAAAATATCGGCGTGATCATTGTTTTCTAGGATTGGTGGCCCTGTTAATCTAAAGTTGTTTTGAAAACTGCTGCTAATTATCTCGAATATATGTTCTAGAATGGATGTGTACAGTGATTGAAGCGGAATAGTAAGTCAAGTCTACCAAATGCATGCCATTATTAAATTATAAATCCAGAGGATACTTCTTGTTCCAAACGCCTTGCCCCATTTTTTTGTGATCCATAATTTGCTGGTTGTTCTTTTTAAGGCACGAGCTTTGGCAAATCCATTTGAATATGAAGAATATATTGAGAAGAAAAAAGAAGAGAAGCTTGAGGCTGAACGTGCTGCTCGTATTACGGTTCGTTCCTTCTTCTGTTTGAATGTTTACTTGATTTTTTAGGATTTTTTTTCTGGGTACCCCGTCTTTCTTTCAAGAACTTGCTTTTTGGCAAAATTGGGCTGTCTGCTCTGGCAAATCTTCCAGTTGTCACTGTATCCATCTTCTTGGACGAAATCTATTCTTCATTAGGACAGATGGCGATTCCAGTTATGATGGACAATACCTTTCTTCATTAGAACATTATTTCTGTTTGTTGTCATTAATGCTCATCCATTCGAACAGAATTGCCTCTCAATTTCAGTTTTAGCTGGTCAAAATTCGTGGATGCGGTTTTGGTATAAGATTAAGGTGCTATCTTTCATTGGGACTTTGCTTGGGCAGAATAAATGACGTTGAAACTCCATTGGAGTTCTTAGGTTTCTATTGTTGAACCAAAACTGTACGAGAAGCTCAGAAAAACCCGTCTCGTGCTTGTTGTACTGGAATGTGCCATAAGACAGTTTTGAGAAGCTTTAGCTCAGATTCTGTGAATATGCATCATGGATTATAAGGTTCAGCCCAGAAGTTGTTTCATTGTTCTAATGGCTTATTTTCCGTTGCAGATAAAGCGAAAGCTACCTAAAGTGAACAGGTCGTATGCAGCAAGCATTCTTCACAATCCGGAGGCTGAAGAAGGTGATATTGACAAGGATGATGCTTCTGAGAAGAAAAAGTCATCAAATAAAAGGAAGGTTGTGCGCACTGAACTGTTGAAGGATGAACGTTTTTCGGCAATGTTTGAGGATAAGGTAAAATCAGTAGATTATGGTCTTCTGTCTGGGAAAAGGCTGGTTAAATGCTTTTAAATTTTGTTGATGACATAAATGATTGATTCCATTTTCGTTAATAACATTATTTTTGAGATAAATAGAAAATTGGTGTCAGAGTTTTTGCTTATACATAAAAATGATCTACTTTTTTTCCATACCCAGTTGTGGATTTGTGTCAGGCTTTATCTGTTTGTATCATTTGAATCTGTGAGCTTTTCTTGAACCTCAGGAATCCCAATTTCTGGAGCTTTAGATGATTTTATTAGCACTAATAATTATTTGACTAAAGTCGTGGATTGCAGCATTGCACCCCCCAAGTTACACTTTTCTTACTAAGGTTCATTCCAGCTGAAGATCAATCAAGATGCATGATCAATTCCAGCCATTGCTCAAAGTCAACGGCTTTGCCCGAATTTGATGCTTGATTAATTATTTCAATGATCTCCGAGACAAATTTACTTGTGCCTCGGCATTTACGTTGTCAACCTGCATTTCTTTTAGGCTTATGGGGCCTTTTTTCCATCCACAGAAAAATGGATTTCTAGTTCTCTGCATTTCCTTTATGCTGGTGTCTGGCTTTTTTTTCTCGTAAATTTGCTTATTTCAAGAATATTTTTTCGGCTGTTCACCCAATTTATCTCGGACTTTTCCATTTTTACAAGATCATTCTGAGGTTTTTGGCTGCTCCATTCTGCTCTCTCTATACCTTCGATATCTTATCATTGAAAACTTCATTGATTTGATACCCGTTCTTCTATACCTTCTGCATCCTTGACAGGACTTCGAAGTGGACGAGACGTCTGAGGAGTACATCTCCAGGCACGCTCACTCGTTGAGGAACAAGAAGAGGCCTTCTCTGATTGAGGAACACTTTGAGCCAGTTTTGGAAGATGAACACGAAGGAGATGATGGCCTGAGCGACTCAGATGCTCCAGCAGCTTCTGCCTCCTCAGACGATCTGCCCAATGGCGAGAAACCCAGAGCGAGGAAAGCGAGCACAAAGACCCCAAGGTGGGACATTTTTCTACCCTGTGACAATGATCTATGATAGAGATTCAGAGGATGTTACTTATATTCTTGAGGCTTTGACTTTCTTCTGATTGGTCCGTTCATCTGCAGCTCCACCCTCGTTCATGATTGTTGACCCCTGCTCTCTTCCGACTTGCAGGCTTTATGAGGTGAAGGACGAGCGCCATGCGGAGGCATTTCTGAACAGGGTGTCCCTAGCGGAGGAGGACGCCCTCCCGCTGGGCGAACGAGCTGCCCGCCAGGAGCGGCGGGCGCCCGGTGGCGCCGCCGACGTGAAGCTCGGCCCCGGCGGCTCCCGAGAGATCACCTTCTTCTCCAGGAGCTCCAAGAAGGGCAGCAGCAGGGACGTCCGGGAGGATCAGCGCGAGGGCAAGCGGAGGAGCGTCCACCCTCTCGGCCTCAAGTCAGATAGGTCGAGCTTCTACGGCAAGGGAGGGCGCGGCGGCGGCGGAGGCCGTGGCCGTGGCCGTGGCCGTGGCCGGCGGGGGAGGAGAGGATGAACTGAACCCAGTGCGAAGAATCGCAAAACCCATCCTTCCCCGCCCGAAATATCGTTTGAATTCTTTCTTATCAGCCATCATTTTCACGTAGATGGCCGCATCTCCATGCAAGAAATAGGAAGGACCGATTCTCTCTCAACCACCCCCCCCGGCGTTAGACGCCGCCAAGTGAGAGAGAGAGAGAGTGGGAAAGAGAGAAAAGAGACTACATGAGAGAGACAGAGTGGGAGGGGGAGAGAGAGAGAGAGGGAGAGAAAGAGCAGGCTTTTGGCCGAGCTCAGTTTATCCCGTACATCGATGCTGCAACTTACTCTTAGTATCGTATATTTCTTGTTGCTATAAAAGTTTCGCATATCGTGCGATCTGGTCTGGAATTAAATGCTCTTCACGTGTTGATGAGTGCACCCGGGCGACTCGCTGGAGATTCAGGCGGGCGCGGTTTACACGGGCCAACGCGGCGCAGCACCGCATCTTTTTCCAATATAAAATTGACACGATACCGTACGCGGTGGCTAACGGCTCTGATAAGGGGTAATTGGGTCATTTGACATAATGACCAGCGGATGGGAAGCAGAAGTCGTCTTCCGCTGCTTCTCTCCGCCGCCTTCTTCCTCAGCGTCTCTCCGCCGCTAGCAACAACCAGCTCCCTTGCAAGCAAAGCCTCAGGAGGAGGGAAGGTTTGTCTGTGAAGGGTTCTTCTCGGAGAAAGCAGCGGAGGGACCAGTGGAGGGGACAGGAATGCGGCACAGCTCAGAGAGGGAGGGAACCATCTCTTGAGCCACCTAATCTCCGCATTGACAGCGCCGCCGTACCTCGGAGGAGTGTATAAAGTGAGGCAAGGTAGAGCAGGCGGTGGCGGAAGGAGGAGGAGGGGAGATGGCGAACCAGGATGTGGAGAGAGGCAGGGGAGAGGGAAAGAGCGGGGGGTACGCTGGAGGAGTGCCTGATTACTTCGCGGTGGATAGGGAGGAGTCGTTCTGGACGCCGTGGATAGTCCCCATGTTTGTGGTGGCGAACGTCGTCATGTTCCTCGTAACCATGTACGTCAACAACTGTCCTGATCACCCAAGAATCTACGGGGGATGCGTCGCCGGTGGCTTCCTCCGCCGCTTCTCCTTCCAGCCCCTGCGAGAGAACCCACTCCTCGGTCCTTCCTCTGCTACGTATGTTATCTTCCCACCCTTCTGCTCCGTCATGGCGTCTTTGCTTGTGTTTCCTGTCTTCTTACCTGCCTCCATTGCCATTAGAGTAGAGGCGCCATTCGCCTTGTGCTGGAAGATCTCTCTCTTCCAAGGAATGCCCGACTGTGCATCTTCGAGATGCGGACCCGATTTTGGTTGACGATGAATCCACATTGATCGGTCCAAGTGAGGGGGGTCATGACTAGTGGATCTTCTTCCCCAGAGAAAGGGATGAATGCTGGATAATATGTTCTTGCCGTTGGATGCCAAGAACATGGATTAATATCCCCTCCTTGGATTAATATTATTTGAGAGATTAATATGCTCTTCCCATTTCTTCCGACAACCACAGGTTATATTTCACCAGGGCAGGATCACTTTCTAACAGAGGAAGAATGATCAATAGTGGATAATGGAGAAGATTTCTGATGATGAGATCCATTAGCCTCTGGGTTTAAATGATTTCCCTTGAGATACTCAGCAGTTCTTATGTTCTTGCCGAATGGTTGGGAAAAAACGAAGGAAAATTAAACTCGCATTTTCTCTTCATAAATATAACCTGATTATTTTTCTTCTCCAAAGAACTGAATGAGTATAGCGAGTGATGATTTTCTTGTTTCCTTCTAGCTCAGTCTGGTGAAGCTAGGTGCACTCGAGTGGAGCGAAGTCGTCCGCGAACATCAAGGATGGAGGCTTGTTACATGTCCTTGGCTGCATGCCGGACTGATTCATCTCATCACGAACATGCTGAGCCTGCTTTTCATCGGGATTCGCCTCGAGCAGCAATTCGGATTCGGTGAGGCATCATCCAAGTAGCCTACTCTTATTAGATCAATAAGCCAGCATGGTTGTCATCTCTGTTAGTCAAAGTCAACTCCAGTGATCCCTTCTCTTGTTCATAATACCAATGAAGGAATCCTCATCCGACAATCTTTGCATCTAACTTCTTCCTCGTCATTTTGCAGTTCGCGTTGGGGTAATCTATCTTTTATCAGGACTTGGTGGCAGTGTACTCTCATCCCTGTTCATCAGGGGAAGTATCTCTGTTGGCGCATCGGGGGCGCTCTTTGGGCTCCTCGGAGCCATGCTAGCCGAGCTTCTCACGAACTGGACCATTTACACCAATAAGGCGTGGGTCCACTCCTGTTTCGTGCTCTATCTCATATAATATTTCAAGCAGGAGGGAGGGAAGGGGGTCTTACTGGCGTAGTGCCTGTGTTTGGTGCAGGTTGCGGCACTGTTCTCCCTGTCAGTCATCATTCTCATCAACCTGGCCATTGGGATTCTACCTCGCGTTGACAATTTTGCTCACATTGGAGGCTTCCTGAGTGGGTTTCTTCTAGGCTTTGTCTTCTTGCTCCGGCCACAGTTTGGTTGGATTGAGAGGCAGAATTCTGCCCCCAGAAGTCAAAACACGATTCGTCCGAAGTCAAAGCACAACCTTTATCAGCGCATGCTGCTGCTATCTGCTTTTATCTTGCTGGTATCTGGGTAAGCATTTGCTTATTTATTTTTCTTGATTTTCGCCGGTTTTCATCGATTTACCTCGATTTAGAGAGATTATCTGGGTCTTGACACATGGGGAATAGATTCATAGGATACTGTATTGGGTATATATAGAAACACTGAATAATTTGTCAACATTATCATATACCTTTTGCATCATTTTGCCCATATCTCTGATTTTCGAGGAGTCAGTGTACAACATTAATTCAATAATCTCTCTCTCTCTCTCGCTCTCTCTCAGATTTGCAGCTGGGTTGGCGATGCTTTTCTCGGGAGTGAACGCGAACAAGCATTGCAGCTGGTGCCGATACCTCAACTGCGTGCCAACATCCAAGTGGCAGTGCGACTACTGAATGATGGGTTACTCCCATGCTCTTGGATCCGCCCGCGATCATCAGCTGGGGTCTTTGTTTCTGACCATACTCGTGTACATAGTTGAGATAAGCTCTCTTTCTTCCACGAGAGCCTTCCTTACTTCATCCAGGCTTGTTCATATTATTACCCTTTTGTTCATGCTCAATCCATCTCACCCCTGTGGTTCTTTTCTGGCTGTGCGTTGACCTTGATTTTTCAAGAAACAGAATCCAGGAGAGAGTTGACGAGCCCATTTCATGCAAATATGTGGGGGTACAAACTTTATTTGATTTTTTTTTAAAAAAAATTCGGCGGCGGATTCGTGGGAGCAGACAGGTATTCCGAGCAGGTCAGCCCCTTGGCTTGGGGTTTGGAGAAGGGGTGGGAGGGGGGTTGGGTTCATCAGGGTCACGTGAAGGCAGGGCAAAGGGAAGAGTTCTCGAGTGACTTACCAAACTCGAGAATGGCCACCCTCCGCCGTCGGAAGAGGGACCTTATAAACAGAAGCCATGGCGAGGAGATGGGAGAGGAGACGGGGGGGAGGGAGATGGCCGCCGCCGCGATCAGGTCCTCCACCGTCGCGTCGGTGGTGGCCGTGGGGCTGCTCCTCCTGCTGCCGCGTGGCGGGCAGGCGGCGGAGGGGTTGATCGACTGCAGCACGGTGCTCACTCTCGTCTCCAGCTGCACCGGGTACATCACCTACGGCGTCCCTTCGCCGGCCGCCGGCACCGCTTGCTGCAACGCCGTGGCGAGCCTCCACACCATCGCCAACTCCGCCGACAACCGGCGGTCGGCGTGTAGCTGCCTGATGGCCATCATTACGACGTACAACCCCAACGCCACCGCCGTCGGCCGCCTGCCGGGCCTCTGCGGCATATCCCTCGGCTTCATCGTCGACCCCAACACCGACTGCGCCACGTCTGTAGACATCGCAACCCGTCCCCTCTTTCTCTCTCTATTTTTAAGGGCTCTGAAGTTCTCTGTTTTCGACATGGGTGGCCGAGAATTGCAGCATTCCTTGACCTGGGATCGGAGGAAGACGGAGGTGCAAATAAGGAAGGCGATTACCAGGGCCCTGTACAGATCGGTGAAACCAATAAACCTCCCTCCTTTTCTCCAGTTCTACGAGGCTTCGCGATATCACCGCCGGAGCTCTTCCGGGCCGTAGACGGTGGTCCACCGGTGGACCCCGACCAGTCACAGCGCAGGTGGCGCTGCTGCTGCTGCGGCGGAAGGACGATGATACAGACTGAAAAGAAGATCACTGTCGTCGACTTGCATTGACTGTTGTCGCGGCATGGGCTTAGCGACCCCACCGCCGCAGTAAATCCCTGCCGCCGGGAGGTTAACCGACGTACGGCGGCGACAGAGCTCTCTGTACGCTCGTGAAGTCGTTCCCCCAATCGGAATGCCGGAGCATGGCTGGTTCGCGACGTCGGGGGGCTATTATTGCCGTCGTCTGGCTGTTCGCCGGCGGCGGAAGACGGTAAGCAAGTCGAGAGAACGGCGGAAATATCAGAAGATAGAGACAGACGTAGATACAGAGAGAGGACGATAGCTAGTATCTGATGGGCATTCCCAAACTATCCAGACGGCCGGAGCCGGGGTAACCTCTGCCAGCGAGCTTGACGTGGAATGAGGGCGACGGCCTCTGGGAGGAGGACGAGGACGAGTGCCCGCAGCGGGTTCCGACGACCGGAACCCGCTGGAAGGCGGCGGGCTTCTCGCTCTCCGGCCGCTGCCTCGGCGCGCTCTGCGAGCGGAACTTCGCCTTCGAGGACTCCGTGTAGGCCATGTAGCTTGGGTACTCCGAGAGCCCGCTGAAGAAGCTCCTGGAGCAGTCGCTCTTGGCGGGGGTGAGAGGACCCCGCCGGGAAGACACCGAGTAGAGCTGGGGGCTCTCGTAGGCCTCCCTGCCTTCGCCAGAGGATGGGCTCGGGGCGGTGAAAAGGGCCGCGGCGGCGGTGGAGTCCCTCGATGGCGTCGAGTACTGCACGGCGGCGAAGCTCCGGCCATTGTGGTTGTGGCCCGCCCTCCGCCTGGAGTTCAGGTGAGACCTCCCGGTGTCCACCTCCAGGATCTTGTCGCTCGTCTCGTCCTCGTCGGTCGCTCCGTCTGCTCTTGAAGATGATACTTCTCTGCTCTCCCAGTATCGCTCCTCCATCCACCGATCCAGCCAGTTCCAGCACTGCCCCCTGTCGGCTTCCACAGCCTTCTGCAAACCCAAATCCCCATCAAGAACAAACACCGTAGAGAGAGAGAGAGAGAGAGAGAGAGAGAGAGGTACCTTGACATGGCTGACTTTATCGAGCTTCAGGGGGCTGGAGCGAGTTGAAGAAGGTTCGCATTTCTGAGGCGTCGGAGGGTCCTGAAAGAACAGATCTTCAGGGGAAAATGCCCGAGCAGATCGGGGAAGGTGGAAGAACGAACAGAGGAGGGATGGCTACCAGACGGATCTGCCGGGATTCATGGCCGGGAAGGCGATTCTCAGATGAAGCCCCGCGGCATGAGCGCGCCCGGACCTGGGCTCTAAGCAGCGCCTGCATGCATCTCAGCGTCTCCGCCGCCTGCTTCCGGACAATGTGACCTCTGACCAACGCCTGCAGCTTCACGAGGCTCCTCAACGCGCGCAGAGCTCTCCTCGCCTAGAACCAACAACAAGAGATGAGCTCCATTGAAGAGCCATGATCTAAAACCTCTTGATGGATGTTGGTAGATTAGGGAAACCTAATCCAGAACGTCGCCTGTGTAAATTTTTTAAACTTTTCTCCACCATCCAAGACGAAGAGAAAGAAGAGGCCTCCATGCTGAAGAACCAGGCTACTCCCCGGCTTCTGCTCTCGCATGTAAAAACCAGAGGGAATCTAATGGCTGGGGTAGGAACAGGAAGACGGAATTGAGGACCACGACGACCTCTGTCGCCCGCGGGGACGCGCCATTCAAGTGGGGCAGAGTAGCTGAAGCCGGTCGTAGGGTACCCCTCAATGCGCCAAAGAAGGAAAACGACGCGTCCTCGCTGAGGGTGCTTCCCAGACTGGCAACCTAAGAAAGTACTGTGCCCTCAACCCACCTGCAACCCTAAGGAGGTACTGGGGAGGGAAAGCGAGAGATGGGTCGACGCGGGGGAAGCACCTGCGTACGACCGATGCCACAGCTTGGAGGGCATGGAGCTCAATTATTCCCCTGTTGCTCGTTGAATGCTGGTGAGTCGGATGCGAGGGTTGCCGGCGGAGAGGGGGAAGACGGGGATGGAATGTCACAGCTCAGAGGAGCTGGAGGTTGATTGGTTATTCCCCTGTTGTGCTCGCTGGATGTTGATGAGGTTGAGGACGAGGGTTGCCGGCGGAGTGGGGGCAGAGGGAAATGGAGATAGATGGGGAAGATAGCCATTGCTAGGGAGGATGAACAGCATAAGGCAGTGGCACTGCGACTGTAATTTTCCCGCCATAACTGTCCTCTGATCAAGCGAAAGAGAGGAAGAAGAAGAAGAAGCTGGGAAGGAATGGAAGGGGGGTTTCAGGAGAAAATTACAGGAAGAAGCAAGAGAAGGAGAGGGAGAGTGGGTTGGGAGAATGCTGACCAGGTATCCTCGGAAGGCGGCCTGGATCTTAACCGCTGCCCACAGCGCGCCCTTGCCTCCGGCGACACATATACCAGGGCACCGCCCGCCGCCCGTCAGCCTGACCACCGCCGCCGCTGCCTGCGCTGCGGCGACGGCAGCCTCTGCCACCGCCACTGTGGCAGCAGCCATTGCGATCGCCCGCTTGTTCTGGTGGTCCTCCCCCGCCACCGGCGATGCGGCACGGTAGATGGGGCTGCCGGCGGCTGCACGGGAAGGCGGCGCGGAGGCGGCGGCGTGAGGCCTCGGGCTTCCTTCCCAGTAGGAAGCCCCCTTACTGACCTCATCAACCACCACCGCCGCCGCCGCCTCGTCCCCTTCGCTCTGCCGCTCCACGTCTCGGAAGGACCGCGCGAAGCTCCAGCCCCGCTTCTCCTTCACCTGCCTCTGGTTCTCCCCCCCGGCCGCCGGTTTCTTACCCCGCAGCAGGCCTCGCAGCCACCTCCCCGCCTTCCCCATCACCTGCCCTCCAACCCTAGCCCGCATGAATCTTCCCCACCATCACTACCCTCCCGCCACACCGCTGTCTCCCGCTGCCGAAGCCACGAGGCTGCGCGGTACCTACGCCTTCAGGTGGCTGGCTGCCAAACCAGGAACTGCAGAAAATGCAGGCGGGAAAACCAAACCCTGATATCAAAGCCCGAGCTTTACAGAAGACAGCACAGAGAGAGAGAGAGAGAGAGAGAGAGAGAGAGAGAGAGAGAGAGAGAGAGGAAGCGCAGACGACTGTTTCAGAGGAACAAGAATCGCTCTCAGAGATTCACATGTCACCATATATAGAGAGAGAGCGGGGAGAGGAGGGGGGAGGGGAATTCTGTGGGGAGTAATCAGCTAATCGATGGAAAAACTATCGCAATTAATCATCGATGATATGAATCGCAGACCATTTAAACGCTAAATCATCGATGGAATTCTGTGTTTACAGCAGACAACAAAAAATCGCCGGTGCTGATTATTGCAACGTGATTAGCATCGACTGGAAACAAATCCGAAGCTTTCTGCGTCTTCGCTGGAGGGGTGGGCGAGCCGGCCTTAAATTGCCGTGTGAGGGTGGTTGGCGGTCAGACTCTTGGTCTTCTCGGTCAGCTCTCTCGATTCCATGTGAACCATTATTGGGTAATTGACTCCGGTTCCCGATCTCCGGATATTCTTAAAGAAAGGTCGACGGAAGAACAGCAGGCGTAGCGTAAAGCTAGAGAGAGAGAGAGAGAGAGCTTCGTCATCTACAGGAAACGTAGAAATAGCTCGGTTGTCTGGGGGCGACGGCACGGCTGTAAATCGGCCAGGTTTCACAGCGCGGAGAAGCCGCCATTAGAGCAAGCACTGTAGGTACTAGCTGTGGTCGCAGGGGACAGGTTGGCTATCCGTGAAGGAAGGTAGGCCTTCTGTTCATTGAACGATGCGTCGGCAGGCAGGGACATCTCACAACCTTCTGCCCGCGGCAGCACACGGCGGCGCGTCTTCGGCCGCCGATGGTCGGGGCGCCACTCTCCAGCGCCGCCGCCACAACTAGGCTAATCTTGGAAAAATCAGAACTTTCCGATTAACCCAACCGGTGTGCAGCTCTAATTCTGACGTTGACCGCCGTCTGAATCGTATTCCAATTGGCGAAAATAGTCCACCTGAAAATTATTTTTCTTAAAAAATAAAAATAAACAGCATATTCATCTCCTCAGGTCGGGTCCGCTCTCTGTAAATTAAGTCATTTTTCCTAATTATTATGTATAAATAAGGTCAACGTGTAAGTTTATAATAGACTCTTTTTTCTGGGGGTATGGTGCAAGATATTCGCATGCATGTGGCGTACGAGAGAGTTAAAGGCTATGGCAAATATAATGCATGGGTCCTCTCTGCCCGGGGGGAGGGCTCTTCCGCCGCCCAGCCTGGAGCTCTCTCCGAGGGGCCACGTCCATGGACACCTCCCTCGTGTCCGCTTGTACCTTGAGCCTCTCAAGCAGTTCCTTCGGCGACGTGGTGTAGAAGACGATCTCGTTGAGTTCGCAGGTGGCAGAGAGCATGGAGGAGGAGGAGAGGGATCCCCGCCGGCGGAAGCCACGGACTAACTTCTCGGAGGAGTGCTTCCTCTCACTGTGGGCTTCGTAGAATTCCCCTAATTGGCCCCTTCCTCGACGGTGTAGGGAGGAGGTCAATGAGCGCATCCGGGAAGGCGCCGTCGAGTTCTCCATGATCTCTCAGGCGTCGATGACGACGTGAGAGGAAGAGGAAGGAGATTCTTCTTTTGCTCTTCTTCTGTCCGCTAAGGGGGAGAGAGCCGATGGTGGAGGTTGCCACGCGCTTGCAACCCCGTCTATACCTCCCACAACGAGGCTTCAACGTAGCCGACGGCCTCGGAGTCCACTTCCACCGCTCCGACAGCGCCCATGTAGTCTCCCAGGACGTTGCGAAGGTTTCCGGCAGCGACCCGGCTGGAAATCCTGTGGATGCAGGTAGGCCTCCGTTTCGCTGCCGCTGTTGGAGGAGTGCAGGGTGATTGGGGGGGAGGCCCCGACGTTCCTCCGCTCCCCCGACAATAAAGATTTGATCTTTCGAAATATACATACCGAGGTCACAACCGGTGCTTCCAACAGACGGTTACGAATCACAACCGCCGTCTCGCAGGATGTTCAATCTCCTCCATCTGGAAACTCTCTCCCCTGTCTCCACTCTTCTTCTTCTTCTTCTTCGTCTCTTCCTCCTCTGCCGTTCTGATTGCTCTCTCTTCTGGAGAAATGAACACGTTCTTTCAATCGTTGGCGTTCCTGCGTTGGACAGCAACAAGGAAGTGTCCCCCTCCGCCGGCCCTTAATCTTTTCTGCTTGCTGCTTCTCGCCGGAGACGGCAGCAGTACGGAAGGCGTGGAGATACTCTCCAAGTCGCGGCTCGAGACCTGCGTCAAGGCTTCCGACTCTGATCATTTGGACTGCAGCAAGAAGGTAGTCGTCGACCTTGCAGTCCCCAGCGGAACGGTGAGATTTTATTCCCAGCATTGAGGAAAGGAGGTCCTGAAACCTAGTGCAAAGAAAAACCTGGGTAACAATCTCTTCCCCGGTTACTTGCAGAGTGGTGGAGAAGCTTCCATCATAGCAGAGCTTGTGGAAGTAGAGGAGAACTCTACTAACAAGATGCAAACAATTAGGTCACCGCCAGTCATCACCATCAACAAATCTGCCGCCTATGCGCTCTACGAAATCACCTACATCCGGGTATGGAGAATTCGCATCGATTTTCCATACTGGTACAGTGAAAATTATAGATTTGTTTCTCCTTAATTTTTGTTTGCCGACGAAGAGGATGCCCTCCAATGCTGTAATGCACCGCAGCAGACAAGGAAGAGGATTTATTGGAGAATACGTTTTTTCCTACTTTCATGTATTTGGCTTCCAAATTCCCGGGAAAAAGGAGCAGAGTTCATCTAATTGCTTTGTTTCTAATGCTAATTCCCAAAAAAGGGACACAAAAATCAATTTGACTCCCTACCAATGGAACTCTTGAATAGTGGTCACCCTGCTTGGGATTGAATACATGAACGCCACTTTTGAAGAAGAGTTGCCCTCTAGATTATCTATGGGATTGATTTTCCGTTTTATCTTGTGGTAGTTATCTCAGATAGCTGTGTCATAGTAGACTTTTTTGTTTCAGGATGACTAACTCTTTTCATGGGGTATCTTCTAGAATAAGACTACAATCTGCCAATAAATCTATGATCTACTTATTTGAATTCCTTTGATACATGTTGTCCTTTATCCTGATGCAGTATATTCGTTTATAAATGATAAAAAATTACGCAGTTTTACATAGATTTAAATGTTCTATGTATATCTTGTGGTGTTGTGACAGATGTTTGATTACAATGACATTTAATGATCACCAATGGAACTACAACTCTATTTTCTTCGAACCCCAATTTCTAATAGTGGAATCCCGTGATGCTTTTTCTTTTCTCAGTTCCTTTGGATCTTGAAATGACTGAAATTAATTTATGTATATTTTACAACATGACTTTATTTAAATGGCATTGACTCAGGATGTTCCTTACAAGCCTGAAGAATTTTTTGTGAAGACGAGAAAATGTGAACCTGATTCAGGCGCTAAGGTTGTTAAAATATGTGAAAGGCAAGTATTTTGTTTCTGTTTATATATGGAACCGAGGGCAGATACACATCTACATTCGTTGGGTTGTTATTGTGGCATTCGCTTTTATTATTCACATTTTGTCATCATTCTGGGGATGCAAACAGCTTTTTTAAAAGTCAGAATGTGACCAAAAGTTTTCTCCCGCCAGAATAATTTCTCCATCGTATAGTTTTTAGTTACTCCCATCATGTTGCAATGTTGAGTATGTTGACAAACCATATTACTCCTCTAAACCAAGTAAGTCTAGGATCTCCTCGGACTAAAGTTGAATTCTACCTGGGTACCCAAAACTGGAGGATTTGATTTTTACTATAAAGTCCTGATTCCACAGAAAAAAACGCTCAACAGCCTTAAAAAAATAGCCTACTTACCATAATAATGCAATTTTCTGCACCATAAATTGGGAATCAGGACCCTCTCTCTCCATTTTCTCCAATCGGCGAGTTCTTTGGTTTTTGCCATTGGTGAACAGGTTGCAGCATGTAACTTTCATCTCGCGTCATTATGAATACTCATTTATTTTCGGTCTATATTTTGTTTTTCTCCGTGTCAAAGATGATTATGGCTTTGTCACGTAATGATCATGGTTTTCCCCATGGCCACATCTTCTTTGCTTGAAGAACTCGGTTCGTCATTTTATTATTTTTCAGTTTAAATTCCTTCTGCACATTATAGAACTGCCCTGTTTTTTGGTTGATAATTAATATCCTTCAGAGAATTTGATTGCACGTTAATCTGTAGGCTGCAGGATCAAGATGGCCACGTTATTGAGCATACTGAGGTGATCTAGCCTTGATTCCTATCAGTTAATTTCTTGATTATTATCTTATATATGATACCATACTGGGTAAATTTATTTAGTGTTATTGGAACGAACTTCAGCTCCCTTATGCTTTCCCAACCCAATTTACAGTCTTGTTTGTTATAAATTTTTTTTCATGTGATTTGGAAAATGACTCTTTCCACTCTTTCCATCAGTGAAAGAGTGGAAAGACTCTTTCCACTCTTTCACCGATCATATAACCCAATTGACCCATCGCTTAACACTCTTTCCTGCTTCGTGGTGAGTGATTTGAGGGTAAATGAAATGGTTTCTTAACTATATGTCAGTCGGACAGAAATGTAAGGCTCCGACATTTTCTCTTGAATTGGTTTCTTTGGTTTACTATATATTCACTTAGAGTTGCTCGTAGAATTGATTAATTTCTGACCTTTCAACTTTTCAGGCTTTTTCCCCAGATAATACTCTCTTTTTTTTCAGTCCAACGTTTGTTGTTCTCTGTCTATGTAGCCTATCTGCTGTCCTTGTGGATCCAGACGTCGTGTTCCATCGTCTTGTGGAAACATGTGTAAGCTTCAAAATGACTTAAATTGCTTGTCTTTTCTTTCTTCTGTTATTGTGTGAACCATGCAGTCTCGCTGATTTGGCTTGAATGATTCTGAATAGTTGATAAATTGATGAAAGGCAAGGCAAACACAGCACATTGTGTTCGATTCCCTGGGGAATGGTAAGGTCACTGACTCTCTTGGCGTTCATATTTTCCGTGGCAACAAAATTCTTCGAACTAGAGAAAGAAAATCCAATTTTTACCCATAAAATCTTGTCTGTTCTTGTCTAAGGGACAGACATTTATGAAATCTTAAAGAGGTGGCAGCAGGCTTTTAATCACAGGAATACACACACACACACACATTTAAGATGCCGCTGCTTGGTAAAGGTGACAGAACGGTGTGAGGGATCACCAATTTACTGTAAACTTAATATTTCGTGCATAATAAAGGCCTGCAGACCACAAAAAGGTAATCGGCTCACTTATCCTCCCTAATCAAACGCCTGATTTGGACGATCAAATGCTGACCTGATTAGGATCAAACCGGGCTATCTTTGGATCCCAATCAGGGGCTCTTCTTTTCATCCCTAGTTTCTACTTCAAAAAAAATTCTTCTATTATCCGGAGATTACTGGATTAATTTCCATTATTGTATCGAATCCAGTAAAATGCCTTCATTCTGTTTCTTAGTGAAATGTGGGGGGTTTTTATGATGATGTTTAACAACTGATCATCTCGTCTACCATAGGGGGCTTTAAATCTTTAGATTCATTGCTTACATGGCTCTTAAAAACATTGATTCTTCAAAAAACACTATAGTCTGAGATAGAATGTTTCAGAGATAACCTCGTTCTTTTCATTATTATGACTAATTATAGTAGATTTGCTACCAATTTTTTCCCCGTCAAGTTGTAATATGCTGTGATACTTCTCTTTTGAAGGTTCCACGTATTTGGTATTGGAAAGAGATCACTCGGATTCAGTGTTCAAATTGAAGTGAAAAAGGGCTCAACGACATCAGTGAGTTTAATTTTAACCTGAAATGGAATACCTAATTTGCAAGACTTCGCAGCAACATGTTCTTGGCTGCAATTTTTAACACATACTGCACCTCAATGAACCGTAATAACTTAATCATATTCCATTTTGCTCATCAACAGTTGCCACCTTTTCATCACCGTCAAGATAGAGGTTTTCGTTTTGAAAGTGATCATCAATACATGGCTTTGGATTTTACGGGGTACAAATGAGATATGAAACACTGACGGTTGCCTCCAAAACGGAATTGTTACTGAGCATCTTCGCCCAATCCCTGCAGCTTCGTGGTTATGATCATAGATGGATTTTTTTTTTATAATTCATCGGTTGTGATTGAAGATGCCAACCAGCAAAGGGGCCTAGGAATTGAGATACTTTATGCCCGAAATTGGGTTCGTTGACGTTTGAAATTGGGATTCAACCCAACATCAAAAGAAGAAGAATTCTGTGTGAACATCCAATGATTCCAAGAAAGTTAGAGTTTTGAAGGTGCTCGATGATTGATCTGGAGCTGTTTTCCTAGGGGATTTTCCGCTGGTTCTTTTCTCTGGTTTTGGTCCTAAGAAAAAGTTTAGTCCACGAAGGCTGAAACCAGGGTCAATCACTACCCAGGCAGGATGACCTTGGATGGATACCCCCAAGAAAAGCCACAGCTACATTGCTGTGGAGGTTTTGAGTTATTTTAATGCAAGGATGGTCTAATTAAGGGAATCAGGATAGGATAATAATATCTCTGAGTTTTAAGAAGGAAGAACAGATAACGTAGACTTCTACATCAATGAACATGAGATTTACTGTGTATGAAATTTCTATAATCTGAGCTCAATTATCGAGGTATATTGATAAATTTATCAATTAAGAGAATCCGGAGGGTTTGTGGATGCTTTGTTTCGCGGATTTTCTGTCTGACAGTCTTTGCTTAGGCTTTAAAAAAATATATATTCGACGCACATAAAGCCAGCTGTACTATGCAGGATTTGATGCTGAATTAGGTCATATAGAGTTCACATTGAAGGTGAAAGTATTAAAGATGGTAATGTTGTATTAACACAACCTTGTGAACATAGGATTATGTGGGTATAAACGTGTATTAGGACTTAGTTTCTGTCGGTCAGTTTCCTAGTTGGGCAGTTTCCTAGTTTGTCAGTTTCCTAACCTTGTAGTTTCCTTTTTTTTTGTATGTAGTGTAATTGTATACAACTCTCATCCTTGTATGGTTTGAAGATATTTTTCCCGGCTGTTTATCCTCGTATGGCTTGCATTAATTACCTTGGCAGATGTGGCTCTAGTTACATCTGATTACTTGTTGAAATTCAAGGCTCTAGAAGGATTGAAACGTAAAAGACTGCTGTAGATAAAGAGAGCTGTAATAAGATGAATTGGAATTCAGATGTTCTCCCTTAATAGATTTGTGTAAATCTAGAGTTTGTGTGCCAGACTTGAACATCAGAGATTAATCACTTAAGAAGAAAAAAGGCTTAACGTTTTTTACCATTTATTTCTCGATTACTGAAAGCTCGCTAACCTCTATATGTTGCATTTCTGCAATTCTTTTATTATCCTTTGCATACATCTTGTAGTGCCGGTCAACTGGGGAAGCTTGGGAGTTTGGTTACCATTTATTGAACCAAGTTCCTCCTTTGTTTGGAACCAGTCTCGACTTGGTTTTGCATAGAAAATAGGACAAGGATATAACTGCCTTTCATTGCACTGTGGTTGATGGGTATAGTTACATTTCTGTGTTTCATGGTATCTGTCATCTCATTCTGTCTTTCCCCTGTGTGATTCCGTGCAGGAGGTGGTTGTTGGTCCTGAAAATAGAACAGTGCTATCGAAAGACAACTTCTTGAGGGTTAACCTTGTTGGTGATTTTGTTGGATATACTAATATTCCATCATTTGAAGACTTCTATCTTGTAACTCCAAGAATGGTATGATATCATTCATAGCGAAATAAATCGACGAAAAACATGCTCGGCTGTATTTTTTCCCGTATGGGACTTACTCCTTTTAGGGCTTTCACTTATGGTCTTTACTTGATAATACCAATTGACTAAATGTTTTTGGCAGGTTAGATGCCTGAGATATAACCGACGGATTCACTTTATAGAATGTAGTAAGATATAAATGCCTTCAATAATAGTACCATATCACGTATCCTCACCTGTTATGTGAAGGCAGCGGGTGGGAATAGTCACAGGAGGAAATTTGTGTCTAATTGAAGAATAAGGAGAAGAAAAAATTAAATCAGTGAAATAATAAGATTAGGCTGCTCCTAAAGGCATGATATTAGTTTAATATCTCAGGATTGTCTTCTGGCAACTAGTTCTGTGACACATACCGCTACTTTATCTCTGATAATGAGTTTTTCTTGCAATCCAAAAGTAGAAATTAGATGAATTCAGAAAGGGAAGAATCTTGATTCGGCTTGAGACAGTTGTATGATTTTATCATCATTCAATCCTTTCATCCTCATTCGACGACACCATCATCTGTTATAAAATGCAACTTTTACGAAATTATAGGATAGAATAAATTTAGCAATTTTCTGTTTGTTGAATTTTTATGCCTACTTCATAAGCTCAACATAGCACATGGTGGTTTTCCTCGTGGTTTTCCTGGCTCCTTTCATACTGAATAGTGGTTTATTTATTGAAGGGTAACTCAGATCCATCACTAGGCGCTGCAAATAATCTTTCGAAATGGATGCTGCTGGAAAGAGTAAGATTTACCCTTGATGGTCTCGAGTGCAATAAAATTGGTGTTAGTTATGAAGCATATCGGGAGCAGCCAGACTTTTGTACATCTCCATTATGGAGTTGCTTGCACAACCAGTTATCGGACTTTTGGGAAGTTAGTATTTCCTAAACTATATGCGCTAATTTTCTAGCTTTTCTTGTACAAAATGAATCATGAAACAATTAATTTATTCAAACCTTTAGTACTATCTGTTGATCTTATTTTCTTTTGGTTTGATTCGTGCATGCTTCTCCCGCATATTTTCTATCTGTTGTCAAGGTATCATTTATTCCTAAAGCACAAAGCTAATTTATAAACGAAGTATGATTTTTAAAAAAAATATAGACTTTGATCCTTCTCTTTATAGCAGGATGAATCTGCTACATTATACTCCTCGGTTAATATTCTTCTGTGGAATTAGGTGTAGTTAGTAATAATCAAATCACGAGTAGCCAGAGTAAGTTAAAATTTGGGGTCAATGTGAAAAAATTTAATGACGAATCTTCTAATATAGTAATTGTAAAGATACTAAAATTTAAAATTGGGATAGTTTTTTGTATTAAGATACGTTTGAAGTGACAGAAAAGGATAAAATATAAAGTTTATATAATATAACTAAAGGAGAAATCTTTAAAGTCATCATGATAAATTTATTCGTGTTTGGAATGTATTTTGTGTGAGCCGGAAGAATTTGACTTGTACTATGTAGAGAAATCGATTGAGCATGATACCGGGTGACAGAGTGGAAAAAGTTGGCTGTATGGATCTGCAGGACTACTTGTCCCATGCCTAACGTGGTCCTGAATTATAGCATTATGGTTTCCAACTGGGTTCATTCTTGACATAAATTGAAGAAACAAGGATCATCCGAGTGGGCCCGCTTCTCAACATGATAAACATCAGGCTCATCGTCAATTTCTTGTTGTTGGTCTGTTTATCTTTTTTCCTCCTTAAGCCTGGCCAATCAGAGCCCCCCGGATCTGGTTCAATTTTATTGCATCTATTGGTGTGGAGCACGTGGATTAACTAGTGTCTTAGTCAATGCCTTTCTCAATTTGGGTTGATATATGCCGGATAAGGACAGAATATATATCTTCAGACATGAAGAAAACATTAGCTAGTTCATTCAGTAAACCTGAGGATAAGATTGGATATTGTACATTTTAGTTATGAAGAGTCTCCACATAAGCTTCGGGTATTGTGCGATTATCTATCAGTTTTAAACATTAATGACGTTCTGTTAAAAAGCAGAATCTTTTGGAATAGATTTTTCTGATTCTTAGGCTTGGAGGAATACCGAAATGAAGAGACACTGGTTCCTTTTGGAAATCATGCCTATTGGGGTGGGACGTAGGCCTGGAGATAAAAACACAACCTTATCAATTAAAATCAAATTTTCTCTATGATATTTCATGACATTATATTTTCATTCATGTATTTAGGGTATTGAAAATGCGTGATACCCACCTCAATTAATTTTCAATTTTTAAAAGAACCTAGTTGAATGATTCATCACGTTGTAGTTGATGAACTGTTATACATACCATTAAATATATTTATTGAATTTTTGTTTTTCCCATTTCAATAATTTCAGGATTTAACTGTGTTAATATCTATACATTCTAGGCTGATCAAAACAGAATCAACAGGAATCAGACACCCCAATATGTTATTGAAGGGAGGTTTGAAAGAGTTAACCAGCATCCAGTTATGCTCCTACATTTTTTTTATGGTTTTATAAAATTTAAAAATGATGTTACTGTATCTGAGCATCATCTATGAGTCTTGCCCAGAATGCAGGAACACATTCATTTTCTATTGGAATTTCTGAAGTTCTGAATACAAATCTCTTGATTGAACTGAGTGCTGATGACATAGAGTATGTCTATCAAAGGTAATAAAAAAATCATTTCGTTTCTTTAATATCGTGTATAGAAGTTCTGTCATCATTGAAGAAAAACTAGTCACATCTATGCAGTACAATGATATTTTATTTCGAGATGTAAATATTTATGGCTTTTGAGGGATAGACAATCCATTTGATACAACATCAGATAAAAGAATCTTACCATCCATGATCTATTTGATACCATAATTCGCATCATATATGAACGTGTAACTTTACCCAGCAAAATTTATTGGGTCAACAAAAAACGTGATTTATCGTTTTATTTGATATCTAGTCATTGAATTTTAATATAAGGATGAAACTGCATATAATACACAATTCATATATTATGTTATCATTATAAAGTACTTTTGAGAATATTGAAAGTTATCCTCTAGCATATATCCGACACCTTACCTAACAGTATTAACTATTTTAAATTAGTTGTAGTTATCCACGTCTAAAAGAATGCTCTAATAACGGGTCTGGTTTTTTTCTGGACCTGATTCTATTCATATATTTCTGTGAAGCAGAAAATTTGTACAAGGACTAAAATGATCATGGGTATAAAACTCCAAATTGGGAATTCCTGAAGTTTTCCTTTAGCATTAATTTACTGCTTGTGCTCTTGTTCATTTGACGTCACTATTCATCCTTTCTTTGACTTTTGTTTTCACCTCAAAAACTATGATTTTTTTCTTATCTTCGTTTTGCTACACTTTATTGCAATTTTCTTGTTCACTGTATAATTCTTGGTTTACATCTTGCGTTAGGCTCCCTTATTCTCAAAAATTTCTGTAGGAGATCAATTCTATTGCATCAAGTTATATCCTACGCATTAAGTGATTATCACAACAACGTTTTTGCGAGTTCCTTGCAGTGTATCTTTGCTGGAGGAGTTAGATGCGAATTCATTAAATTATGAGTCATTTGCACTTTATGATAGAAATGACGCATCTATGAAAAAATTTGGAATTTATGAGATTAAGAGGTCGGAGGACGAAGAGCGTAATAGGCTGAAGTAAATGAGATTAAGGAGAAACTTAATAATGTAGATGAATTAAAGGAGCAAATGAATTGATTAATAGCATTGCAAAGTCGATCAACCCCCTTGTACACTGTTTAACTATCTTTTCAAGTAGATGAAGCTGACGAAGGTAGTGACTCATCACCATATGTCTATTCAAATAGGTGATGTGAAATGTAGTTGTAAATTCATTTAAAAAAAAATATTGAATATCTAATAAAAAATATAAAAAACATAATTTAATGGTAGAAAAGGGTTAAAATTAATCAATACGATTAAGAACCTCGAAATCTGCCAGATCAAGGTGCATATGTGTTAATTTTTTTGAGGATGAGTGGTTTTCGAATACCCTTGGGCGAGAAGGGGATGAATGCCCGTTTCTTCTTCTTTCCGATTGTTATTTTCCCTTCATTTTAATAAATAATATAAATGAATTAACGGAATTTCAATATTCTTTGATCATTGTACTTGTGCCTTTTACCAGGAGCCCGGGAAAGATTGTGAACGTCAGTATTCCAACATTCGAAGCGCTTACTCAGTTTGGAACTGCCAAAATAAGTGCCCAGAACATTGGAACATTGGAGGCATCTTACAGCCTAACAGTAAGTGTATCATAGGTCCATTATTATTTATTTAATTATGATGTATTGTCTCGTTTTATACATATGATGTGCACTGGAGCAGTAACCTAAGATCATATGATGCTAGGACTCCTGGTAACCTAAGATCATTGGAGGCGTCAGTATTTTTATCAAATCCTTTGGCCAATATAGTATTTTTACCATGTTATCCTATTTAATATCATATCATGTGATCCTATTTACCATTATGTGCTGGATTCACTTTGATGCTTACTGCCCATGTGTTTTCTAAGTTGAAGACTCTATTCTTACGGTCTCCATATACCACCTTTTGCTTCCTACGTTTGATCAATTACATGGTTGGAAATTTCATTTCCTTTCTCCTCCCTATATGGTGAAATTGATTTCAGAATTGGATGTGGTCGGCTCCAAGGAAACAAAGGGGTTGTGAATTATCTTTTGACAGAGTCTATCATGCTATGACGAAAGATATCAAACTAGAAGTTCTATGGAGTTGTCTTTTCTTAACGGACATTTTGAACCTTGTTTTTTTGTTACGATAAAAGGATGCTTTTCAACTTGGATATTTCTGTTGAACAACAGTCAGCATAATATTCTTCCTGAAGCGGAGTCCTAGAGTCCATTTTCTTAAAAACCACAACACAGTTAAGATAAAGCACTCCTAATTGCATGTAATTATGGATCGTTCATCCACACACTCAATTATACCTTATTCTAATTTACTGGCTAATTACTGTAAATTCTTGCCTTTTCTTTAATTAAGTGCAAGAAATGTCCGATTTCATGCCAGTGCATTGGATTATTGTATTTATTTCTAAAACTCTCTCAATTTGAAATCCTAGTAATCGAAAAAGCTCCTTTTGAATAAGTGAAAGTATTTTTCATATGTATGTAATCTTCCCAAGTGGGATGAGTTCGTGGCTAATTACTGCTCAATAAAAGACTTCATCTTAATTTTGTAAGTTTTTTTTCTGTCCTATTCTTTGCCTCATCTTAATTGATATATTCTGAAAATATGTCTAACCTTCTGTTCTTTGAAATTTTTCTATTTTCATGTTTGAATGTTTTGAATATTCTCAGATTCTACTCCTCTGCTCATTGGTATAAAATCTATTTTCTTCCTGTATGCTGTCTTGATACGATTGTATTCAAATTGATAACGTAATTTTATATTATAACTGTCCTCGGTGAAAAAGTTTCATGCAAATTTACGCGGATTATTTATTTGCTACCTTTACACTGCAGTTTCAATGCCTGCGAGGTGTTAGCCATACGGAGGTATTTTCTTCCAGTTCCCAATTATGTTTGTGTAAATGCACGTCCTCTTTCTTCCTTTTCTTTTTCATATTGACATCTAAAAACACATCCATTTTTTTGAGAACTAAGATCAGCTGAGCCATTGAAATTTCCATTCAGCATGAGTTCCCCATGTTTGTGGGTGTGGTTTTAACCACTCGAAGTAGTTATTTTCCATCAGTAACCGCAAACTCTGATATCCATTCAGTCTTATACGGTTGACCTTGTCTGCATAAGAGTTGTGTAGAAAATTCCTGGAAATACTGAACTCCGAATTTTCTATTTGTTTGGACTTGGTAAAAACCGGTTCAATCCTTCATGATCAGACCATCATGTTAAAAATATTTTACTCTTTGATTTTCAATTTCGCAGTGTGAGTGGGACTGCCTGAAGGTGTGATCGTATCGTACTACTTTCAGTTTTTGTGATCAGGAACCGGCTTTAGATTCTAGTTGATTATTTTTTGCAAAAGTATGGTTGGACCGAAATGGATTTTTATGGATGGGAATCTAAAATGATACTTGAGCAACCGAGGATCCATTCATTCCATTTCAGTTCCATCTCGGGTCTTGTACTAAGAACCGATGTACTGGATTCTTTGATGAATAGGATCGGATGGCTAGTTATTTTTCTTATCAGATATCTTTCTCTTTATTTTGATTGGATACGGGGGTATTTTTCTTACATAGGTTGTTAAGTGATTTATGGATTATCTCTCTACTACATCAGTTCAAATACATGGAATTTCCGGAACTTTTATACAATTTCTATTTACTTTTTATGTCTTTTCTGTCTATTTAAACTATTATTGCTTTTATGAAGGAGTATTAAAATATTTATTGATTTGAATTTTCAATTTTCACAGGAAATGATTAAGATTAATTTTCATCGAAAGTAATATATCTATCAGGGGTTAAGCTCAATGTAATCAAATTTCCTGTATACTGGTTAATAGAGACATAATTGACCAGGATTCGTATTCATCTTGATCTTCTGGTAGAAACCTGTGCGGGCATATGAATCAAAAATTCATGTCGTTCTGGTGAAAAGATGGGTTCAAGAAGGCATGTACCAGGATACATACACTTACATATGTGTTCATTTTTACAGCGAGGACCACATTGATTATTAATCTGAATTTATGATTTTTTATAACTAGATTGTGGTTGGCTTAGTGGAAAGTTTTAAGAAAAATGCAACTCTTGCAGCCTGGTATTTTTTCAAGAATTTTCTGGGGATAAATGTAATTTAACTAATATATCATGATTTCTGATTGCAGGAACAGTTCTTTATTATGAAACCTAATGAGTTTGTTACTCGCTCATTCAAGCTATATCCGACTACTGATCAGGCTGCAAAATATGAATGCACAGGTGAAACAAATTTACAGAATATAATAGTGAGATTTAATAACTGTTCAACTTTTTTGCCATGCAAAATCTAACATGATGGCACTCTGTCTGATTGCAGCGATTCTTAAAGATTCTGATTTCAGTGAGGTTGATAGAGCTGAGTGCCAATTCACAACTACAGCTACTGTTCTGGACAATGGAACACAGGTTGATTGAACTATTCCATTTCATTGTCATTGAATTCATCATCCAATATTAGTACGTGATTCACCTTCCTCTCATATATGGAAACTTTCTCAACTGGTGATCTGTAAAGAATTTGGGGATCTTTTACATTTGAGTAGGTTTAGTAAATAATTGGGTTTTCTAACTCAAACTAACTGTTAATTAATGTAAACCAAAATATATTAAGCAAATGATGCAGTTGTTCATTTCAATGTGATTTAATTATAACATTTACCACATTTGTACAAAAAGATGCAGATAACGGTTAGGAGCTTTAGTATCCTAATAGTAAATCCGATCATTCAAGTCGAATTCAATTGAAAATGGTTAGATAACGGATATTATCTCTGAGTCCATCTGAGTTCTCCTTATGAGACGTTCAAGCATGTCTCCTTAACATGTAGATAGAATATGTCTCTACCATGTGGAAAACTTTGGTACTATATTAAAGAAGTGAGATGACATATCTAACAACCGATTGATAATAGTTTAAGTTTGCTGTCATGCTTAAAATTGGATTTAGCATGGCGTATTTAGAATGAGGTTACTCAACAGTGTTTGCTGACATTTACTCTGAATCTGACTCTGTAGTTTCTACCAGGTAGAAAACATTCAAAGGATTTGCAACTCAATAGATAACTAAGAAGGTCTATTATAGCGTTTTCTGACTCTTTTGATATCCTTGCTACTTGATAATCCTTGTTATATAAATATGGGAACTACACAATCTGATGAAATTACGTTTCGACTGACTCTTTGGCTGATGGCTGTCTGATGATTATAGGATTTTCTGATCTAATAGCAGATTGGTAATAGTTATGGCGTGGAAAAGGGTGCCATCAGAGGATTTTTTGAAGCTGTTGAAGGCGTATGGAATTCTGTATGGGGAGGTTTGGCTGACTTCTTTACTGGCAAAACATGCAGGTATGAAACATTAAAAATATTTTACATGGTTGACTTTATATGAAAAAAAAAATCAATACAATCCCGTAAAGTGATTTCTATGCTGGTCTGGAAACTAGATATTTGATTATTGAGTTCCGTTAGTTGAAATGCTTTTGCATATTCATAGCCTGGAAGTGATGGACACTGAGAAGATTTTAATCTGAAGCAATAAACCAACGCCTCACTACTGAAACTTTATGCAATTGAACAAGCTGGATGTCATAACCAAAAAAACTGATTTGAATGTGAAAGTTGTTTAAGAAGAATGACATTCTTCAATGTAGATGTTCGATTTAGTGTGTTCAGCATTTTTCTGAATGCTTTTCATTTCTTAGTATATTTTAGGTGATTCAACTTCAATGAATGCTAAAATTTCACCTTACGCTGCCATATTTTTGAAGTTTAATTTTGGAAACTATTTTTTTTTTGTGTGGAAATAGGCATGGACTATGTTGGACCTTTATTGGGAAACTAAACTGCAATTTTTATAAAATATTACTAATTTTCAGGATATGAATGTTGATATATATAGATGTGTTTGAGAAAAATGTCAATGATTTCCGAAGGACTCTTTTATGGAGAGAATTCGAGAGTCCCATCATGTCTTCAAATATTGAGCTTGGACTTTAACAACGGATGTTTTACAGTTGCGAAAGAAAATAAGATCTTGTCTTGTTTTCACAATGGTGCCTGAGATCAGATGACCTGGTGAGAATTGCCATAACTATCTTCAGTGGAGGTTGGGATCGGAATGGCCAAGCTGACTCAAGCGCTCCTAAATATATCTGACCGGCGGTCAAATACATAGAAATGGCAGAGAATCAACTGATTTGGGTTGGATTGACCGATTTCTATTTCTTGATCTAGCTTAAGAATATGGGTCCACTAAAAAAATATTAAAAATTAGCTTCTTTCTTACACTAGTAATAATCTCATGATGGCCAGAAACAGCTCCTCTGATGGGCGTGGATGGGAAGAAATAGTCTAATCTTTTGATACATCAAAATCATTCATCAATGGGTGATTCATAAATTAATAAAGATGCATTATTTCAGATGTGAACTGATATGATTAACTCTTTTTTTCTTGGGATAGAAGCAAATGCTCAAGTTTCTTCGACTTTGCTTGCCACATTCAATACGTCTGTGTGAGTTGGATCATACTATTCGTGTTGCTTCTCGCCATCCTTCCATCAGGTGATTTCCTTCACCTTCTATCGCTCAATGCTTACAGATTCTAACTTGAGCATGTAAAAATGCCACATTTATCCCCATTTCAGTCACCATCCTCTTATGGCTCCTACACCAAAAAGGGCTCTTCGATCCTCTTTACGACTGGTGGGAAGATCACTCCAACGGCGGCTCTCCGCAGAAGAGAAGCCGGGCCTCCTCCAAGCACACAAAGGATCGTAGACCTCTCCACGCCCATCATAAGAAGGGCCAAGGTGATCATCTGTACCGCCGCCAGGAGGTGTGGTGCAAGAAAGTCAACCATCGTCCCCATAAGAAGTGCCTAAAGCATGAGCCCTCTAAGCTGGAAGAACATGGTGGCCTCCGAGGTAGTCCCTCTCGTTGCCATCTTCATGCTCATCAAAAGACGCACAAGCACAGGCGCCATCACCAGCACCATCACCATCGGAGCCATGGCCTCGAGGACTATCAGACCCAGACAAAAGTCAGGCCACACTCGAGCAAAGCCCATGGGAATCTCAGTGATCAAGCTTTTAATCACTCCCTTTACCGGATGTAAATGATGAATGTGTTTCATTATTTAGATCATATGGGGGATTACTATTTATGAATATGTTTATTTTTATCATCAGCTTCTGCTGGATTTTATCATCTACGAACTCTTTCTGGACCATGTGTGCAATGCTCTGATTGCCAACAGTTCATAGATCCAGCTCGAGCTCTGTTTAAAGTCAACTCAAGCCGATTCAACTCGATCATATCATGGAACTATCGTACGAGAAGAAAAGATTAGTCAACCATCACCATTTGTGCAATGCTCTGTTTGCCAACAGCACATAGATCCAGCTCGAGCTCTGTTTAAAGTCAACTCAAGCTGAGTCAGCTCGATCATATCATGGAACTATCGTATGAGAAGAAAAGATTACCGGTGCAGAGGGCTTCTTTAATAAAATACTATTTTCAGTGTAAATAATAAAAGACACTTGTATAAGAATATTTATGAATATTTCTCCTTCGGATTTCATGCGGTAAGTAGAGGGATTTTCGGTAACCTAACCGCATGCCACCGACCTTTCGGCGGCTATAATGGGAATTTCTCCCGAAGGTAGTCTTCAGTTGCAAGTAAAGCTTCTGTGGAGAGTCCCACGTCGGCGGAACAGCGGAAGGAGGTGCCTCGGCGGCAACACCTGTTCCGTTCAGAGGAAACCTCCTGGAAAAATATATAGCTGGGAGGGAGAGAAATCCGCGAGAATTCCCAGATTTTTCTTCGTCCTTCTACCTCCGACGGCTTGCGTTGGGATTGGGTCGGAAGGGAGAGGAGGAAAGTTTGTTACTCGCCGCCGATTTCCCCTTCGTCGTGGGAACTCCGATGGGGAGGCCACAGCAGGACGTGATCGAGACCTTCATGAGCGTCACCGGCGCTTCGGAGGCGGTGGCGTTGCAGAAACTCGAGGTAAAGATCCTTTCCCCATAAACAACTGGCTGTTCTTATCCCTCGGTTCTCGTCGTCTTCTTCTCGCTTCAAATGTTCCCGCGTAGATCTTTTTCCTCGCGACGCCATTTAACCCGAAGATTGTTGGGGTTTTTTACTACGTCGTATTGCGGCTAGCGTACCTGTCGAGACGATATGTAAATGCGATTGACGAATCACCATTATTCCGTGGGGAAACGATGATTTTTTTTTCCATTTCCATCTAAATTAATTTTATCTTCACGGTACCCCTCCTAAACAATGGAAATCATTTTCCGTTGTTTTCTTTGATTGTCTGAGGCTGAAACTCACGCCATTGTTCTGCTGTTGATTTGTCTTCCTTGACATTTCTGTCGGACGAAAACACGTGGTTAGTTCTCTCTTGGTGTCGCAGTGAGAAATATATTTACTCGGTTTTCTATGTCAAAAGAAGTGTTGGCTTATTGATTGAGTTTTCGCTATATTGGGGATATCAGGTGGTTTTATTATTTAGCGAGTGTAGCAACATAAAATGCAATCAAAGTGCAGTCTGATTACATTTACAAATCCACTGACTTTCCAGTTGCTAAAGAAAGTGAAATATGGAACTTTTTTTGGTTTCAAAATACAGGCATCATTGGTTTTAACCAGAAATGTACTACTCAAACTTTAGTTTCCATCTTTGGAGGAAAAATGATTACTCAAACGAGACAGTCGTTGTGCAGAAGCATAAAGATGAGTCCCAAGATTAAATATAATGGGAACTTTTCCATGTGTAAGCTGATATTTGCATAGAGAAGCATTCTAATCCATCTGTATTTCACCTATTGAGTAGTTTGGGAAGAAGAACTCAAGTTCTTCACAGTTTTCAACGGGTATTAAAAATTGGTTATTTAGAGAGTCGGCTAGTTTATTAGAGACTTGTTGACAAAGCATCTGCTTTTGTCAAGACTAAGGATTTTTTGGGAGACGGTTATCAGATGACTAGTTTTTGTCCACATCTGATATATATCTGAAATTCGAGTAGATGTTTATACTGACAAGTGTGGTTGGATCTCTTTTTCATAAATGAGAATAAAATTGTCCTCTTCCAAGTTAGAAATCTCCACAAAAGCACTGAGGCTATTTATATTGGGAACCCCTACTGAACACCGATCTTCTTTTTCCCGAACTATCTCTGGACGATCCTCTGTTGGTATGTCTTAGCCATGCTGAACTATCCACTTTGTTCTAAATGATTGCATCCAATGCTTGGATGTGTACAGTCTCTCCGGGTAATTGGCTGAATACGTTTTAGTTGAATACTTTCTTCTACTGTTGTTACATCTGTCCGACTGTAAGTAGGTGGTTTAATGTAGTTGATCATCTTGAAAATTTCTATAGGATTAAATTTTAACTACTGTTACCCTTGTTTTGAGGCATGCCTTCACTTAATTTGATGTGCTTTCTAAATGTGATCAAAATATAGGAGCATGGTGGGGATCTTAGTGCAGCTCTGAATGCTCACTTTAGTGAAGGAGAGAGAGTCAAGTATGTATCTGCTCGCCATTTTTCTTCAAGTTCATAGTTGATTGAGAGGCTTCTTTAATTTTTTTGTTATTTTAGTTTTTTGCTGAATGTTTACGTCTTTATCCAGCTCACGTCCCACAGAGGCTCCTGCTTCACATGATGACATCATGGATATAGATGAACCCATAAATGTTGAAACAGTGGGGCCTCCTTTCCCAGTGTTATTAGCCAGTGGAAGTTTAAATCCATTCTCACTCCTGGACGAACACATAGGCAGAACATCCTTTGGTAGAAGAGGTGGTGTTGATGTTAGAAGCCGTGCTCCGAGAATTTCACATCCTCGTGAAGTGAGGGAGATTCCCATAGAATTCAAGGGTGACAACAACCATTCTGGTCCGTCCAGTCATGGTCCAAACATTGAATTTCTTACTGAAAATGATACCATGGTTGGACCAGAAACTTTTGGACATGTTACTGTGGATGAAGAAGATGAGGACCTTCCTGTTGCACTGAATGCTTCTGTTCCTGGCCAAACTGAAGAAAGATACGATCATCCTCGTGGGACAGTTCTTGAACCTAGCGCTCCTCAGGTGGGCATGGTGGCTGATAACAATGACATTGAAGAAGAAATGATCAAGGCTGCTATTGAAGCTTCAAAACGTGATACTCAGGGATATTCGAGCCTAGAATTTGATGCGCCTAATGTATGTCTTTGCCCTGTTTGCATATTTTGTTCCTTTCGTTTTCCGCATTACTCTTTTTCCTTGAGCATGTGGCCATTTTCGTACTACTTTAGGTGCCATATAGTGGCCAATTACCTGAAAGGCATCATTCTTTGGAGGACCCTGAGCTTGCTCGTGCAGTTTCATTGTCTTTGAAGGCCTTTCAATCATACGATTTTTTTTGTGTTCTCGTTTTTTGATATATTTATTTTATATTTGTTTGATATTTATGTCACGCTGCAGACAGGAGAACAAGAAAGAACCCCACATGAGAAGGGTGTTCTTATTGATCAAATGGGGCATGCTAGCTCATCATCTATAGTGGAACTTGATGAGAAGACCAAGCCGACCTTTAGTAGAAGGTGGATGCTGTGTGTTTACGCTGCACTGTATTTTCCATTTCTGTTAAGAATTTTCTTTTCGTGATTATAAGTCTATTTGGTGTGCCTCTCCTTTCTATGATTGTTTTCTTCGTTGATCACATTGGTGTGTTTCTTAAGTATGTTATCCCTATGGTATGCCATCATTAACATTACCAATCTTATTCTGCTAGTGTGGTCCTATTCCTGGAATTTGTTAGGTAGGAGATTTGAGCATGACAGAATGTCAAAACCCTGAGAGCCCAGAGGGATACTTTCAAATGCTAGGAAATGTAGCTCTTGGCAGTTGTGGTTTTTTTGGGGTTCCCTGTTGTTATCTACAATTCAAAATTATAGCTCTTAGTGCTGCTAAAGAAGGATAATATGAATTGAATTTCTGTCTATGAGTGGACTGATACGTTGTTTTAATTTGGGGATCAATAACAGGGCTGTAACCTTTGTACATTGACTTCTTATTGGGTGAATCTGAAATGGACCAATTTTGATTTTTTTTGTTGTCCAAATTTAGTCAATGTTCATTTAATAAAAGGATTGAACACCAAGGTTACAATACGGGTGGACATTTACTATTTATATTTGAACTTTGAATTTTTGCCTATCAAAATATCGTTTATTTTAATGATAGGAATCATCAGGGCTAACAATGAGAACCATTTTCTTATCATCTAAAATAAACTTGAAATTCTTTGTGAAGGAAAACTTAACTGTAGTTTATTTACTTTCCTGTTCTCTCCTGTTTCGGTTCAAGCACTGATACATTTTCATTGGCTGTAGAAGGCAAGAGCCTGGTACATCAAGTGGTGGAACAAGGCAATTTCTATCAGAAGGAAATCGCTCCCATGAAGATGAATTAGAAGAGATAGATGAACAGCCATTGGTGAGGCGTCATTCTAGACATATTGCTTCTGAAGCAGGCAACTCTTCGAAGGAAGCCATACAATTGGACGACAGTCCACCATCTAGTCCTCAGACTCACGATGTTGGTACCTATCCTCAGAACAACAGGGAAGCAGACGAGGTATTTCTTTCATTAAGTTGAAGGAATAGGCGTTTTATTTTATTTTATTTTAGAAATCAATTATATGATTTAATTTTATCTCAGACGTATCTTTCCATTTAGTTTTTTTCCTTTTATAGATCGAATGCTAATCTTCTTTTGTTTTTCTGAACCAAGTGGGGAGGCATTACATCTGAAGAACATGATGAAGCAGTAATGCTTGAAGCTGCAATGTTTGGTGGGATTCCAGAGAGGGACACGTATAAATTTTCTTACCCAGATCATCAAGAAGTTCAAGTAGGGCCTGGCAGACATACTGGCTTTTATCCTTGGACACATCGTCCTCCCTCACCAACACTAGCTGCACAACGCATGCTACGGGAACAGCAGGTTTCTTTTAATATATGTATATAGAAGCTCTGTTGTCGTATTTGTGAAGTAGACTAGTAAGAAGATTAGTTTTCAGGATGATGAGTACCTGGCGGCACTACAAGCAGATAGAGAAAAGGAGTTGAAAGCCATGCAGGAAGCCGAACTTCGCCGTCTGGAAGAAACAGCAGCCAGAGAAGCCGCTCTCCAGAAGGAAAAATATCAAGAGGAAGAAATACGCAAGAAAAAGTTGGAAGAAGAGGTATGGCTGATTCGCATGATAACTAAGAATATGGTTTGACAGGCCATCATACTTGAAATTTTATTTTGGTTTTATGGCACGCAGAGTGATCTTACCTTTTTCTTTGTTATTAAGCATCTTGCATTAAAATGTGACATCCATGTTTTTAAGTCTTGCGAGTAAATTAAGTTTTGTTATAAATGGCATGTTTTAAGTGACTTGGCCAAGGGTCGAAGCCAATTCTAGTACTGGAATCTCGAGGAAGATTGCCTGTTGTAATTTATGCGTCACAATGAGGCCTAAAGACTGCTCTAATACTTGATGTCCTATTTGGAAAAGGGTTGATGAGGGAGGGAGGGAGGGAGGGAATATTAAGGAAGATTATTTTGGTACTGTTTCAAAAGTAGGAGGGAAATTGACTGCTGGGTTTGCCATTTTGGTATTGCCAAGTAAAGAAAACTGATGCCCAGATCGAAATGATTGTTGCCACTTGTTATCTTGTCTTTATTTTGGTGTTTGATCAGTCCTTGACGATCCTCCTTAAAGGGGGGGAGCCAATACACCTCTTTACCCTTCTTTTATTTGAAAGTCGGTAGAGACGATCCTGAATTTTATATTTTTTATATTACAGCATCAACAGATTTTAGGATGAGCTAGTCTAGCTCATCCTAAATCTCAATGTGATGTGGCAATTGCAAAAGGCAATCACGATCGTATTATATCAGAAAATATTTGATTGCCCAAATTCAAATGTAAACATTTTGGGTGTAAATATTTATTTCAGATGGAATAAATAGTTAATTATAGCAATCTCGTATCAACTCCACATAGAGATTGCAGTCCCGTTTTTGGTTGTATGTTACAATTGAATTTTTTGGTTGGTAGGCAATGCAAGTTTCTATTGTTCCAGTGCAAGTTTCTGTGTTAGGCAGTGCAAGTTTCTATTGTTCCAGTGCAAGTTTCTGTGTTAGGCAGGAGAATCAAATGGTCTTGCGGCATATACACACAATAAGACTTTAGATTTGTATTATGTCATAGAGTTGGCGAGAGTCATCCCTTGTCATGATTTGTATCACTGTACCTTAAGAGAATCTTACATATCGCCGTTTTATGTTCGTGTTTCTGATGATGAGCTTCAACTGCTCCAAAATCTGCCACAGGAGTTTGAGAGGGCGCTTACTGCAAAATTAGCATCACTTCCCGTCGAACCCTCCACAGATGACGAAAATGCGGTGACACTCCTGGTTCGAATGCCCGATGGAAGTCGTCATGGGCGTCGTTTTCTCAAGTCCGACAAGCTCCAGGTAGATAGATAGATCGATCGATCTCATGGCATATTTTATGCTTCTTTTCTTGTTGTTTCTCAGTCTCACATCTGCGTCGCCTTGCAGTCGCTTTTTGATTTCATTGACACCGGGAGGGTGGCCAAGCCCCGAACGTACAAATTGGTAATTATTTTGATCTGCATAGTATCAGAGCAAGTTTTATCATAAAATTTCCTTCTTCTGCTTTTGTACTGTCGGAAGATGCCAGGGGAAGCCCGCCCGCCCACTCGTGGGCATGCGAGGAGAATGTCTGTGGAAATCGTTCTTAGCTTTTTATTTCCTGCTTCATAGGATTATTCAACTGCTAGTGACCTTTGCATGAGGCTTATCTGAGACTTGAAATATGGTTTTTTTTTTTCTGGGTTAATTCTGCAAGCATTGAATTCGTTTAAACAGGAGAGAGATTACTCGATGAAGAGGAACAGAGCTGATCTGAATCGTATTGACTCAGCTATCTAGGCTCTACCTAAGATCATTCCCTGCATGTATTTTTTTTTTCTCATCTGTTGAAGGCAAGGTTAAGGTGCAGCTAGTGGCTCTGTTCACAGGTAAGGCCCTACCCTCGACGGGCTTTTGGCGAGGAGGAAAGCGGCCTCTCCTTCAGCGATCTGGGACTGACAAGCAAGCAAGAGGCGCTATTCCTGGAGCTGATCTAGCAGCGCCGTCCTCTGAACATTTGTCAATAAACCAGAAGCTCGGATAGTGTTCTCTCTTCTCTAGTGAAGTCAACGTTGTATATGGGAAACAGAGCAGGTGGGAGATGTTGGGAGGACCGTTCATCATCGTCGTCGTCGTCGTCGCCGCCGCCGTCGTCAACGCTGGTAACCCCTTTCAATGGTCGTTGATAGTATTCCGTAGTGAGGGGTTTTGGCGCTTAAAGCTTATTTTCTTGAAGGGAAACGTGTCAGCTGCCACAATGGAGCTGGCTTGGCTAGGCGGCCGTATACATGGATGCCTCTGATGGCTGGGGTTGTTTCAGAAATCAGACTGGATTATTTCATTTCATACAATTTTTATAGGCCATCATCTTCCTTGCGATCTTATGGTTTTAGTCGTGGGAATCTGACACTGGTAGGTTTCCTCGTTGACTTCTCTCTCCTACCCCCGTCTGCCCCTGGAAGACCCACCGGTAAAGGGCGACCGCCCTCGCGAGGGAAATGGTTGAGTTGACTTTTATGTCTAGAGAGATATAAGATGCTTTTTGGGGATCGCTTCTGACTCTCGGCTACAGCGTCCTCTCTCTCTCTCTCTCTCTCTCTCTCGCTATGTCTCTCTGTGCGGCTGGCAGCACTGGGCAACTGATTCCGTAGGCAGACGATCTCTAGTCTTTTCACGCGGATGGTTGACCAATCTCTTTCTCGTGCGGATCGGCTGCCGTCCAATACTGCTTCACCGCCAGCAGGATCTTCTCCCTCTGCAGGGGGCCGCCCTCGGGGTCCATAATCTGGCTCTCCCATCTCATGCGGTCCGTATGGCTCTTGATTTTCACCAGGACGTCCACGTCGTCCCTGAAGATCACCGCCCCGTCCGGCCGCAGGATCCTGTCCATCTCCAGCAGGACGTCTTCCATATCGCACCTGAGACGCGGAGCAGGCCCAGTCAGGAGGAAGAAGGACAAGCCAGCCGTACGGCTTTCGCTTCCAGAGGAGCTCACCTGGTTCTATACAACGTGAATACCGAGCCTGCGTGGAGGAGGTCGTACGATCTCGGATACGTCGACATGGCCTCGCACCTGCGGCGAGCGCGGAGATAATCAGGAGAAAATTTTAATGGGTTTCATAATCATCTCCAAAATTTTAATGGGTTTGGTTTTCTGGGCTCACCAGTCATGGTAGGTTCCAATGAGTCCGCGCTCATAGACGACGCCCAGGGTGTCGACGCCCGCCGGAGGCACCACGTTCATGACCCACACAGGGTCTCCGGCAAGCGCGGCGGCGAACCCGCCGAGGTGGGCGTTCATGTCGAGCAGATTGCGGTACCCGCCGGGCTTCCCGAGCTGGTTGACGAGGGTCTTGTAGAATCCGAGCCGCCGCCGCCACAGCTCGGAGTCCTCGAGGAAGGTCTCCGCCGTCACCTCGCTTATGCTGCCGCTATTGATCCTCGGCGGCACCGCCGTCAACCTTTCCGGCCAATTCTTCAGCTCCCCGCCGGCAGTTTCGCGCAGGTCCGCAACCTCCGGCAGGGAGGTTATGCAAGTCTCCATCTTCGTGTACCTGACGAGGGGGAGCGCTCCGAGTCAATCGCTGTGATTACCGGATCTGCACCATGGAGATTCGGACGTACCAGGCGGCATCAGGGCTCGCCGAAGCCGAGCAGAACGGCGGGGACTTGAAGAGCTTCCGGGTGATCCCACAGTGTACATGGTTGGTGGGTTTCCGCCAGATGGCGATGTCGCCCCTCTCCTTGACCTTCTTCCAGCAGAGCTTCCTCGCGACGTCTTCAATGACGTCCTGCTCGGCTCGGAGGTCATCCTGCGTCCTCTGCCAGCCCCTCCAGTGGGTCTTCCAGTTGATGGGGGGCCCCGACAAGACCCAGTAACCCCCGGGGCGGAGTATCCGGTCCACCTCAATCAAGAACTGTCCGCCATGGAGGTGCCAGGGGATGAGGCAGCGGGAGCAGTGTGCCATGTCGAAGGCCCTGGCGGGGTAGGGGAGCCGCTGGGAGGCCATGACGCCGATCATGGCGGGGACGCCGCGCTCCAGCGCGAACTGCACCTGCGCCTCGTGGGTGTCCCTTGGAGCGAAGGACATGGCGAGGACGTTTCGTGACAGAAGGTAAGCCCCCCAGCTCGCCACCTGCAACATCCACCGACTTCATCACCACAGAGACTCGGAAGGCCGCAACGGGGTTGACTCCCTTTCGCTATTCCCCGACGTAAGAATCAGTTTCCCGTCGTCCTCCGGCGGATATCCTTCAGATACGCCATCGCGGAGATCTTTCCCTGACCAGAAAGGAAACAACTGCGACGACGCCCATGGCCCCGCAGCCCCTCCCGATTTGACGGCACCTTCCAAATATGGAAAAGAAAAGAGGATGGGCGAGGAAAGAAGATGACCGGGGAGAGAGATGCCCGACTCACCCCGCAGCCCGTGTCAACGGCGGTGCGGATGGACCCGTCGCGCAGCGGGATCAGTTCGCTGATCTCGTCGATGTAGGCGTCAGCGCCGCGGGGGAACATCGTACCGCCGCCGGGGAACCGGAACTTGTCGCTGTCGACCCGGATCCAGTTCTGCACCGCCTTCTCCACGGCGAGGTCCCGGTGAGGCACGTTGGCGAACCAAGCTACCTCGCGGCTGGCCGGCCAGGGGAACGGCCGCCGGTACCCCCGGGGCGCCGGCACCAGGCACTTGAGGAGCTCCTCCTTCCCCGGGCAGTGCCGCTCGCGGTAGACCAGCCGCTCCCTCGGGTACTTGAGAGACCTCTCCCGGTCCTCGCAGGGGGTGTACTCGCTGTACTTGGCGTCGCAGGCGGCGTACTCCAGCATGGGCGGTGCGGAGGCGGCGTCGGCGGCGTGGTGGGCCAAGAAGTCGAGGCTTCCGACAGGGGAGGAAGGAGGGCGGAGGGGGCCGGTTCCGTTGCCGGGGGAGCAAGCGGCGGAGGAGACGACGGCGGGGTAGCCATCGACGGCGCCTCGGGCATCCTGGCGTCTGCCGAGAAAGTAAGCGAAGGCGCAGAGGAGAGAAAGGAGGAAGACGGAGAGGATGCTAGTGTACTTCCCATAAGGAGAGTAGAGCTTCCATGCCCGGGAGCGGGGAGCACTGCCTACCCCGCCCGCCATGGCTTCCCACCTTCTCTCTCTCTCTCTCTCTCTCTCTCTCTCTCTCTCTCTCTCTCTCTCTCTCTCTCTCTACGGGGTAATATAGTGCAACGGAACCAGAATTAGTAACGCGTGGCAAAGGCACGATTGAGAATTGAACTGGAGATACGCACGTTAATCAGCATTTGGTTATCTTTAAGAGCCGCCTTCACAACAAGCTGTGAGGCTTTAAATCAATAAATAGAAAGAAAGAAATCCAACCTAGTTAGGAACTTCGCAGCTGGCCACAGACTGTAACTTTCGATAAGATCTTTTCACAAAATAAAGGCCCCACAGATTTTCCACGAGTTGACTTGCAATCACGAACGGCGTCTGAACCTAATTTTATGGGAAAAAAATAACTCCGATATATTCAACCATACACGAGATTAGAAAATGTGAATATATATAATTTTCTATGTTGATGGTTCTTACTTTCCTCAATGGTATGCAGATCTCCACAACTTCTTAATTCCCAGAAGACTCAAACAAGATAATGGAGTGATAATCCGAATTCATCTTCCTCGCTTAGAATCTCCTCAATTTTCGACAGTATATATTTACTTGTGAACATACGACGCAAATTATGATAATATATAACACATAATATCATAATATATACCTCTGTGTGTACTGAGAGAGAGAGAGAAAGATAGAGACACACAGGAAGGAAGGGAGAGAGAGAGAGGGAGACAGGGAGATAGGGAGGAAGGGGAAGAGAGAGAGAGAGAGAGAGGGAGAGAGAGTGAGAGAGAGAGGTGGCGTCGGACATGAAACCTGCTACGGCTGCCATCTTTCTCATGGAGTGTGTGTGCAGGAGGTGGCCGGTTGGTGGCGATGGGAGGTGTTGATTTGACAAGCTCACTCGGTTACGGCCCATCATGGTCTTCATGTAGTCAGTGGGCCGTCCCCGTGTCGGCTCCTTGATACGTTCGCTGAATATGGCCCAATTTTAATCGACCTCGGTCCAATAGAGATATCTCGACAGTAGGACGGCGGCAGGAGGACATACCTAAACGATCACTTATCCTCCAAATATGTAAATGAATTAAATATTAATTAATTGTCTTTTACCGTAGGGTTTAAACTCAGCATGGAAATTTATGAGAACCTATTTTAATTAACTTATTTAATAATTATGGCCAATAAATTTAATTTAATGTAGAACATTTAAGAAAAGTTCTGGAGTTTTTTGGTTCAGAATAGTAAGGAGATGAAATTTCTATTAATTTTTTTTGTGATAATTATTTTTAAAATTAATTAATTAATGACTTAATAAATTAAATTAGAGATGAGCAGCATGACATCGAGTAGATAACTTATTATTATACATGCTATATTTCCAGATTTAAACCTACTTTTCATTTTTATAATTCGTAGATGCGGGAGAGCCGGCCACGTCATCAAAAGAGCAACGAGCCGGGGATTCGGGTGATTTTCGGAAAGGGTTGGGCAACGGTCATGAGGACTGAGGCGCGCACGTGAGGGAAAAGGAATCACGGCTGCGTACGATCTAACGTTCATGTTGACAATAGCCAACGGTCATATTGACCGGCGCCCCTCCCGTGGGATCCTCATCCGACGGTGCACATGGGGGGATTCCGCGAGGGGCTCCCTTAGGCGAGTCGACCGTTTACTTGCCCGTAACCCGAAGAGACTGTCAGATCCGAGTTTCGCCAAGCTCGGGTAGGGGGGGGGCAGAGGATTTTGGGAGGAACTGGGTTTTGGAGGGAGGGCATCGGGAGGCGAGGAGAGGCGACGCAGGGCAACCATGGGCGGGGGTGGATGAGGAGGAGGGCGGAGGGCGGAGGGGGAGGAGGAGGAGGAGGAGGAGGAGGAGGAAGAGGAGGAGGGAGGGAGGGAGGGAGGAGAGGGGTAGAAGGCGAGGGAGCGGTAGAGAAGGCCTGGGTTTCGTTCTGCTCTGATTTTTCCGATGATCTATAGTCTCCGATGAGTTTGTGGAGATTGAGTGCTCGCTTTTTTCTTTCTCTTCGCTCCTCAAGCGGATAATGGAGGGAGGGTGGAGGAGGGAACAAGGTCGCGTCCGTGGTTTCGATCTGCTGAGGGCTGCCGGAGTTTCAGCAGGGGGAGAGTGCCTGTGGGTTTCCTGGGGTTTCCGATCGGAGGGTTCTTCTGGGTTTCTGGTTCGCTGGTGATCGTCCTCCTTTTCAGTCATGTTTTGAAATCGATTCTTTCCCTTCAATATTCTTTCATTCTTTTGTATTAACGTCTTTAGGAATCATTCGTTGTCGTTATAGATATTCGTTCTCCCCTGCCATCATCCGTCTCTGCTTCTCCGAAATCCTCCCTTTGCATTCATTTTTCTGCGTTCTGAGATTCAGATTCTTTCACTGGTAACATCTGTTAATGGTGTATTTTGTACTTCTTCTTGGAGACAGAGAGCTATAGATAGAGGAGTCGCGGGGGGGCTTGGGGAGAGAGAGAGAGAGAGAGAGAGAGAGAGAGAGAGAGAGAGAGAGATAGAGAGAGTGTGTGGAGTAGGGTGATTCTTTAGCCGTAGAGGAGAAACAGGAAGGAAGCAGGGTAATCGATTTGGAGGAAGAAGAAAACCAAGCTGAAGAACTGGAAGAACATAGAGGATGTTGGCAGGGTGCTCTTCGACGTTGCTGTCTCTGAGGCATCGATTGAGGAGTGAAGCGTCGTCTGTTCCTTTCCAAGCTTGCCACCTGCAGGTGCAGGAGGATCTCTATCCTTCCCAGCAAAAGATGAGTACCCAGCGTCTGGATCTCCCTTGCAGTTTCTCCCGGAAGGAGGGACCCCGGATCACGCTCTCTCTGGATAAAGCCATCGAGACAACGGGAGGCTGCTCTTTCAGGCACAACCCAGCAGCCCCTTCGTCGTCTTCCTCATCCCTCGTCGCCAATGGGGCCTCATGGGAATCCAGGCGGGAGGTTGAGGGAGCCTACTGGGAGAAGAATGCCCCGGGATTGAAGAGGTTCCATGAGTGGACCTACATTGACGATCAAATCGAAGAAAGGATTAAGAGGAAGAAGACCGGGAGCGATAGGCAGCAGCTACCTGGCGGCGGCGATGACGGCTGGTTTCCGAACAACGCCGTTGAGCGTCCCCCAATGGAGGAAGAAAGACCCCTCTTCCTACCCGGTGTCGCCGTCTTCCCATCTCTGCCTTGTTCGAGTGCAGCAGTTGCAAACAGAGTTGAAGCCGAAGGGAGCACCAGCGATGGATCAAAGCAGAAGGTCAAATCGGACTCAGGTTCCTCCTCCGGCTCCCGAAGCTCATCTCCTGATCTCAATGAGAATTCCTCCGACTACCCGCATGCAAGGGAAGCCGGAGAAGTGGTACCGGGAGACAGCGGCGACGCCACGAAGCTGGTGCGCCAGGGTCTTGAGCTGGTGAACTTACTCACATCCTGCGTAGAATCTATTGGCTCCCGAAATCACGAAGCGACAACCTTCTTCCTCGGTAGATTAGGCGAGCTAGCATCTCCTGTGGGTTCGACCCTCCACCGGGTGGCGGCATACTTCACCGAGGCCCTGGTCCTCCGAGTCGTAAAGCTCTGGCCCCACATATTCTCCATAGCTCCGAGGAGGGAGCTCCTGGATCGCATGGAAGACGACAACACAACGGCACTCCGCGTTCTGAACGGTGTCAGCCCGGTCCTCAAGTTCATCTACTTCACCATCAACGAGAGGTTACTGAGGGAGTTCCAAGGTAAGGAGAGGATCCACATCATAGATTTCGACATCAAGCAGGGCCTCCAATGGCCGAGCCTGTTCCAGAGCCTGGCCTCCAGGCCGAACCCTCCAGCGCAGGTGAGGATCACAGGGGTCGGTGAGTCGAAGCAGGAGCTTCAGGAGACGGGGGCCAGGCTAGCAGCGTTCGCAGAGGCCCTGGATCTGCCGTTCGAGTTCCATGCGGTGGTGGACAGGCTGGAGGACGTCAGGCTTTGGATGCTTCATGTGAAGGAGAGGGATTCTGTGGCGGTGAACTGCGTCCTTCAGTTGCACAAGCTTCTCTACGACGACAGTGGAGCTGCCCTCACAGATTTCCTCGGTCTCATCCGGAGCACAAACCCGGAGATCGTTCTCATGGCAGAGCAGGAGGCTGCCAACAACGATCCGAGGTGGGAGACGAGGTTCTCCTCCTCGCTTCAGTATTACTCCGCCATCTTCGACATGGTGGACTCTAGCCTGCCAATGGAGAGCCCTGCCAGGGTCAAGGTGGAAGAGATGTTTGCTCGGGAGATCAGGAGCATTGTCTCCGGCGACGGCGGAGAAAGGGTCGAGCGGCACGAGGTCTTCGGGGAGTGGAGGAAGATGATGGAAGAGAGGGGCTTCAGGTGTGCTGGCATTGGGGAGAGGGAGAGGCTCCTCAGCCAGATGCTCCTTCGAATGTTCGCCTGCAAGAACTACGGCCTGGAGAAGCAAGGGGAACACGGCGGCGGCGGGCTCACCCTCCGATGGCTGGATCAGCCATTATACACTGTATCTGCATGGGCACCATGCGAAACGGCGGCCGCCACCTCCTCCAGGTCTCCGCCAGGCTGATGGGGCGGGGTCAACAGCCATTCTTCCACACGTCTCAGACAAGCGGTTCTTTCTATATTTCTAGGCCAGCTGTTATTTCTTACATTCTTTCATTCTTTGGTTTCTTTCGAGCCTCTCTCATCACCGGGAAGGCTCGACATTGACCATACTAGAGAGGATTTTAGAGACAAGATCTCAGGCAATCTCAGAAGAACTTGTGCATTATTAGTCTTATTTATTGATTCTTTTCGTCCATCTACGAGTCATATGGTCGGTTGTGATTCAATCTCAGAAGAACTTTGATGGATCATGTATCCGCTCGCAGTCGGAAACTGGGTTCAATCTCGCTAATCTTTGATGACATTTGCATCAAGAACGTTCTCATATGTGTTTTTAGAGGAGGCTTTTTTTAAAGGATGCCTCATGTTAATTAAATGCAATTAAATGAAGGGATATGGCTCTTTTTAAACAAAATTAAATAAAAAATCTCATTGAGCTCGAGTCAAGCGCTAATCCCTTGTTTAGCAAGACAATCAAAGCATGGTGGATTTTGGAGAGGAGAGCGGCGGCACAAAAAACTATAACCCATTAAAAAAAATGAAAAAAAAAAAGGCGGAATGACGCCAATGTTGAATCTTTTGTCCAGGATTTGCCATTTGATTTTCTAATTTTTGAGGGAAAAAAATGCTCGATTTTCCATTTTTTTTGCTTTCATTTTTTGTCCAGGATACAATCTTTTGTTGCACTAGACATGTTGAATCACTCTAGAAACTAGATTGTTTTATCCGACTTAATGCTAACAATATTAGCACTTAATGCTAATTGAATGCGTACTCGGGTGTCCAATCTAGTTTATGCATCATGAATAAAATAGTAAGTGTGCGAATTATAGAATGGTAGATAGTAAATACTTGCATACCCTATGTTCTGACAATATTATACACTTGCTCCATCTCCATGATGGCTAACGATGTGAGCGTTTATGTTTTATCCTTTTTTGTTGTAATATCTACCTTCTTCACCAATTAGTCTGAAATATGAACCAATTAATCAATGAAGATATTAGTAATTAGTTTACTAACTGTCCAGATACTTCAGACTGGTTGTGGCTAATGTAAGATGTCTGGTCGTGGTGGCTAATGTGCATCATGCCAACAAGACCACACAATGAGGCCTTCATTCGCGAAGATAACTAAAGGGTCTGTCTGTCATCTTTAACAATGTCGGAAAGAGTAGCATAAAGCGGTTGCCAGGTGACGAAAGAAGAGTAGGGGAGGCGGTCAATCACTATAAATGAATATGGTTGAGCAAGATCTTCATTCTTTAGGCCAACGATTTATTCTAGAGGAGGAAGAGGAGTGGAGAAGGGTGGAACAACGACAGCCTTAGTTTAGTGAGGATGAACTCGACCCCGTATTTATTGAAGTTAATTGTTGGCTTGATTTCCGGGATATAAAGTATGATGTAGGCGGTAAAACATCCCTATCAGCTTGTAGCCGTCATTAAGATCTTTAGATATTTTTTATTCAATAAATTGAAAACACCGAACTAAAATCTACCATGTCTGTTTCGGAAAATCATTAAAGAAATATTAATGACAAATTGATTACGTTGATAACTCCATTGATGGGCAACGCCTACAGATGAGAAAATTTCAATCTACTCATCACAGGAATTTTTATATGCCTAACGTTTAAACTCTCGAACTGTTTTCACAAATTTTGAAGACATCTAGAATTATGCGCCAGTGATTTTATATGCCTTAAAAACTTTGTTCTTGATAAAGAACGACCAGAAGGAAGGCTGAAGGGGAGAAGAAGGCCACGTTACAAGTAGGCTGCTGGAAAGCTAGTCGGCATGCCCGACGAGGCAGCTGGGGGATGAAGTCGCGGTGGTCCTGAAGATTATTGAGATTCAGAATGTGTAATCTACGGACGACGATGCCCTCGAATTGTCCCGGGGGAAGGACGTAACAGAGACGTTCCGTGGCGTCTGAAGGGAAAACGAGGTTCTTTCGAGGCCACTCGCAAGCAGTGACATGAGCACGTTCCTGGACCAGTGAACGGGAGACGAGGGGTTCTTCCCTGGCCATTCGATCCATTCCAACCAAGCAAGGCCGCTCGGCGTCTTCGCAACCCCCCCCCCCCCCCCCTTGTTCGACGAAAAGATCTGGGCATTTTGGAGCGAAACACCCTCCCTCCGTAAGTTGGCTCTTCCCCTTTCAGAAATGGATGACGGAGATGAAGCTCACCACTGACTCCATCGTTCTCAAGGACAGCCAAAGTAGAGAAGAGCGAGAGCGACGGATGAACGGAGACCGTTTGGGGATCCAAGAGATCAAGTAGAAATCGAAAAAGTGGGGCGTTGGAAATCGATCGAGTTGTGAACTGCCAAACCCCCGGGAGAAGGAAAAACCCGGACGAACATTAATTACTGCCCCCCCTAAGACCATGAATAGTATGAAAGTGGGAGCATTTAAATCGCCGGCTACCTCTGGGTTGCTGAAATAAAACAACGAGGAACAACAGTTGACCGACTTGTGGACACCTAACTGACGGGGTGGTACAAACTCAATATCGAGGAGAAGATCGGTTTGGAGGAAGAGGAAATGGAAAGCCACATCCTCACTGTGAGGGGTAGTTGAAGGTTGATAGAACAAGAACTATCCCACTAGAGGCTTCGGAATCAAAACCAAGGGCTGTTTTCTCTCCAAAACCAGACCGAGTTTCTCGTCCATGTTCAGCTCGCTGCGTTGCTTACCGCCGGGGAGGAGCCAGTCGAAGTTGTGCACCATCGTCGCCACCACCAACTGATACACACGGACACCCATGGATATTCCCGGGCACGCCCTCATGCCCCCTCCGAAAGGGACGAACTCGAAATCTATACCCTTGTAGTCCACTGAGCAGTTCAGGAACCTCTCCGGCGAGAAGCTTAGAGGGTCCTTCCAGATCTCTGGGTTCCGTCCGATGGCCCAAGCGTTCACCATGATGGTGCAGTTCTTGGGGATGGTGTAGCTCATGATCTCGCAGGTGTCGATGGCACAGCGTGGGAGAAGAAGTGGCGCAGGAGGATGCAGACGAAGGGCCTCCTTGATGCAGGCGTGCAGGTAAGTGAGCCGCGCGAGGTGAGTCTCCTCAGGGATGGCGATGGTTTGGTCTGTTGTGAACGGGAGCCTTGCACGTGGCCCCCCCGCCCTGTTCGCATAACGGCATAATGCGGTTATGCGAGAAGTGCTCTAACGTGGTCAGTCTTGGCCAGCTAGTTATTACTTACGGTTATTTCTTTCCCTCCTTTGTTTTCTTATTTAAAGAGGACTGTAAGAGTTTTTCAAGAGAGAGAAAGTTTTCCTTGTTCCTCCGGCGAGTTTCTGACAATTGGTATCAGAGCTCCCAGGTTGCGGCCCGGGACTCGATCGCGGCAAGGTACAGCCGTTGGAATCGAGAACGCGCAATCGAAACGCGCTATGGCAGGAGGAAAGGACGGCGTGGTCTAGAGGGTGATTCGTGAGGTGAGCGCCGGGACCGGGTTCCCAATGCTCACCAAGACCAACTACTCCAACTGGGCACTGCTCATGAAGGTCAAGCTCAGAGCCCGGTTGCTCTGGACCGCCATTGAGAAAGGGGGCGTCGAACCCCATGAAAACATGCAGGCGCTCGACGCGCTCTGCAGCGCCGTGCCGCCGGAAATGTGGCCGGTGATCGCGAACAAGGAGACGGCCAAGGAGGCCTGGGAGGCTATCGCCACCATGCGGATCGGCGATGACCGCGTAAAGAAGACGTCGGCTCAGAACTTGCGGCGGCAGTTCGACTCGGCGACGTTCAAGGAGGGAGAGTCTGTTGAGGACTACGCGCTGCGTCTCAACAGCATGGCGTCGACTCTCACCACCCTCGGCGACAAGGTCAAAGAGACGCAGGTAGTGGAGACGATAATCCGCAGTGTTCCCCAGCGTTTCAGGCAGATCGTGGTCGCGATCACGATGCTGCTCGACGTGTCGACGCTCACCGTCGTGGATTTGACGGGTCGGCTCAAGGCGGCGGAGGATGCCTTCGAGGAACCGCCGTCGGCTATGCAACACGACGGCAAGCTGTACCTGACCGAGGAAGAGTGGGACGCACGGCGGAGGAAGCGTGATGCTGAGAAAACTGGTGGTGGAGGTAGCAGCAGCGTGACGCCTCGTGGCAGACATGGGCGCGGGCGCGGGCGCGACCGTGGCAGCGACAAGGGCTCGTCATCAGGCGGCCTGACGGGCAACTCAGGCCGGCCCAGCGGTGATGAGTGCAGGAGATGCGGGAAGCTAGGCCACTGGGCCTGCGAGTGCCGCTCCAAGCCCAAGAAAGAGCAGGCCCACGTCGTCCAGAATGAGGAGGAGGCCTCGCTCCTTTTCGTGAAGTCAACGACGGCCATATCGACGGCGCCGCCACCAACCTCCACTCCACCACGTTTTGCTGTGACTCCGCAGGCAAAGGATCGGCTCCGGCGTGCAAGCCCACCGCCGCCGGGAGCAAAAGGGGTCCCCGTCAATGGAGGGGCCGCCAAAGAAGAGAAGAAGCCAGGCGCCCAGACCCAGATCCATCTGCGGGAAGAGAAGGTGTTCGCCCACCTTGAAGAGGAGGAGATGCGTGATGAGGAGGCGTGGGTCGTGGACACGGGCGCCACGAACCACATGTCGGGTCCCCGTACGGCTTTCACCGAGCTGGACACGGAGGTACTTGGGACGGTGCGGTTCGGCGACGACTCGGTGGCGCGGATCGAAGGCCGGGGGGCAATCGTGTTCCTGTACAAGAACGGCGAGCACCGGTCCTTCGCGGGGGTGCATTACATTCCCCGACTGACGACGAACATCGTCAGCGTCGGCCAACTCGATGAGGCCGGGTACCATATCGACATCGAGAAGGGGGCGATGAAGATCCATGAGCCAGGCGGACGGCTCCTGGCGAAGGTCATGCGCGGAGAGAACCGGCTGTACATTCTCCACGCCAAGCTAGTTCTGCAGGTGTGCCTGGAGGCGCGGGCAGTCGAAGAAGCTTGGAAATGGCACGCGCGCCTCGGATATGTCAACATGACCGCGCTGCGGAAGATGGCTCGGGAGGAGCTGGTGCGCGGGTTGCCGGCAGTTGGTCAGGTGGACCAGCTGTGTGAGGCGTGTCTCGCTGGCAAGCAGAAGCGGTCGCCGTTCCCCGAGCAGGGAGAGTACCGGGTGTTCTGGAGCTGGTGCACAGCGACCTCTGTGGTCCGATTGCGCCGGAAACGCCAAACGGCAGCAAGTACTTCCTGCTGCTCGTGGATGATCGAAGCCGGTACATGTGGGTGGCCATGCTGCCTTCAAAGGACCGTGCTGCGGTGGCCATCAAGGAGAAAGAAGATCAAGGCTCGGGCAGAAGGCGAGTCAGGACTGAAGCTGGGAGCGCTCCGTACTGATCGGGGCGGCGAATTCACCTCACATGAGTTCGCGGAGTACTGCGCGGGAGAAGGTATTCATCGTCAACACACGGCGCCATACAGCCCGCAGCAGAATGGCATCGTCGAGCGCAGGAACGGCACGGTGGTAGCAACCGCGAGGAGCATGCTCAAGGCAAAGGGGCTGCCGGGCTGGTTTTGGGGTGAGGCAGTGACAACTGCTGTATACATCCTGAACCGGTGTCCGACGAAGAGCGTGGACGACATGACGCCTTTCGAGGTATGGCACGGGAAGAAGCCGGCGGTGCACCATCTGAAGGTGTTCGGATGCATCGCCTACGTCCTGAACACGACACCGCATCTCAAGAAGCAGCTGGAGGACCGCGGCCGCAAGATGATCTTCATCGGCTACGAGTGCGGATCAAAGGCCTACCGTGCCTACGATCCCACCACGAGGCGTGTCCATGTGACACGGGACGTGGTGTTCGACGAAAATGCCCAGTGGGATTGGGCAGCGGCGCGGAGCAGGGGGATGTGGGCAGCCACGACGACATGTTCACATTGGAGTATGCCGTCGGGAACCAGGTACCTCCGGAGCTCGATGGCGCCATCGAGGTACTTGATGATGATGCGCCAGGACCGGAGCCGATGTCGCCACCGTCCGTGCACTACAGTGGGGGAGCGGTGCCGATTGAAGATGGAGGAGAGGAGGTGGAGTTCGCCACTCCACCCAGTGTCCACATCGACCACCTGGATGCTAATCACGATGATGCGCCACTCCGGTTCCGCAAGATCGACAACATCGTTTGACTGGCCTCGCCGCGTGGTCTCGCGTCGCGGACGTTAATTGCAGAGGAGCTGCACACTGTAAGTTCTGATGAGCCGGTCTCTTTTGCTGAAGCAGAGGGCCACCCGAGCTGGAGGAAGGCTATGGAGGAGGAGATGGCATCGATCGAGGAGAACCGCACCTGGTCCCTGGTTGACCTCCCACATGATCGCCGGGCGATCGGGTTGAAGTGGGTGTACAAGGTGAAGCGGGATGAAAACAGAGCCGTGGCGAAGTACAAGGCGCGCCTGGTGGTGAAGGGCTATGCGCAACGCCAGGGGATCGACTACGACGAGGTGTTCGCACCTGTGGCGCGGCTGGACACGGTGCGCCTTCTCATCGCTCTCGCGGCGCACGAGGGGTGGGAGGTGCACCACATGGATGTCAAGTCGGCGTTCTGGAATGGCGATCTCAAGGAAGAGGTGTACGTGGAGCAGCTGGCCGGTTTCATCAGCACGGACAATGAGCACAAGGTGTTCAAGCTGAAGAAGGCACTCTACGGCTTGCATCAAGCGCCTAGGGCCTGGAACGCGAAGCTGGACGAAACGCTCCTATCGTTCAGATTCAGGAGGAGTCCCTTGGAACATGCCATCTACACCAAGCGGAACGGGGAGGCGCAGCTGGTGGTCGGGGTGTACGTTGACGACCTGGTGATCATCGGCACCAGCTGCGACGACATCAAGCAGTTCAAAAAGGAGATGGCTGACGCATTCAGGATGAACGACCTCGGCCTGCTTCACTACTATCTTGGCATTGAAGTCAGGCAGAGCGCGGGGGGCACCTCGATCAACCAAGTGGCCTACGCCGCCAAGATTCTGGAGAGGAGTGGCATGGCAGGATGCAATCCCTGTCAAGTACTAATGGCAACGCGTATGAAATTGAGTAAGAGGAGCACGGAGCCGCTGGTGGATGCAACAGCATACAGAAGCATTGTGCGGAGTCTCAGGTACCTGGTCAATACTCGTCTAGACCTAGCATTTGCTGTTGGCTATGTGAGTCATTTTCTGGAGGAGCCACGAAAGGATCACTTGGCTGCTGTGAAGCAAATTCTCCGCTATGTGGTGGGAACCAAGAGCTGGGGTCTCAAGTATGAAAGAAAGAAGGAGGAGCAAGTCCAGTTGACAGGATTCAGCGATAGTGACTTCGCTGGTGATGTTGATGCTCTAAAGAGCACGGTTGAAGTTATTTTCTTCTTGGCCAACAGCCCAATTACTTGGCAGTTGATGAAACAGAAGGCGGTGGCTCAGTCTAGCTGTGAGGCAGAGTACATTGCGGCCACCAATGCTGCCTGCCAAGGTGTGTGGCTCGCTCAGGTGCTAGCAGAGGTGCATGGCTCAGCACCAAGCGTGCTGATGCTGAGGGTGGACAATAAGTCTGCCATAGCGTTGATCAAGAACCCGGTTCTCTATGGACATAACAAGCACATTGAAGTGAAGTATCATCTTATCTGAGAATCTACAGAAAAGGGTCAGATCAACGTGGAGTTCATCAGGAGTGAAGAACAGTTAGGAGACGTTCTGACGAAGTCACTCGGAAAAGTCAAGTTCTATGAGTTTCGTGCCAAGATTGGCCTCGTTGATGTTCGTGGTAAGCACAGCAAGGCTCAGGAGGAGATTGTTGTGAATGAGAGCCTTGCATGTGCCCCCGCCCTGTTCGCATAACGGCATAATGTGTACACGTCAGAGCATATTGTGCGGTAATACGGAATTTCCTGCATATTACTGGTCAGTCTTGGCCAGCTAGTTATTACTTACGGTTATTTCTTTCCCCCCTTTGTTTTCTTATTTAAAGAGGATTGTAAGAGTTTTTCAAGAGAGAGAAAGTTTTCCTTGTTCCTCCTGCTATTTTTCTTGTGACTCGTGAGGTGATCTCGCCGGCGACGTCTTAACTGCCGTCGTCTCTCCGGCGAGTTTCTGACATGGTCGCCTGTCGGCGGAGGCCCCATGACCTGTATTAGCTCCTCCCTGACTCGCTTCATCACGTCCGGACTCCTCACGAGCTCCGACATTATCCATTCGGCCAGAGCCGCGGATGTGTCTGATCCTGCAGTGAAGATGTCCTAAAAAAAATAGAAAGCAGGTATCGATCAATCATATAAATCTAATCAGAGGATAGTGGTACTCTAAACACAAGACGATCTGAGAGAAGCACCAAGATCAAGGCCTTCAGCTGGTTATCTCGGATACCGTGATCCAGCAGCATCTTCGTGAAGTCCTTGTCTTGTGTCTCCTCGCTCCGCTGCATCATGATTTCATCCCATATGCCGTAGAGCTTCTCCAGGTAGGTCTGTACCTGATGCTTCAATCCATCTAGGTCAAATCCCCCGGTCATCCCCGGGAAAAAGTCCTCGATGCACGGCACCACCGCAAGCTCCAGCATCCTCGCCATGTGGCTCTTCAGCTCGGGGAACCAGCCCTTCCCTTCCTCCAGCGAGAGGACGTCCCTGGAGAAGATGATGTTGCCGACCATGTTGAAAAAGGTGATGAAAATTACCTTCCCGATCTTGACTTCCTTGCCGGCTCTGCTAAGCAGGAACCGGGCCATCTCTCCGGCTTTCCTCTCTCTAGCTGGGGCGTGCCTCGCGAGCGAGGGGGAAGACAGGAGATCCGCCCGGAAGATCGTGCGGAGGGACCTCCAGTTGTCGTCGCAGCGGGCGTGCCAGATCAACGAGTGGTCGGCGTAGATGGGCACCCGGTATGCAGCAGGGACGTACCTGGCGCAGAGCACCCGGTCGTTGGTCTTCAACACCTGCGCGGCGGCGGACGGTGACGACGCAACGACGAGCTCTCGGGCTCCGAGGCGGAGGTAGATGAGGGGCCCGTAATCCTCGGCAATTGCGGCGAGGGATGCGTGGAGACGCTGCCCGGTGACTGCCTGCCGGAGCATGAGGTGGGGGATGTTGCCGATCGCCGGCCATGGACGGGGTCCCGGGGGGAGGTTCGTCTGTTTCCTTGATCGCCAGAAGAGTGAGAGAAGAACAGGGAATAAGAGAACCAGAAACAGCAGCAGCGACGACCCCATAGCGGCCTTGGTGTGGAGAAGAGGCAGGTATAATCGACGAACGGTGATGGATCTTGGATATCATGATGACAAGAGTAGCCGTGCCAGAGGATGAAAGCCACTAATCGGTTTCAAGAAGAAGAAGAGAGAAGGAGAGAGAGAGAGAGAGGACAAATTATTTAGGCACCAGATCTACGCATGAGCTCAGCGATGTTCGGCGGTCTGTTGATAGCGACACCGGTTGCAAAACTTGCGTTAGGTGTGGGCTGAGGCGAAAGTGCGCGTAGGTGCGGGCAAAACTTGCTCTCACTCGCACTCGGGCACGGTTAATCGCGGAGTTTTTTTCCTCTGCTCCGTGGTAACTCACCCACTTAGGGGGGGTTCTAATTAATCACTATTATCTAAGGTAAACGTAGAAAAAGGCCAACGAGTTTTCAATTGGATCTAAATCCTACTCAACTTAGCTTAATCCAAGCTTGAACCAAACCCAAATCCGGTCATGCTTCAGGCTCAGCAGCAGCTATCACCACATATGATCATTCTGTCTTACGTTAAAAAACTTGTGATGCTCTCTACGCCGTGCACTTTTAGTTCATAGATATTTAGTAGGATATGATAAATTTTACTAATTTGAATTGAGGCGCAAATTTGTGCTAGTGTTTGTCTTTTATGATCTCTCAACTGAACACACGTCGAAAATATTCAAAAAAATGATCACATCAGTCGCTGGATAATTGAGTGCATTCATAAAATAAAATAATAATTTCCAGTTTCTTCCGCGGGTATTGATGATGTATGCATTCAATAAAGCATGATTTTGATTCTTTTTAAGAATTGTGAAGATATAAACCAACTTTAAATATTTTGATTCTTTTTTTTTAGAAAAAAAAGGCAGCATTAAATATTCCAGTAACAATCATACGAAGAAAATGGCGAGATTGTTGTTTTTAATATATTTCTTCTTATGTACAGATGAAATGTCTCCCCAGTATGAGTTATTTATTGGAAACTGAATAATCAAATTATGGTGAAATACCCCCATTTTTGTGTTCTTTATGTTAGCCAACGGTGAAGTGAAGCCGTTTGGTCAATGGTCTCTGGCTGAGTAGACTTGAGAACTTAGGATCTCTCTCTCTCTCTCTCTCTCTCTCTCTCTCTCTCTCCTGCCTCCCTCATGCCCGGACAGAAGATGGTCGGCGTAGCCCCGCGGACCTTTGGCTTATCTCCTTGGTAGTGCCTGCAGCCTACTGGATTTTTTTTGCTCGAAAGGGTTGGGGAAACCGGCCTTGACAGTGATCGAAGGCCGTTGGAACAAGGCATACCGAAACAAAAAAAGAAGTCATTCGAAGATGAGGTCAGTCAGCCGAGCTTGCGTATCCCATGGCAACCCCGCGACGAAACGGAGAAGTAAGATATCTTACTCTCCCCAGAACGGCGGCAGCCTCCAGCCATTTCAGAACCAGGAGACCGTGCAGAAGAGGGAGCCGTCGACGACGAACCCCCTCCGCCTTATTCCCCGCAAGAATCTGAAACAACGGGCAGGAACCCTCCAAGCTTCTCCTTTTTAATGGCAAGTTAGGTCATCCTCCACTCGCCATCTTGACGGCGAAACTTGTACAGAATTTAGTCAGTCAACTTATGCATGCAAATGATGAACTGTCTCACTCGCTCCCCACGCTGGAAAACGTCGAGGCTCCAGCGCTCACCGGGGGGGTCGAGCAGGAGAAGACCTCGACCGATGACGTGAATGGCCCGCCGGGATCCCCGATGCTCCTCCCTCTGCTCGCACGTTTCGGCATCAATGCGCGGCGGAGGCCCCCACCTGCCGCTGTATGGTCCGTCAGAAGGTGGGCCACGCGGTGTGGCCTAATCGAACTCCTGAGTGAGTCGGATCCACGCCGTCGCTCGGCTGTGCGGCCGGAGAGGGTCTGCCGGCGTCGGAAACGAAGGTTCCCGAAGAGCCCCCGGTGATCACATGCCCGTCGCTGCTTTTGCCGTTTGTTTATTCCTCCTTTCCCTCTTGGCAGCTACCTCTTGTCGGCGACTTCTTCGGACAGCTAATGGCAGAGCCTGTCCGACATCACTCTTTCTCAGAACTTATCCTTCTCGTCTTCATCCGGATTAGTCAGAGTCTATGGATCCCTCTTTCATCCTCGGGGCCCACTGTGGATCCGTTGACAGGTCAAACCCGAGCCGCTCTCAACTAGGTCAAAGACTTCCCCTCCCCCCTCTCTTTCCCGGTCAAGACCGCGGGAATTTGACGGGGTCCAACAAATCGTCGTCTTTGACCGTTTTACCACGTCTGGGCCAGAAAGGAGGGCGGGGGCACTCCCGGAAGAGAAGCCCGATATTGGAAAGGTTTCCCTTAAAAACTGTTTTTGTTCTCTCTCCTCATCCGCAGCGTAATCCACGACTAGTCTAAACCGCTCTGCAAATCCCTCTCTCTCCTCTCTGATAAATGGAGTGCGTGTAGATGACCTGCGGTCCTGGGTTCCTCCATATTCCTCTTCCTCGTTTCTGGTTCCCTTCGTCGTGTGCTTCCATCTGTCTTTCTTTAGGTCTGGGCGGAGGGCAGATTGGCGGATGGGTGTGGTCCTGAGGAGGTGGAGAAGCAATCGCAGGCTTGCCCTCCTCCTCTCCTCTAAGACCCTGAACCTGTTCAGATCACCGTCGATCCATTTGCCGCAGTGACGGACAAATTAGAAGAGTTCAGCTACCGGCGGGGATTGATTAGGGTTGGAATCGGGGGTTCGTTTGTCGGAGCTGGGAATCGGCAGTCATGGGTGCTGGGGCGTCGAGCATCCTGTGGCCGGACGGCGAGGAGTGCAACGCGCCGGGGCTCGGTGACCTACCGGAGGCCTGCGTGGCGTCGGTGCTGATGCATCTCGACCCGCCGGAGATCTGCCGGCTTGCGCGTCTGAACCGGGCGTTCCAGGGGGCGGCATCGGCGGACTTTGTGTGGGAGTCGAAGCTACCGAATAATTATGGCTATCTACTGGAGAAGATCGCCAGCGAGGAGGAAGCAGAGCAAAAAAACCGCGCTGGCGGCAAGAGACTCGGAAAGAAGGAGATATACGCGATGCTCTGCCGCCCAAACCCATTTGACGGGGGCAACAAGGTGCGTCTTCCTTTGCCTTCTACTGCTGTTACTCTTCTAAGAGGGTCTTATTCGATCCAGAGGATTCAGGTTTGTGTGTAAACAGTGAGCAATCCGGAATTTGTCGCCTTGTTTCCGCCATTTTATTTTCGAGGAAGCTATCCTAAAGCGGAAAGGCCCGATTCTGATCATAAAGAGGTCTCGAATGCGATCATGTATGTCATTTATCTTTAGGGCTTCGGTTCTAATTGCCCTGGTTATTGACAGACTGGTATCCCATTCTTTGTGAATGTAGATCTTCTGGTTGAACAAGTATAAGGGTGGTATCTGCATGCCGATATCCTCAAAGGCATTATACATCACAGGGATCGATGACCGGAGATATTGGAACCACATTCCAACAGATGAGTCTAGGTAAAATACATGACCCGTATCAATACCTGTGGCATTTTTTCAGTTTCATTCTACGTTTTAGTGAGAGTTTTTTCCATTTCAAATCGAAATACTCGAATAAGTTTGGTCTGCTGAAGATGTGGATTTCATTGCTATGCCCATGGTACTTGATAATAATTATCATTATCTGAGAGCAATTGATGGCCTCTGCGGGATTATATTTCATCATTTATAGGCGATGCTATCTTGTTTGCTCAAAGTCCTAATGAAGGAAAACCCTATACGGCGATCGCCTCCATTGTTCTAAACGCTTTTGCTACAGTTCTTCAGGTGATGACGACCATGAATTTATCACGAGGAAAGCATGTATGCACTCGCAATCTTTTGATCGTCATAGTTTTTGGCCCGTTCTTTGATTTGATTTCATCCTCATGAGAAATGCTAAATCCAAGTTTGTCGTTTGGCAACTCTGCAACTCTTTGCAAATGTCCCTGGATATCATTTTGGCAGGTGCTTTTGACGATCTTTGTAAGATCTTCCTGTGAATCGAGGATGGCCACTGGTTAATCTCGACTTGACCACATCTCATGCTGCGCTGTGTAATTGTCACCCTGATACGTTTAGTTGTTCCTTCCAGTAGTATCAGAGGAGCAAGTGCCAAGCTCTGTGAATCTATTGCGATCTAGTTTTCTTCATGCATTCCTCCATGATTATGTTTTCTTCATGCATCCCCTTTCTAGAACGGCATAGCAGAAACGATGGGGGGGAAGGTGGGGCGAGAATACTGTTCGGAAGGCATTGCTTAACACTGTTTTATTTGAAAATGTTCTTACTCTCAGCCAAGAACTTGTATGATTCCTGATGAATCTTATGGCTGTGCAGATTCCACACAGTGGCGTACCTGCAGCAGACCTGGTGGTTCGAGGTAGATGGGGAGATCGAGTTCTGCTTCCCGCCGGGCACCTACAGCCTCTTCTTCAGGCTCCACCTGGGGCGGCCCTGCAAGCGGCTCGGCCGCCGGGTCTGCAACTCGGAGCACGTCCACGGGTGGGAAATCAAGCCAGTACAGTTCCAGCTGGCCACCTCAACCGGGCTGGGAACCCAGAGGCAGTGCTTCTTGGAGGAACCTGGGAGCTGGGTCCACTACGAGGTCGGGGACTTCGTGGTGGAGAGCTCCGCCGTCCCCACCAGGATCAAATTCTCCATGATGCAGATCGACTGCACCCACACGAAGGGCGGCCTCTGTGTTGACTCTGCCGTGATCTATCCACACGGGGTCCGGCCAGAGAGGGTGTCTGTGGACAGCAGATTTAGGAAGACTCTGTAGAATACGAACAGGTTCTTCACTAGTCCGCCACTTTTTTTCTCTTTTTTTTTTTTTTCTTTTTTTCTTCTCGTGGGGGTGGGTGGGGCTCCCTTCTTCCTCAATATTTTGATTGATCTCAGGGAGCCCCTCCAGGTAACATTACATGGGTTCCTACTCTCTTGGAGACTAGAATGTTTCTGGCTGGTCTCCTGGGGAGATGGGTTTTGTCGACTGAGAGCCAAAATGCTCATGGAATGGCTTCCATTGTATCATAAACTAACATCACTTGCTGTCTCTGTGTGTGGCTACTACTTGGTTGATGATTGTTTTCAGAGAGTCTCCTTCTTTCCAGTTCTACAAAAACGGGTTCCTTCTCGATCATATCACACTCTCTTTTACATAGCAAGAAACCATCGAAGCTCAGCTCTCTAGGCCCTTTTCCATGGCCGGGCACAAAGATCCGTGATATAAGATGGCGACCATGAACAGTATAAGTTTTACGATGCTTCACAGGAATTATATGAAGATACTAGGCTTTTAATATCCTCAAGTAATCGTCGATTATTGACATTGCAGATGAGCGATACCCAGAACCGAACAAGTTGTAGTGGTTGAGGTAATGGTAGAGCATGTAAAGATCCCTCCTTTTCTCGAATCCCTGTTGCTTGGGCATCACCTGCGCCAGGAGAGATCCCACATGACGAAAATTCTCGTGCCCAAAATCGGAAATTTTGAAATATTTTGGGAGATCATCTTCCTAGCGGCTGAACCCGCATGTTAAGGAAGAAGATGATCTCTCCAAATAGGATTCACCCAATAAACTACAAGAAATGAGGGTTTCCGTCCATCTGACCTCAAAGTAAGAACTATAGAAGGAGCCTCCAAATCCAGCACACCAGGACATTCCAAACTCTGCTTCGTTGTGTCCATCTGCGAGTGAACAAGCATGTGAAATCTCTTCACGATGTCACTGCATATCCAAGATGAAGGGACGATCTTCACTCACAGAAACACGCTGGGTCCAGTATAACAGGTTCCCCAGTCTTGTCAGAGCTTATATTTCCACTCCATAGGTCTCCGTGAAGCAAGCACGGTTCAATAACAGCACCGTCAAAAAGAGGTCCCATGCTCTTTATTAGCCGTTGACCTGCCATGGAATGGATTAAGTAAAGATCTACGCCACCACATTCGATGAACTGCCAGGTGATCGAGTTATTTTTCTAACCCTGCATCAGTATATGAGTCAAGGAAGCAGTAAAAAAGCGAAAGGAAGAGATAAAACATTTTTCAAAATGTTAATATTTCAATTAATTTAATAGTGGTAAGCATTTATTTATGTACACTTATGACCTAACAGGTATGCATGCATATATATATATATATATATATATATGCCTACAATAAATGGTATGAAACATAACATTGAAGCCATAAAATTTTGATATTTTCTTGAAACTCAACTACGCTTGATGGAAATGGTGCAAATTTTCCATTGATGTGAGATGTTTTATAAAATTCTAATGATTTTAACTGCAGGGATCGTCTCCTACAAGCAAACACAGACGTATCCTGCTGAAGGTAATTTATCACAATTAACACCCAGTTTCATCTTCTGCCCTTATTGTCATTTGATAATTTCTCGTTGAACGTGACAATTGACAGAAATAATTTCACCATTAAAATTGAGCTCAACTTTTTAGTCTCTTTATCGCGGTGCAACGATAAAAAGTCATGTGCCCAATTCGAATAAATCCTTCAAATCTACAGCCAATCATTAACTTTTTAATCCGAATAAAGTTATAAAAGACTTTTTTTCTTCAGTGAAATTGGGATTTGAGCATCAACCCAATAAAAAAGATAACCAGAAGCTCATAAACTGTGTGCAGACGGATTAAGGAACCGACCTTTTTCATAAATACTGGAGTCTCCGTACTGTTTCAATGCCAGGTTTAATTGATAACCTAGCCGATGTTCAGAGAAGAACTCAATCCAATCTGAAGACCAGGTATTGATCTGAGGAGTACTATTAATATAACGTAATGAATCAGATTTTCGAGATTAAATAAGTACTCCAGGGAACTGAAACATTTACTGAACATCATTATTACTGTCTAATAAAAACGCATGCCCAGGACATTCACCTTCCAATAGTATTATCAACGTCAAACCCAAAGCCCTTGTCAGATTTCCCAGCTTTATGCATTTCAGCGAGCTTTTTCCCAAGGACTGACTGCAGGTAAAATTTTGAAAGAGTAAGCAAGGCTAGTTACCACAGTTACCACATCAAGTTGTAGGCAACAAGAACTACCTGGTCTCCCCTAGAAGAACCAAATTCTATGTATTCCATAATGATAAAGGAGCCGCCGGTTGGTAATGCTCCAACCTGAATGAAAAGAGATGGCAGCTTTATTATGTCTGAATCATGCATATACTAGACTAGTTTACGAAAGAATTATATGCTTCGACCATGTTCTTAAAATAAGCACGAGTCTGACACCTTAAAGGGCTGTGGAACACGAATTGTTTTAGTGGCATACATTGCATTCAGTCCAAGTGCTTCACCCTCAAACATCGACGGTCCAATACTCCTAACATACGAAAAGAAACCATTTAAGTTTTAAGTTTCCCCAGCGTACAGAGTGCTGGACGTATTTATAAGAAGGAAAGATGAACTAGAACATCATAATGAGATCAACTTATGACCCGTTCATGAGAAAGAAAGATGAGCTACAAGGTCATTACGAGATCAAATTCTAAAATTGATCATGTTATTCTACAACAAATGTCTGAAATTTAAAGGTTAACTTTTGTGTAAAACAGTACAAAGACAGGAATATGTCATATGATTCATCTTGTGGGGTTCAGAAAAATCTAGTATTGATAAGAACTTTTCTGGAGGTGATATTGAAAAGGAAAACATTAGAAATAAATGGCGTTGAAAAAACCTTACTATCGTATTTGAAAGTTCTTAAATGGTGTGACGAGGACCATTTTAGAATTTTTCTGAGAGTAAAACTCCAGAAATTAAAAATTCAGCGGATCATCAGTGAAGAAAGAATAAGACAAGGTGATAAGTACATCATTGTCGGTCACTCCTCTCTTGAACCAAGATTTTCCTAGTTCCAACGAATTATGTTGGGGTTCTGGTAGGTTCAGAATGGAATCAGACGAATATCGTGTATGCTCCAACTCAATGCCAACCTGGTATCTGGGTTTAAATTTGTAAACTAGAATTTCTCTTACGTCCACGCTGATTACATGAACACTTATTACATAAAAAGTGCATTTTTTATTTTACTGAATTTTTTTCCACCATATTCCATTTTACTGATTTGTACTCGTGTTTATAGAGACAAATTTTCATTAAACATGTCCTCTAAGTGACTGAATATATCCCACTTACGTCAGGGCTTTTGATTTGAAAAACCAGGAGATGTTGCCAGACAATTCCCTGCAACCAGGCATGTTCTAGCATGTAGACAACTGCTTCAATTCTCTTGAAACTTTTAAAACCTAAATGATGAGATGGTCATCATCCAACAACTGATATTTAGGAGTAAGATGATGTACAGAATACCACTAATTTTTTCGATTGTAGTCATGAGTTTGTATATGTTTGTTGCTTATTGCTTTCTGTTAAACCATGCGCATAAAATCCAATATATTTCTATACCTTGTACACTCTGGGTAGCTTTTTCCCTTTTTTCTTTAGCTTCAATTAAATCAGGCAAACTCGATGGGCCGAATGGCACTCCTTTTCTGTTCAATGTCTCTGGAGTTAAAGATTATTAAGCTCCTCTCAATTATGAAATGTGAACTCACAGTAGGACCCTTCGACCGCATCATCTCCAGTAGGCCATTGACATTGTGGAATCAAGGATGGGATCAAAAGAAGATGCAAACAATCTCTCACTAGAACTGACTCACAACCCCAGAGGTCATAGATATAGAAAATGTGAATAAATAAATATGAATTATCATTTCTCCGTACCTGAATACACTGTAGAATGGAAAAATGAATACAGGGACTTGATGGTGAAAATTCTAATAAAATAACTTAGAAAACTGCCGATCACTATACCAAGAAACGATATCCAATATTTCTATCTAGAGGGGAGACGGGGAAACGTTATTGAACAAAATACCTGTTCGTCTTAACAAAAAAGGAACCGCCATCAGTATCATATCGATTTGCAAAATTAATGCAACCACCCCCAATGGAACTGATTCCCCTGATCTCTGTAGCCTTGCCTTCTGTAAGAATCCATTCTCGAATAGGATCATCACTCAAAGCCGCCACTGTGGTTGTAATCAACAGCCATCACCCATTTCAGCAAGCATTCAAACGATATTTCCAGGTAAAATTTAATTAATCAAATGAAAATAAAAAAGTTTCTTGAGTTCAGCAAGGACCACTTTATATGTTCAAGCCATACACACCACCAGCATATTCCAAAGAAACTTGTTCAACCTAATTATTTGCATACCACATATTGAACTATATCATTTTCCTTGTCCTTTTCAACGTGAAGAGGACTAAAGATTCAGCTGACATGGGATTTCTTCTCTTCGGTAGAGGATAACGTGCGTGATTCATTTGCATGGTTAAAACACTCTTACATCTTATGCAATGAACGAAAACTCTGTATTTAAGCCGATAGAACCATATTTACTTTCATGGATTAATTTTGAGCTGGACACCTCCAATATTCTAAGATACTATCTAAGCCGATGATCCTGCCCCTGGACTCCTTGTTCCTCCTTTTTCTTGCCTACTGGGAATAACCAAAATTAGTCGACATCCACAAGAAGGGGAACCCCACATTACAATAGATAAATAAAATTCTGCCGTTAAACAGATGCTCGTCCACCATTCCCACGAATTAGTTTCGAGTTGGATGGTCCAATCCTTTAACAAGAATCCGAAATTGGGAGCCTACAGTGTTCGCATCGATTCCCGTGGAACGTGTGGCACAGAATCGCCGAGGAGCATTCAGTCTCATCATCCTTCCACCGTGCGGGGTAGCTTCAGTCTCCTTCAACGGGGATTTCCCACGAACGAATTCCGAGCTACGCCCTTCTACTCTCTACTCATCGAATTTAAGGCAAGACATACATACTCATTTTGTTACACTACAAAACGGAAGAAGATCACCGGCCGCTTACTAGCTGGGACGCAGCAGCGGGATCTGCGCACGCGTCTGAGAAGATGGCGCCCGGCGATGTGACGGCGAGATTGATGTAGAGCAGGAGGACGAAGAAAGGGCAGAGTGCCCTCAATGAGCGCTGCCACCATCACAGACGCCCCCCACCTGCGTCCCGCTTCTACTCTATAGCTCTCAAGAGATTCTCCACCCAACACCTCGTCATCGGCTTCGCCAGGTGGAGGAGGCGCACAGAAGGAAAGGCGGAGTAGAGTCACCGCCGGTGAGCAAAAGGCCTGACTGAGAGACTTGCGCATCGCTTCGAACTATTTCATACCAACGGACCGGGCCGGCCCGGCCTGGCTGACTCTCCACACGGCCCAATTTTCAACGTAATAATCTGGCCCGGACGTTCTCTTCTTTTTTTCGTCAAAAAATTGGTTTTGAGATATAAACTATAAATATATTTATCATATTATTGCGTCGATATTAGCCTCGTGACCATTTGGTGAGCCTCTCAAATACGCTAATGCCATCGTGCGGCACATGTTGGGCCACACAGTGGCCTTGCTCCCAGCCCAATCCTTGAAGCCACTTTGTCGAAGTGACGTGTGTGACTGCAACACATCCACGTGGCAAAAAAAGAGATGAGGACCCGGTGTCGTGTCAGGGCAGGACTTTCTCCCGTGTCCATGAAACTTGGGGCTTGGGTGGTCAAAGTCCTTATGAAGCCAAAATCGTTGGCTTTTTATAAGAGACAAGTGCATTGTTGTCTCGCGACAAAAGAAAATAATTTCAAAATTAATTTAAAATACATGAAGCCCATATATTATTCACCTAAAAGATAAAATGTCGCATTTCTCGTGTTTAATATGATATGTTAAATAAAATTATGTTTTTATTTACGTGGGTTAGGAAGAAAGCTCGGGGCCGCAATTCACCGGTCTCCAAACGGTCGGAGGCTAGTCAAATTGTCTCTATCACAATCGCCCACGTGACACAGAGCAGCTCGCATTGTCATGTGGCTCTCGCAATCGCCCATGTGGCGGGATGCACCGATTCCTCTCCCGTCGTTCTCTCCTCCTCACAAATATCCGGAGAGGCGAGCTAGTCGGAAGTTGACGCTGGGAGATTCCCCTCCGGTCAACGTCGTGTCCCTACGTCGCATGCTGAAAAAGTCCATCTTCTGAGATGGGCAGCGACGGAACATCGGTTTGGTCGCGGCAAGAGGGGGATAAGACATCGAGCAGCTCGTCTCTTGCCTCCCGTCGTGATTCCTCCATTAACAGGGCAAAGATCGTCGGAGGGGGCTGGTGGTGGTTGCGGCAGGTCGTTTTCCTCCGTTCTCCGGTGATCTACCTGCATGGCCTGCTCCTCCCACCTGTCGGTAACCCGCAGCTTCTTCGCTGTCCGAGGGGAGAAGAACTCGCCGGCGAGCCCCCCGACGGTGTGCTGGCCGCGGGGGGACGCCCCCGGCACGGTGAGAGTCGCCTACCAGGGCATCTCCGGCGCGTACAGCGAGTTCGCGGCGGGGATGGCGTGCCCCGGCTGCGCCACCGTCGCGTGCCGCACGCTGGGCGACGCGGTCCGTGCCGTGAAGAGGGACGAGGCCGACCGTCTCGTCCTCCCCGTGGAGAGCACGACGGAGGCGTGCGCCGTGAGGAACTACGACCTCCTGCTGCAGAACGACCTCCACATCGTGCGGGAGATCCGGCTGTTCGTAGACTACTGCCTACTGGCGATGCCCGGCGTAAGGAAGAGGGAGCTAAGGAAGGTGATAAGCCATCCCAGAGCGCTGGCGCACTGCGGGCAGGCTCTGAACCAGCTGGGGCTCCACCAGGAGGCCGTGGACGACACCGCCGGCGCCGGCCGGATGCTCCTCTCCGGCGGTATGCTCGACACGGCGGCCATCGCGAGCCCGCGCGCCGCCGCGCTCTACGGCCTGGAGGTCCTGGTCCAGGGCCTGCAGGACGAAGCCTGGAACGTGACCAGATTCCTCGTCCTCTCGAGATACCCGGAGACTCCCAAGCGAACGGAGGGGGTCAAAACCAGCATCGCCATCGCCTACCGCGGCGGCGCACTGGCAGCGCTCATGAAGGTCCTCTCCGCCTTCTCCCGGCGAGGCATCAATCTCACCAAGCTCGAGGTGAACAACCCCTCCCTCGACGGCGGCGAGCCCGTGCTGATGCTGGACTTGAGCCGGCGAGGGGCCCTGATGGCCTTCCCCCACGTTCTCTACGTGGACCTGGAGGGATCCCTCGACGACCCCGAGGTCGAGGAAGCCATGGCCGAGATCTCCAGCTTCTCCGTCCTGGTTCGCACGCTTGGCTGCTACCCGGCAGATCCTAACATATACGACCTCTGAATCATGTCCCCTCTGTAAATTCTACTCTCTTCTTCTCTGATCATACTCTGTATACTCATCGATATTAAAGATTGTATTCAACACGGGGAAGATCACGGAGACCCACCCACAGGGAGTTGACTCCAACGGCGAAGTCAAACGACTCCCCGCGGGGGCAGTGGGAACTTCTCAGATCTGGAGAAGCTTCCGACTCGGGGCCGCCGCCGTTGTCCGTTCTGTCACGGGGTAATTAGTCGGTACAATAATAATCAATCAGCACCAGCGCGCTGGGCCCTGCCCGAACGCCGCCAAGCCCGACGACCCAAATGAAACGGCCCGGTGCCGGAGGGAGGCCCGTGGGAAATGAGCTTTGGGCCGGACAATCTGAGAGTCCAGAGAGCAAGCCCGGCCCGACGCAGACAGCTCGTCACCTGGGGGACATGAAACTCTTGCTGCAATAATTTTAGAAAAAAATTGTAAGGTCAACGAATTTAGGGCTTACAAAGCATAACGGTAATCTCTCTCTCTCTCTCTCTCTCTCTCTCTCTCTCTCTGTGGACTCTCTCACCCCCTAACGAAGATATCGGGGCTCGGGCTGGCCCGGGTCTGCCCCTGGGGCGTTGACTACTAGAGTGCATGGGCCCGCAGGCCGACATCTATTTTAGAAGGGTCTGGGTCAACGCCGGCGTAGTTGGGCTGGGCTTGGACGTATAAACCTATCCACTCCGGCCAATCGGGATTTCTAACCGCAGGCCGTCGTATGTGGAGGATTGGGTCCCACATGTAACGTGGCAGTCTTCAATAGGGTATTTATTTGTCGCCGTGGGACCGCATTGAATTTCGTGCTCACGTCGTCTGATACAGGGTAATTAAGTAGCCTCACTGCACCCCCAATGTCTCCGACAAATCCTTCCCCGTCGTCTGCGAGGATTTAGGGTTTCCTCTTATCTCCGTCAACCCCGCCCTGCCGTACCTGGCCTTCCCCTCCGTTTCAGGTAACGCACTCCCTCGAAGGCCTGTGCCGAATTCGTGTGCACATGAGGATTTTTCTCCTCTTTTTCACTGTTTTGCTTCGTCTTTGTTCTTCTCTCGAATCCCTCGAGGTAAGCGTGGGAACTTTCCTCATCTTCTGAATTTCCTCGCCCGAAGCGTAGATCTGATTTGGGGATACAATCGTTGGGCTTTTGTAGTCGTAGTATTCATTGTTTGGTGTTGATTGCGCGACCATAAATAGGCAATTGGAAGAGACTGGGAAAGGGAGGTTTAATTTCTCTGACCTCTAAGTGATCGGTTTGCTCATCATAGTCTACATTAGTGAAGTACATGTCTCTTGTTGTTCAAAACATATTGTGCTTGTACGGTTGGAATTCGTGGGTTAAATTTGTCAGTCTAGGTTTCCATTTCGGGCAAAGAAATACTAGGAGAAGAATAAAGCTCGTAGATTTTGACCGGTGAGTATAGACACATTGCACAGGAATCTGATGAACCTATTTATCATATTTGAGGATTTGTTTTACTTGATAGTTGGAAGGAGTAGAAAAAGAGAAGTTTGTTTTAGGTTGTCTGCTGAAATAAGTTGCTCTCAATCAGAAGTCTACCTTTACAGATGAAGTGTATGCTGTTGTGCACTGGGAAGACTGAAATTCGTGGGGAGGTTAGTCTGGGATTCACTCCCTAGTTATGAAATGAGAAGTAGCAGAAATTTTGGAGATGTTATGCACAATACCAGTGAACGCTGTTTAGGTTGGATTATAAAATCACTTTTGATATTTCATGAGATATATCAAATGCTGTAGAAAGTATCGTGGATGAGATTTTGGGGGGACATCATTATCCCTACTGACCCACTGGAAGTCAATGGTCATTTGCAACAGTCATCAATAGCGGAAGAGTCACTTGTAAAATTATGTTAATGCTCTATGAATCATTTGATGGTAATAGACGATCTGAAAAATCGAAAAACGTAATATCTACGTATGCTATTCGGTGAAATCCTGTAGTCTGTATGTCTAGAATGAATACTCTATGCTTATTTAAACTTTTCATTAAAAGACGGAAGGTATTTTCGTGCTGTCTCTTTTTGTTTGCTTACAAAGATCTACTTTGGGCGTCTCGTTTACAGATTCTAAAGGAACTCTTCTACATCGACCACCAGCCCAGTGTAATAGTTTCGATCGTTTTGTAGTAGGTTCTTTTCATGGACGATATTGACCGCCCATGTGACATTGTGAAATTATGACGACATGCTGTAGCTTTTTCGTTGTATGTTTGTCTTAGTAAATTCTCACGAGTTGTATAATGGTTTTTATGCGTGAAGATTTTTTTTTTTTGAAATTCGAGCAGTAGATAGTGTAAAATCTCACAGGACCTGTTCCGGGATGGAGATTTTCGGGGGTTAAACATCTCCAGGCTACAGTTTTTGGCAGCGACTAGATATATATATATTTTTTTACGTGGTTTTCGTCAATTTGGTCTGGTCAACTGGGCTACATTTTCCGAGTAGAGCTTATTTTAATGTTTGATTTCGTGACATTATCATTATTATTATTATTATTATTATTATTATTATTATTATTATTATTATTATTATTATCCCTCTCAAAGGCAGTGCAAAAATAATAATACTTTTGTACTATGTCCTTGGAAATTTATTTAGTATCTGCAATAGAGTACCGAGTGAAGAAAAAATGACTTTTAATAAATCTGAGGTTGCGGCATATTAAATAAACGTGTGATTTCTACTAGAAGTTAAAGAATAGAAACTATACATAAAAAACTGAGTCAATTTTAATTTGAAACATTAGAACACTACCAAGGAAAATAAAAAAAGTTCTGATAGGAATGGTATCTGGCTAACTAGAGTTGCTTATTGATTCCAATGTATTAATCATGCAGATTTTAGATTAAGGATGCATATCTCTTCGTGATTGTGACCAGAAGCAATTTCTTTTGCTGCTTAACTTCGAAATTTATCCAGCTAATGAAAACGCCGAATTCCCTCGCAGCTCTGTTACTTTTGTAGTGCAGATATTCTTCTCCTGTCTATGAATTGTTCTGAGCATTTGAACTGCGTTCTCGCTCCTAGTTTGGTTATGGTCCCCTTCATGTCCTACATTTATTAATTCGGAAACTTTCTAAATCATTGTATTCATCGTTTGTAGCAGCTGATTTCATTCCCTCTCACACAAACAAAAACTTGGGTTAAATTTATTTCTGATCAGCAGATTCTTGAGAGATTGTCTGATCTGGACACGATCTTACTTTGATCTTTCGCTGTGTTTGATATGATGTGAGAAAATTGTGTGTACGTATGTGTGCACATATATTGCATACATCAGATAGGATTTTCCCAAAAATGGGTAAGAGGGTAATCGGGAAGTAGAAACTTTGCACATAAGCTGTCAGTTTCAGCTCTTGGTCACTATCTATCTGCTAACATGGGAGATGTGTTAATGCTGATGGGTGAATGCCAACTGCGTAAACTTTTGGTGGCAGTCAAGGAGCCGCGTCTTGTCTGCTGAGAGCGGTAACAACTGGAAAATTCTTGGCTGAAATCTCAAGTGCTGGAATTTGCTTGTAGTACCATGACAATTGACATAGAAGAATCATGCCTGTGAATAGGTATTTAAAATGAAGTGACCGTTTTTTTCAGAAGAAAATGAAATTAAGGTCGTGTGTCAGAAACTTTGAAATGCCTGCTTCAGGGTATTATCGTCATCAAGCTAAATATGTGATGTTAAAAATGCCTATGTATTTTAAAATACCTAGGCTAAGATATTGTCAGCATTAAGAGAAAAAGAAATGTGCTTGAGATATGATACACGTTTCTTGTCTTTCTAAACAGTTTGTTTAATTGAATTATTTTGTAGAAAATGTGGCAGGATGGTAATCACTTAAATTTCTGATTTATTGGCTTTGAACTCATTTTTGCAAAGAACACTTTATTTTAGGTAGACTAAGAAGATTTTGCTCCACTTTGACAGTTCTTATTTTCTTGTGGACTATTTTTACACTTTTCTTCCATTTTAATCTCAGGCGCATCTACTGTAACTACTTTGACGCCAATATGAAGCCCATTTTCTGTGGCAACCTTGAGTATGATGCTCGTCATTCAGATCTTGAACGAGCTTTCAGCAGATATGGAAAGGTTGATCGTGTAGATTTGAAGTCAGGTTAGCCTATTTGGTTTATACGCGTATTTAATTCTGGTTATGATCTCCTTTTATTTCGCCACTTGGAATGCAACTACTGGTGTTTTTTTTTTGCCACTTATACTGTAATTCCAACCTTCAATTATCGTTTAAATTTTGTTGTTATCGTCATTATTTTCTTGGGTAGTCATGCTGTGATGACAACAACCCGAGCCTGAGCCTGTTATCTTGCCATCACGGAAGGCGAAAATGGGCACGACTGATCTAAAGACCCTGCGTTGGTTTTTTACTCAACATCATACGATCGACATCAGTTTGACTCGTGATTAATATATTAAGTTTTTTTGTAAAATTCAAGACCGTCATTTGCCAACCTTATGTATTATAGACCGACATCAGTATTATTGCGTGATGTGTTGGTCTGGCAGGATTTTGTTTATGCTATGCAGTGTTTGTTTGTTGAGCTCTTTATCTTCTGCGGGTGTGATATCATTTTAACTGCATCAATCTTCATAGAACTTGTGCAACGATTTCATGGCAATATGGGGAGATAGACGTTCTCTTGTGGATTTCGACAGGGATCAGGATTCAGGATTAAGTTTAACAATGCAGCATTTTTTTAGGGTGACCCTGTACTCAACCGTTTCTTTGGCGCAGGATTTTTCGGAGCTTGCATGCTCTTCCTGGCTGGTCTCTCTGCACATTTCCTTTCCTGCCCGTGCACGAGCTCCATTTCCTTGTGTGTCACAGAAGGGCTGACTTGATCTGCAATCCACAATGGCATGTGATCCACATGGAACTCCCCCCCCAAGACACCGTTGTCTTCCATTTCTCACGTCCTTGGCCCAGCCTCAAAACTCAGACATTTTCCATGTCGAACTCACGGCCAGGCTGGAGAACAATGGCGCGAGCTTCCTCTGTTTGATGGCCAAACACGAGTCACCCTATTGGATAATTGTTCCCTGACACCATTTAGTCCTGGGCGGCAGGTCTGTTCCTGATAGTTCTGAATCCCTTTCGCTGATGTGATGGGTGTAATTTTCTTTTTCTTTCTAATTGATCCATGAGGGCTGGCTTATGCTTTTGGGTCCTTCACGCGAGAGTTTCATCAACTAGATAGAGAGATTTCCCCAGGAACTAAAGCTGACACCTTCCCTGCTGCTGCATCGAACAGGGTTCGCTTTTGTATACATGGACGATGAAAGAGACGCGGAGGATGCCATCCGCGGGCTAGACAGAACAGAGTTCGGCAGACAGGGTCGGCGGCTCCGGGTTGAGTGGACGAAGGTTTGACCTCCCACTGAATCTCCCACGACCAGTCTTTTCCCTTCGTTTTAATGCAAAATATTGTATGTTTCTCGATCTCGCAGCAAGAACGCGGTGGAAGGCGGTCTGGAAGCTCGAGGAGGAGCTCGTCCAGTGTGCGCCCTTCGAAGACGTTGTTTGTGATTAACTTCGACCCGATCAACACCCGGAGCCGGGACCTGGAGAGGCACTTCGACCCGTACGGGAAAATCTCCAACATAAGGATCAGGAGAAACTTTGCCTTCATTCAATACGAGTCGCTGGAGGATGCCACAAAGGCCTTGGAGGCGACAAACATGAGGTCTGGAAAATTCTTCTACGCCATATACCTTTACGTCGTCATCTCTCCACTGAATCTTGGGAGCTAGCCATGGACGCACCCACATTCTCCAATCATGCAAGCAAAACCCCCATCAATTCTAGAAAGATTTCAATCCCATTCAAGACACCCAACGGTGGTCTCACCCCAATTCGTTTAGAATTATTAGTTTCTTGTAAGAGGACCTGCGGGCTTTGCTTCCTCTCTGCTGCCTTTTTATGCGCTTTTAAATTTCATGGAATCATCATGCACACCACCCGATGTGGATAGGCTCTTGGGAAATAATATGAATCTGTTTTCATTGGTTTCTTCTTTCTGATTGCTTCTCGTCTGCTGCAGCAAGCTGATGGACCGGGTCATCTCGGTGGAGTACGCGATCCGCGACGACGACGAGAAGAGGAACGGCGGCGGGTACAGCCCTGACCGGAGGGGCCGGGACTGGTCCCCCGACAGGAGCCGCGACCGGGGGCGATCCCACAGCCCCTACGGCCGAGCCGAGCGGGCCAGTCCCGACTACGGCCGCGGCCCGAGCCCCTACTCCAAGCCCGAGCAGAGACGCAGCCCCAGCTACAGCCGAGGCGACAGCCCCGCCTACCAGAGATCCCCAAGGTACTAACTAGGATGATCTTCTTCTTCTTCTTCTTCTTCTTCTCCTTCTTCTTCTTCACTATCGTTCGTCTGTTGTTTTGGTGTGCAGCCGGTCCCCTGCGAGAGAGGAGAGATCTCCCTAGTGGGGCCGCCAAGTCGGGACCTTCCAAGTACGTTTTAGTGATTCCGGTCCTGGATTTTTGTTTGTTCTCTGCGCTTGGAAAATGCACTTCGAGTGCTGGAACATCCCCTTCCTTCCTTTTTAATGTGCCTGGGAACAGGATCTCTCGGCTGGCTTCCCTCCCTGTTTTAGTTGCCCATGGTTTATTAGATCTGGAATCGTGGAGATGGCGCTATCCAGATAATGGGCCTCTGTGATCAGATGAGAGAGAGAGAGAGAGAGAGAGAGAGAGAGAGAGAGAGAGTCTTCTTCTCCATCTCACTCAAGGTGGTCGTATCAACGGTTGGATGGATCCGGGGGGGACGGATAAGGATGCCGGAAGTTGCACGGCAAGTTCGTCCTTGGGGCCGTTGATTTTGCCGGTCGTTTGACTTTCTTGTTATTCCTGTCCCCGACAACCACGAAGGATGAACCCTTGGATGGAAGTCCCCCCCTCCTAAGTTTCCCCGCAACTCACGTCTCCTTAGCCGGTGTTGCCTCTCCCGCGGCACGTGGGTACCGACGATCCCCGTTGACCTGTAATCTGCGTCTGTTTTTCCTCCTTTTTCTAAGAAACTGGAAGTTGAATTCAGCTCTCTGCGGCCTTCATCTTCCCAGGAGTGACGCAGCGAGGATGTGGGCAGATAATAAGAGAGAAAGAGAGAGAGAGAGAGGACGCGGGTGCCGTCTAACTGCTGCGTTCTCATGCAGGTTTGATGAGGACGAAGACCAGGAGGAGGGAGGGGGGGCTAGCACCCTCCTCTACCCTCCATAATTGCACAATAGGATGGCAGCTCCTCCGCAACGAATAATAATAGATTAGGTAGGAAGGAGGAGAGGAGAATCTGGGCAGAGCCCACATTTAAGGGGGGGTCCAGACCAACCACCTCAACGCCCTCAATGCCGTGCACTTTTTAGGGTAGGGTTCTTCCCCATGGTTGTGTTCATTTCCACCCTGCTGACGAGTTTTCATGGTTGGAAAACTGCCGCACTGAATGCAGGCCGGCCTCTATAATCTAAGGGCCTCTTCCTCACCATCATCTCCTTCTTCTTCAACCCCTTCCTTCTGCCATCCCGGCGAGGATTTGATGATTACGTGATGGGTTGGGCCGCCGACCTCCTGGTTCAAATACCGGAAGGTAGAAACCAGTGGGCGTGGGCGGGGTCGTCGCCCTCCCCGTGGACGGTGGGCATGTGGGGCTCCTCGCCCGGAGATCAGCGTGGGTCGTGACATCACGAGAGAGGGCATGATTGAGGGCCGTGTCGGCTCCCCGTCAGCCCCTCTGTTTGACCCCTTGCTTCCCCCCCGGTGACCGGACCCCCGGCGAGCGTGGGCGCCGTAATCGGCCGTCGGAGTCGGCAACATGGTGAGGTGAGCGCCGCGTTCTCTCTCCGTCTCCGCCTGGTTTATGTGCAGTCACTGCGGATAGGAATCGTGTGTCCTTGCGCTCCCCGCCGGCGGTCCCCCGCCTCATCTTCTTTCACAGGTCAGCGCTCAGACACCTCTGCCAAAACCGTGGGCAACGCGAGAGAGAGAGAGAGAGGGAGAGAGGGGTGCAAGCGAACTTGCCAACATGTTGTTGCTTGGCTGACATGCCAGCTTAAATCCCAGCAAACCCTTTTTACTGCGGCGGCGACGACCGCGGCGATTGGCACGGCACTGAATGCTTCGAGAGGGAGGGCGGCATCGGGTCAAAAGGGCCATCCTTTCCTCACCCTCCCCGGATTCGTAGCACGACATGTGTGGTCTCCTCTCCGCCGAAGAATTCCTATTCGAGATCTGTTCCTTTCCTTGACGTCATGCCCAAGTTATCATGACCAGCCCTTCCTTGCGGAGGCCGTAACGAGAAAACGACGCGCCGAGACGGCACGGGACGAAGACATCCCCTTTACAGTCTCCCCTTCTGTGTAGCTCCCTCTTCCGACTGGAGAGTCTTCTTGCCCGTCCTTCATAGAATCTGGAGGCCACCCCTGGAGGATAGCTTCCTCCCTCCTCGCGGCCATCGACTGCATGACACTCGTTTACTACGTCGCATGATCGATCGGGGCGGTTGAGAAATTAAGTAACAGAACCGTGGATTCTGAAATATTGTAAGGAGCGTGTCGTCCCAACCCACTACATCGTCGGAGTAGGCCCGTATATTAAATGGGTTGTATTAACGAGTGTCTTCTTCGAGGTACTGGATTGGAGGGGTCTCGGTGGCGGTCCATACATGCCGAACCAGTGAAGGCCGGAAGTTCACTGTTCATGAGGAAGACCATGGTGTCTTTGAGGTCAAATGGGCCGAGCCCGCCCCTCGAAGGTCTGAAGGACCCGTGATGACAATGGTCCACGTCGCCATCATGCACCTTCAAGGTACGGCCGCGTGGGGCCCCGGGCTCCGGCGTGGGTCGGTGCGCCGCCCTCTCTCTTTTTCAACGCCAATGCACGGCGGCGCTGGCTGACGCTTGATTATTGATTTGGAAAGCCTAGCGTCCAATCCCTTTCGCTAGCTTCCCCTGCGCAGATAGTCTTAGCCGCGGCCCATCGGGATCAGCTCCGACTTCGCCGCCCGAGGCCCCCCCAGTCGGCCGAGAAGAGAGGTTATGTTCATCTCATTTCCAAGTGGGAAGCTTCCTGCCAACGGACTGGGCTCCGGCTAGAGGTCGACCTCTGGTTCTACCGTTGACAATTGAACGGAGAACGGAGGAGGGGCCATGTTAGGTAGAATGGGATGCACCAGGTTGCACGTGGCCTGGACCGAAAACTGGGCCAGACAGGGAAAAGCTGATGTTGAGAGGAGGCGGCTCTAGACCTTAAAGGGTAGGGTTTCGGGGACCGGCCTCCGGTCGTCTCCTCCGTCACCATGCTTCCTCATCTTAGGTGGTAGTCGTATTTTCTCAGGTGGCGTGTGGTTTACCCCGAGTCCATGGTGCCAGCCGTCTCGAGTATGTCGGTGTTTTGATTGCTGCCTCAACGTGCCTCGCGTTGATCAGGGTGAGCCGTTTTCCTCGCGTCGGATTTCTTGACTTTGGGGGCTTCACCTAGGGCGACAGAGAGGAGGCGGGGAGAATGCGACTGGCTTGGTCGGAGTTGTTCGTTTTTGACGAGCGATAATCGTGCAGGCGCAGCCAACCCGCCGATCGATCCTCGGCGTAGTTTATGACGGCGCGATAAATCATCTCAAGCGCAGACAGATTTTCCTTCTCCACCTCATCTATCTGCGTACATATTTATTCTGCGGCATCAAATGCGCACCCACCGGAGAACAAGAGCCCTAAAATAGTATGTCGAGCGGGCATGGATTAAAGAAAACGTGCCAGTGGGAGGACGTGAGCTGGAGATTTCTTTTCCTTCCCTTGTCCCGTCCGATCGGCCGATCGGCCGAGAGCCGCTCCGCCGGAGGCACAGCGGTGGAGTGGAACGAGAACGTCGGGATCTGTGTGACCTCTCGCGGAGTAATAATAGAAGGGCAATGGCTGATAAGCTTTTCTAATGTCGGAGTACGAAGTCGTCGACATTGTGTTAAACTACACGAAACAAAAGGAGCACAGAAAATCCTAATTTAATGAATGGGGTTGACAAAAAGCATATAACTTTAATCTGTAAAGGTCAATAATCTGATAGATGTACCGATCGATGGGAACTGTTCCTCCTACCGCGTGGAGATGCCGAGCAGGTGGACGATGTCAATTGGCCGACAAGGCCTCCAGTCAAAGCCGCCGCCGTTGCCCACGTCTCCTGCCGGCTGCCACGCGACATGCCTCATAGTCTTCTCTCTCTTTATCTCTCTCATCTTGGTTTCCTCCGTCTCTCACGTGGGGGTGCGTTAACGTAGTCCGAACCCGTCCTCCCACCTCCGATAATCGCCTTGGTGCACTGGGGCCGAAGTCATCTACCTAATTCGCGGGCGCAGCCTTCGCCGTCGGCCGCCGTTTTATCAGCAAATCAGAACCTCGTCACCGGCCGGACATGACGTCCCTCTTCCGCGATTACCTTTTCCGTCGGATCCCGAGCCGAGGATTTCCGGGCATGTCTGGCTCCACATGGACGTGAAGCATTTACTACCTGCGCGTTTTCTAAGAACACCTTGGTAGTCGAATTCAATGAAATTCCCGATTAATGAAGAAGAAGATCGTCAAGTTTAGCCTTTACGATCGCTCAATTAGAAGATCAGGGCCTCATGGGGTGCTTAGTCCTTCCATCCTCCTACCGCCTTCACGTCCAGAAGTACGCCCCTGTCCGAGCCGACAGGCGGTGCCTGTGTCTCCCACGCGAGGAGATTCTACCTAGCGAGGGCCGCGGCGCAGCTCGCAGCCGCAGGAGGGCGGGAGCCGTCCCTGTCGACCACCGAGGCTGCGCCGTATCGGCATCCACCGAGTGAATGATGTCAGTGGACGGCGCCTCGCCCGCGGGGAGTTCTCACGCGGCGAGAGGATCGGATAGATCAGAAGGGTTGGGTCGCCGATAGGGACTCGGCATCAAACCCCGACGAAGCGTAACGATTCCACCGGGAATTATTTATTTCCTCCGCTACCGTTCACAGAGTCGCGTGGGCGCACATGCTTCCCCCTTCGGCGGTACGCCGTGCCGCCAATCTCAACGACGACGAACCCCCCAAACTCTGTTCCTCTCTTCCGGTTGATTGAAAGACACGCGCCCCGCCGAGGTGTGCCTGCAACACGGTCGATCGCAGAGTCGAGGGTGAGATGGGTGGCGCCGTCAGCGCAGCGGCGCACTCAGTTGGCGGTGCTCATTCTTGGAATTAATCCATCCAGTCTTATGGCTGATGGGTTCAAGGGGACGGGACGCCGCGAACCGTGTCGGACGAGTGGGCGATGAGGATGGGGCGGAGGGGGAGAAGTAAAAAACTGCGTCATGGCAAATTAGACCCAATAAACCTAGAGGGCTAGATTCCCTCTCGACCGTTGGTTGGGCGACCTTTGAGGCCGACTTAGGGTGCACCAGCCTTAAACTATTCATAGTCGCGCACCCTCGAGAGCCGCGAATTGTTTAAGCCGAGAGGGGGTGGCCGGTATGATACCGGGTGTTAGAAATTCCGGCGGAAGAGTCAAAGAACAAGTTGATCCCAAGGGAACGGGGCCAAGGCATTTCCCAGGCCAGTTCTCTTCCTCCTCCTCCTCCGCCTCCGCCTTCTCCTGCTCCGGCGACTGGTGGCGGTGGTTGAGGACTGCCGTAGGCCCCCACCGTCATGAGAAGGGTTCATTATTCCTCTGGTTCGGTCGGACCCGCCCGCCATGCTGTTACAACGCAAAAGTGTTTTTAAAGGGACAAGGGGAACACACAAATACCGCAAGTGCCGAGGCCGCCCCGGAGGAAACAGAGACCAGTGGGGGAATAACTTCGGGGAGCCGAGAATTGAGTTCGCCCCTCGAATCTTTCTTGGGCTCCACTCAACTTCCCCACAGTAGCTCGCCTCTGCGCCAAGCCAGCTCGGTTCCCTTCCACGGTGCTACCGCTGCCGGCGAATCAGCGGCTTCGGCGGTCTGTATGTTTCCCCCGCCAGCGGCCGAGGTGGCATATGGTGCCCGGAAGCAACCAAGTCCTAGAACTGACCGTAACGGTGGCGTCGTCTGAACCCTCCCCCCCACAATTCCTGCATATGTTGCGGGGTGCAGTCCATCGCATTTGGAATATACACTCGACCCCACTCACATGCTCCACCCTCTTATATTATCATCCTTAGGTAAGACAATGTCCCATGATGCATCTCTCTCTCTCTCTCTCTCTCTCTCTCTCTCTCTCTCTCTCTCTCTCTATCTCTATCTATCTCTATCAAGCCATGCAAGGCTATGGCGTGAGGGGTGTCCCAACAGGGCTGGCAAATACACAGGCCACTCAAATGCGATAGGAATCCACCCCCTGGGGACTTCAAGTGCCAAATGGAAGGTAACAGGAGCCAGAGGGAGGTGGTACAACTTGGTGGGATGTGGTCCAGGTGCCCCTATTCATTCTGACGAGCAGATAAGAAAACCTATTCATTCACTCTGGCTCGCGGGGGGAGTCGATCGAAGGGGCGGTGGCGAGGTGGTAGGAGCCCGCGCGCCAGTCATGCACGAGCTCCTTCTGCTCACCGGAGGGACAGATGCTCGTGAATTACGGGACTGATTCATAATTTGGAGCAGGAATCAAGAGGAGGAAAATACAGTACTTAGCATCATCCTGCCGATAAATCAAAATAATAGGAGAAGAAAGGCGTCTCCTTCCGGAGACGCTGCCTCTGTTTGCTACACTGAGTGATCTTAGATCATACAAGACCGAGGGGAGAGGCGAGGATCGGTCGAGGGAGGAAGAACTCGAAAAGGGAGGTGAGCTGCTAGCAGTGAGTAAGAATAGAGCAGCTAATCTCAGGCAGTGGCGCTTGTGGTTTAAACTATGAGCGCCACTCTGGTTTGTACATTGCTCCTCCCACCAGTTGAGAAAAAGGAAAGAGTGAGGAGAACTTGCGGCCAGGCCAAGAAACGAGAGAGAGGGGGAGAGAGAGAGAGAGAGAGCGCTAAGTTAGCCCAATGCTGGGTTGCTCAATTCTGATACTAACTACGCCCGATGAATCATCATCCACCCGATCAGCGCGGGCCGTCGCCGTCGCGGCGGGGGCGGAGGGCTTCCCCTGGATTTTTTGCACGTCGCCGTGGTGGTGGTCGCCGAGGTGGACGGCAATTACCTCCTGGGAGGCGCCGGTGAGCTTCTGCGCGCGGTCGGCCTCCGTGGCCCAGTTTGTGCGGGCGATGACGGCCAGCATAAGAGCCACGCACGTCGCCTGCGCGGCCAGCATGCCGAGCCACAGGCCCTCAAAGTCGAACCCCGCGTAGAAGGCGAGGACCATGGCGACGGGCATGCCCACGCCGTAGAAGGACCCCAGGTTGATGTTCGCACCGGCGCGCGGCCTCGCGCTCCCCCGCAGCACGCCGCAGCCCGTCGTCTGCGGGCAGTTGCCGAGCTCGCAGAGGCCGATGATCGGGAGCACCGCCGCCGTCAGCCCAATGATGCTGGGGTCCGCCGTGAACATGGCCGCCCACGAGTGTCGCACGGACATGGCGAAGCCTAGCGCGGTGAGGCCTAGCACGAAACTGCAGGAGAGGCCGACGAGGGCGGAGGTCCGCGCCTTGCTGGGACGGTTGGCTCCGAGCTCGTTCCCGACGCGGGTGGAGACGCCGAAACTGAGAGAGGAGGGGAAAATGTATATGAAGGCGGTGGTCTGGATGAGGATACCCATGGAGGCCACGGTCGCTTTGGGGTTGGCCAGCAGCCCGCAGAGAAGTATCATGATCTCGTACCACCACCACTCGAGGCAGACCGAGATACAGCTGGGAACCGCCAGGTTAAGCAGGGATCTCCAGCCCTGGAAGACCTCCGCCGTCAGCAGTTTGAAGCCCCCCGTCCGGTGGTATACGCCGGAGAAGTGGACGTAGGTGATGAGGGAGAGTACGAGGTTGAGGTTGGTCCAGACACCGGCCAGGGCGACGCCACGGATGCCAAGGCCGAGGACGGGGACCAGAAGGTAGTTGATGGGGAGGTGCAGGAGGAGGGAGGCGGCGGCGCAGAAGGTGAGTGGCATGGTGATGGACTGCGTACGGAGGTAGATTCGGAGCGGGTGGAGGAAGCTCTGCAGGATGAGGTCCGGAAGGGACGCCATGATGTACTCGTGAGCGGCGGCGGAGATGGCGGGGTCCTGGCCACAGAGTACGAGGATGTGGCGCATGCTGAGCCAGAGGAGGGCGATGGGGGCGGAGACGCAGAGGAGCATGAAAACGGTGCGCTGCAAGGCGAGTCCAAGGAGGGGCTTGCGGTTGGCCCCGAAGGCCTGGCCGCAAATGGGCTCCATCCCCATTGCCAACCCCGACAGAATGGAGTAGCCGGTGATGTTGGCGAAGCCGATGGCCAGGGCGCCGCCGGCCAGGGGAAGTTCCCCGAGGCGGCCCAGAAAGAGCATGGAAACCATGGACCGGGAGTAGAGGAGGAGGCCGGTCAGCACCATCGGCATCGCGATGGCTAGGATGGCCCTGACCTCCTCCAGGAATTCGATCGCCCGGTGACGACCGTGGGACTTCTTGCAGAGGTCGGACGGCAGGGAAACGACCACAACGGCGTCCGTGGCGCCATGGTGGGGAGGCGGCGGCGACGGTGGACTTGCGGGCTTGGGGATGAAGGGGGTGAGAATGGTAGCATGCTCGTCGTCTCGGTGGCGGCCGGGGGATGTGGGTGGCTCACAGCAGCACGCCGCCGAGAGAGGGCTAGAGTTGTTGGTGGGTTGCCGACACATGGTCGGAAGAGGCGGCAGCAGAGCCCTAGGACTGGAGTATAGTTCCCGAGGCCGGGGAAGAAGGGGAGGAAGGGGAAATGAAGATGCGGGGAGGTGGCGGTGGCGATGTGGGTGGCCGCGGGGACTCCTATTTAACGTCTCGCCACAACCCCGCCCATTTGGACTCTTCCCCTGTCTCCTAAAAGCGCTTCCTCCCAAATCTCGACCCCTTTTCCTCTTCTCTCCTCGACAGACCCTCCCACCGTAATGCCCCCTCTCCTGTAACTCCAATCTCACAGACCCAGGCGCAGATATGGAGAGATCGAGAGCGAGAGCGAGAGCGAGCGAGAGAGAGAGAGACGATTGGGTGCGGGGAGATTTGGCGGGCCGAGACGGTCTATATAAGGAGCACCGGAGAGAGGAATCGTAGAAGATCGTCCCCGGGGTCAAATTGAAAACCTTACCCCTCGCTGTGGAACGTCACCGTTTACTCTTCGGAGAAGAAGACCATGTGGTAGAAGAAGTTATTGGGGCCGGATGGAAGGGGGCCCACAGCTAGCGAGCCACCCTGAGCGGGAGCTCTCATCGTGCGTGCAGGCGCGGGGCTCCTAGTCCGCAAGAGCCCTCCTTTAGACGTGGTTTCGAGTCACCAGTTGCTTGTCGCAGTGGCCAACTCTACACAGGCTACAGGAAATGCGGTAAGCCGCTGAGGAGACACAAACCAAGGAAACGGAGGCTTTTGACGCTCCTCCTCCCGTCGTTCCTTAACAGAGTTCCTCCCCCGCCCCTCACGAGACAAACGACAAACAGGTTATCCGCGCTTGACCAATACCCAGTTGCAGGCCTAACTGGAACTCTTCCCCCTGCTGGGCTTGCCTTGGCTTGCGGGGCTCTCCGCCTTTCCCCTCGCCCTTTACTCAAACACGTGCTCAGCTTCCCTGGTGCGCCCCTCCCAGCCCCCCTCGCCGGCACCTTTTCCTCCTCATTGGCGGCTGGCCACATCCGGCACATGTGGACTCCTCGCCCGCTCGCACCAAGCCCTCCCAGATGCGAGGGGTTTGACTCCCCCCCCCCCAGCTCACCAAAGACCGAGTCTAGGATTCATAACTACTGCCGCCATCTACGTATATGTCAATGGCGGGGACGCGGGACGAGTTCTCTGCGCCGGCATGGAGTAGGTGGCGGGCTCGGCCATAGGTCGCTCGTCGTCTCGTCATACGTGCAGAGAAATAATTGTACACCGGAGGAGGTTGGGGGAGTAGAAGCTCGTTTGATATAAAGACGGCGCCGTGTCCCCCCAACCCAATGGGGGACCTCCCTGCGTTGGCTCGGCTAGGTGGGACGGAGGCCACCTCTGGACATGAAAGCGCCGCTCGGCTTCCCCACCGCGTCCCGTCCTCATCCCCCGCCGCAGCGGCGGCGATCCCCGCTGTCCCTGGCCCGTCGGAGAGTGGCCCCGCCGCTGCGGTCGCCCACGCCGTATCGCTTTTGTTGTCCTCGTGCGCGTTTAACATGAGTTGTCTGCTCCGAATTGGAGACCACCGGCGGAGGAGAAGCGATCGCTCCCGCGTTCCCCTCCCCATGCGGGGGCTGTTCTCAGCTTAGGTCCCTCATGGACTGCACAACTCCTCGCTCCATTATTTGAAGGAAGCGTCGCCCTCGAACAAGAAAAGGATAAAGGTTCCGCTGAAAGTCCAAGTTTGACGATTCTGGACCCTTTCCGAGCCCCGCCGCCCTCTTTGGGTCGGTCCGACGATAATCTTGGGAACATAGACCATCACCAATATAGACTATTCGATATATAATGACGGCTTCCAACTACTCTTGCAGAAGCTGTCTTCCTCCCCCGCCCCCCTACCACATCCACCAGAGGAGTGAAGAAAACAAGTCATATAGACGTTTTGGGCTCTCTCTCTCATTCATTGGAAGGAGAGAGGGAGAGAGGGAGGTAACGCTATCTGCAGGTAAGAGAGGAAGTCATGCAAGGGAGTGGAGTGAGAACTAAAAGAAGAGTGATGCTCTGGAGAATATGGCGGTGCACTTTAAATGCTCTTTGTGAGACTTATCTATCCAATGGTTTGACCTTGCAGGTAGACTCGTTGGTTTGACCTGGGAGCTTCCCGAATTTTTGATCGCCGTCTGGTACACTGTTTTATTTTCCTCTGCATGACGTGGAATTGTTGGCAATATTTTATATATTTTTTTGGGGGAAAATGCGTTGATTTCATTGCCAAAAATATCACATAACCAATAAAAGCTGTGGGCAGTGGCAAGGTATTCGCTAAAACCGTTGACCGACAAGGACACGGGTGTGGGCATTCATCCAAGTAGGTTCCGCTTCAAAAACACTGATTAGGAAAGTGATTTTGTAGAAAAATTATTGGCGAGAAAAAAATTATTTCTTTTTTTATCGGAGAATGTGTGCGATATGGTCCCTTGGAATTCCCCTGATTGCTTCACTAAATGGTAAATACTAGCGTAATCACTACCCCCCCCTCGTCCCCCTCCAAATCCGTGAGAGAGAACGAGAGGAGGGAAATGGATGATGAAGGGGGGCAGAGACAAGGAGGGTGAGATATTGATAGAGAGAGAGAGATAGAGAGAGATAGAGATAGATGGATAGACAAATAGCGAGAGAGGGAGAGAGAGAGAGAGAGAGAGAGAGGGATATTTGTCCCTTGGTTCTCTCAATGCCTCGATTCTGGCTTCACGGCTTTCGCTGTCATCAACCTTTTGCTCTCGCCATATAGAAAAATATGAGCGACCCACGTCAAAAGAGGAAAACCACGAGCTCAATCACTTGGATAGATATTTGTGCATGCCATTAATGCGAGAATAGATATTGCAGCGAATAGCATGATCACACACATGTTATGTCGAACCTTCGTTCGATTTCTTCGTGGGCCATTGATTCCAAAGTCTGATATCGAACTAGCTCGCTCGGAGATGTCAACCCTTCTGGGGAAAAGGGGGGGAGGGGGCATCGTGTGAAACCCAGCCGCAGGAGAAGCCCAGAGGCTGCAGATGACAGCCGATCTGGATGCTTACCAGGTTTGAAATTCGTGGACGGGAGACCATGGGTGGTCTGAAACTCTCGACGGCGGCGCTTCTACCCCTGCGAGGGGCGATGATAGACATCTCTGAGCCGCATATGGGCTATCTTTTTTTATTAAATTATCGTTATAATTAGTTGATCGGCATCCTCGATTTCATACGCTTGCTTTTCAATATGTCGACCATATCTCGGTGCAAGGGAAAGGGAAATTTGGCAACGATGATGGGTCGGTTTCTGGAGAAAGAGTGCGAGGTTGCAGACCCACTGTTTGATGTGCACCTTCCCAGAGCCACTTGCGTGAATTATCAGAGCGTGGGGTTCCACAGACTGCGAAGCGGATGGGGGTCCAATTGGCTGGGGAGCTTCCAGCGAGGCGAGGGGAGGTCCCCGGTCTATAGAGATGCAGTAGGTGTGGGCCGGCGATTGGAAGGGCGTGGACTCTAATCACCGCCGGGCCGCCTGACGCGACGTCAATGGTCGCCGGCGTTGCTCGTCCCCGCCTGCGTGCACGGCAGAGGACGGAGCAGAAGATGCCCCACACGCGAAAGAAGGGGGGTCGATTTCCAGGTGGAAGCACTGTTCGGCGATCGGTGTGAAGGGGGGGGGACGCCACCGAGTTTTTCTGCGGCGATGGCGTCGTTCGTGCGGGGAGATCCAGCTCCATGGTTATTCTGCTTCGGCGTCGGAGTAAATGACTGCCACAGCTCGCCGACGGGAATAATTCAAGGACGAGGGAGCGAGTCGTCTGCCAGGTTTTGCTAGCTGTTGACGGCTGGTGCGAGTAAATGACTCCGTCCCGCATTCTACGGAGAAAAGGAAGACCCACGCAAGCCATGAAACCAATGGGAGGACGACACGGAGTCGTCAGTTTCGAGGGACGTCCATTCCACGTCTCTTCCCTGGTCGTCCTAACCTTTTGCTTCCACTTTTACTTCTCTGCAAGTCGCGGTGATTGGACGTCATGTGGGACGAGATCGACGACCCCCCTATCCCGATCTCTCCTCCCTCAATCTCTCTCTCTCTCTCTCTCTCTCTTCTCATGGATCCGGATAAGCATGGGGAAGTCTCCGGGAGTAACTCGCGGAGACCGTACTTCCGCCATGGCCGGAGTAGCTCCCCCCGGAAACCGGCATTGCATGGTTGAACAGTGGACTCTCGCGGGAATCTCGATAATGATATCTTCCCACTGCCCCGTGTGATCCGACTGGGTTAACAATCATGCAACTATAGGTAGAACGATTCACAAAGGCTCCTCTCTCTCTCTCTCTCTCTTCTGGCATGCAGTACGATTTCAGTGACTACAGTGGTGAGCCGCACGGGCGCCATAAGAGGCCCGCCAAAGTTCAGGACCGTGGAGGAGGTCGCCAGGACCACGTGCGGTCACGGCTGGCCTGTCACTGCTTGGGTGGGCCGAGATCTGAGAAGATCTCTTCCACTGTTCTATGGGGCTCTTCTCCCTCCCTCACTGTAGGTCCTCCTGCCAACCAGACAGCCTCTCCTTCAACGCAGATCTTCGCGCACGCCTTCTGAACCCGCGTGCTCTACAAGTCGGCGAAAGCAAGCTCCCAAGATTACGGAGTCAAAGTAAACGGGGTGTCGGAGTCAACTGGCGAAGGTACAAGCCCTTGGGCCGTCAGAACCAGGCGGCCCGGTTAGTCGTCGTGGTTGGCACTACGCGGCCAGCGAAGACTGGGCGGAGCAAGTCCCTGGGGGCTGAAATTTCTCCGACGGAGTCGGTCGACGTCGCTTGGAGATCCTATTCACACCTACATTCTTCTTTCTTTCTTCGCCGTCGTCATCACCACCGGCAATGGCAGCGACCTTCTGGTCACAGAACGCGGGATCTCACTGCCGTCGCGACCAGGTCGGCCGTGACGGCGACCCCTTGTGATGCCGAGGCCACCTGCAATAGCAGCCCGCCGCCTACATTAACTCATCGCGACATCAGCGCCGGCCTCCTCGATGCCGACGAAGAACGAGGGCCTCCATTTTCTTCATAGTTCCCCCTAGATTATTACCACGTCTTCGTGGATCTTCTGGATGCCCCTCCCCTGGATTTCGTGCATTATTCGGATTCAACGAACAAGCAAAGTCAACTGTTTCGTACCATACGATTCATCGCCCTCGTCTTGGTCACCGAGACACCTCCAGACCTGCACCAGTTCGTGACGTTCCGCAGTGGGCGATGGGCCGAGAGCCATTCAGTAGACAGGCCGAGACGGAGAAAAATCTAACCGTGAGGTCGACAGCAGTCACAGAAGATGGCCAGGTTAGCTGCTCATGAAGATTGGGACTTCTTCGGCTCTTGATCGGCGGCGGGATTTCTGACGGGCGCCGAGGACTAAAGGGATCAGAGAATGTGGAAGAACACGGGCTCGAGGGGATGGAGTAGCTCTGTCAGAACCATTCCACCACATCTGAAACGTTAACGGAGGTGAAGAGCTGAAGCAGTGGGCAGAGAGGAGTGGACTAGAAACTCGAGCTGCTCGTGCCCCTCTCTGACGGAAACGGAAATCCAGAGAGGAGTTTCGAAAGAAAGATCGACCTTTTCCAAGCAAGTCTCAATCAACAATCAGGAAATTTGTAATGAGAAAAGCTGTTCTGCAAGAAAATCTGTGAGTTAGTTGCAGACAGATTCTACCGACGATCTTCTTATAATGCCTCTTAGAATGACAAAAAAAAGAAGAAAAGATTACTGAATCGTGCTCTACAAGAAAATCTGTGAGGAAGTTGCAGACAGATTCTACCGACGCTCTTCTTATAATGCCCCTTAGAATGAAAAAAAAGAAAGATAACTGAATCATGTTCTGCAAGAAAATCTGTGAGGTACTTGAAGACAGGTTCTACCTACGCTCTTCTTATAATGTCTCATAGAATCCTTGCGGTTCAGATGAAGAGCATCATCAGGTCAACGGGTTGGTGGGTGGAATACTAACTAGCTCCGTTTCTCCCTGATCTTCCCGAGTCCAGAGCAACGTGGTAATGAATTCATGCGTCAGTCGCCGAAAACATAGTGCATGTGATTCCAAACGAAGCGGCCAAAGAGTTTGTAAACGAAACCCAGGAAAATAAAATCTTCAGGGATAATCATTGTTGAGAAAAATCTGCAATCTGGTTTTTATAATCCTAAAATCAGTTGCAAGCGGTAAAACTATGGAGCAATACTGTGATCAATCCACCGGCATCTCCCAATAGGAACTACAACAGTTATAAATTTTTCACAAAAAAAAAAAAAACTACCGATAATTTTCTAATACTTGATCGGCAAATCCTACTCGAGTGGGTACATTTCCGATGCTCCTTCAACATTATAAAACATCTATTTTCCTTTTTCTATAATTTCCAAAAACGAGAGACTAATAGTGAGAATAAAAAAGCTGGATATCAGATAAAACTAACAGTGGGAGCATGAAAAAAGGTGGTCTTTTTATTTTCCGGCAGATCCTACCAAAGTGTAAAAGCGAGGACTTACCCATAGTGGAGTCTAGTGGGTTATTACGAGCGAAATAATCAAGTGAACTCGGAGCATTTGCAGGACATAAATTTATTCCCATTCGAAACAAATAAGGCGTTGCGGTGGTACACGACTGGGCACATGTTAATGAAGTTCTTGGTCGGACCCGGAAATTCCCCCTTCGAATATCTACAAATTACCTTCCGAGCAGAGGAGAGGAGGACCTTGCCGTGGCGTCGTCACTGCTGTAAGAAACTCGGAGTTTGGCCAGAATGGGCTATTTCTTGATGAAGAAGCTCCCCAGCCCCCCTCGCTCCAATCTCTGGAGCAAGCTCTTGGAGCCGGGGACGTCCTCCTCGGAGAGCTTCTTGAGGTAACCGATGGCGCCGTAGGAGATCATCATCTTCCTGCTCCTCTTGCTGGCGGAGAGGAGCAGGAGGCAGGGGACGGCGTACTTCTTCGCTGTGTTGTGGGGGCTCGGGTCGAGCAGCTGGACGAGGTTCGGCACGCTCCGGGAGTCCTTCTTCACCTCCCGGGAATTCTGCGTGCAACTCATCAAGTTCGACAGCGCCTGCGCCGCCGCCTCTCGGGAGCAGCTGTCCTTGGTTTCGAGCATGGAGATGAGCAGAGGGAGGCAGCCGCACCGGCCAGCCGATTTCCTCGCCACGGGGCAACTGGAGATCCTGCAGATGGCCGACGCCGCCGCCCGCCGCGCCTCCAAGGAGCCGGCTTTGAGCGCGTGGGTCAGCCGGGGAAGGAGACCCATCGAGAGGAGCTCCGACATGGCGATGGAGCCGGCCAGATTCTTCAGGGCGACGACGGCGGGTTCCTCTGGCGAGGAGCCCTCGAGGTGGAGCAAGAGGCTGCTAACGCCGCCCTCGGAGACCACCGCCCTCCGGAGATTTTCGCCTCCGGCGGTGAGATTTTGCAGGCACTCGGCGGCGTGCTTCTTGGTGCTCGGCTCGACTCCGCAATCGTCGAGAAGGTCGACGGCAAGTCTGATGGCCCCTTCGTCGGCTAGGTCCTGGAGTACCTCGGGGACGGCGGAGAGGTTCTTCAGAGCGCCGGCGGCGGCGGCTCGAGAGGCCGACGGATCGCCGACCAAGCAGAGATCCATCAGGGGGCGGAGACCGCCGTGGCCGACGATCGCACGGGCGGTGCTGGCCGACGTTGAGAGACTCTCGAGCGAGATGGCGGCCTTCTCCCTGCCCGCGAAGCTTCCCGACTCTGCCAGCTTGATCAATGGCGGGAGGACGCCTTCTGAGACCAAGGTACTGTCGCAGCTCCCCGACTCTGCAAGCGAGCAGACCACCGACGCCACTTTCTCTCGAAGCTTGGGCGAAGGGGCAGTCAGCAGCTGCACCAGGGCGGATATATTGCTCCGCCCGAGCGCCGCCACCACGTTCCCCCGGTCCTCTCTCATCATCTCCAATAGGCCGTCGAAGGCCCGGTCTTTGGCCTCTGCGTCGCCGATTTGGATCCTGGCCAACAGCTGACGGAGATTTGACGGGGAAGATGTCGCCGCCGGCGACTCTTCGCCGGAGCGAACACATGGCGGACACGAGAGGGTGGCCTCTCCGAGAACCCCAGTCTTGATCAGCAACCCGCAGTCCCTCAAAATCAGCTCCAACTTACCCGCCACCGCGTCGAGGTCGCTCTGCATCCGCAGCTTCCCGACCGGCGGCGCCGCCTCCCCGCCGCACCTTCCCGCCAGCGCGATGACCTCTTCGAGAATTTGGCACGCCGACTGGAGCTGCTCCCCGCAGAGAGCGTTCTTGGCGAAGCAGGGGTGGCTTGAGAGGTCGGAGAAGCATGGCGGCACGCGCTCGAGCTTGGAGATGATCGCGTTCCACCGCCCTGCGAAGCCATTGGCAGCCCTTGCCTTCTCCAGAGCGGCGGGGAGGAGGCGCCGAGCTACGCCGAGTCGGCATTCCGCCGACAAGGCATGCACTGCATCGTCGCCGCGACAGGCGGTGGCTCTGCCGACGGGGTCCTCCGGTTCTTCTACCATCGGTCGACCTCACCGGCGACGGCGAGCTCTGCTATCTGGTTAGGAGAGATGGAGCAGGAAGAGTGAGATGGAGGAGGCGGAGACCCAGAAATCCATTTCATCTGACGGGCAAGGTCGCGACGGAATCAACAAACGCTTGGTGACAGAGGAGATAAAAAAAGAACGGCACTGGATCAGAGAACAGCGTAAGGTGATGCAGCCAAGCTCAGAGGAATCTGCCGGAGATCAAAGGCGAAAGCCATCGGAGAACGGAGAACATTCACACCTCCCCCTCCCCCTCCCCCTCCCCCATTTAATGCGCACCCCAGTTCCTTCGCCCACATGAGCATGTGGAGAGAGACGGCTTCGTGCTCGCAGGAGAAGGCCGTTCTGGAGAAGAGAGAGAGAGGCGAGAGAGAGAGAGAGAGAGAGAGAGAGAGAGAGAGAGAGAGAGAGAAGAGAGAGAAGACATCAACTGCCTGGCTGGCTGGCCTTCACATGTTCATCCCGGCTAAGATGGCGAGCCCTAGCGTTGATGGCCTCCTCAGAGGCTGAAACCTCTCGAGGAGACCCATCCCCGGGAGTTAGAGAGTTAGAGCGAGACAGAGAGGATGAGAGTGAGAGATAGAGAGAGCCCTCTCAATTCTCAGTGGGTGAAACGATGGGAAGTGGGGGAGGTTTTCTCAGTGAGCCTAGAAATTGCAGAAACAACTCGAGGTAGAGAAGCTCATCGAAGCCCCCCTCCGGGCCAAATCCTGAGGAAGGAGACAACAGAAGACGCGGCGAGAATCTCTGCAAACAAATACCTCTCAATCCCCACGGCGAAGAGCGAGAGGATCCACTGCCGGTTCTGTTCGTCATCTACACATCCTCCGCTTTCTCTTCTCTCAGTGCCGCTGCAGCCTTCGTCGCGATAAGGCTTCCGACTTCGCCAACTCTTTCTGCCCCAGCAAAAGAACTTTGAAGCTTGAGAGAGAGAGAGAGAGAGAGAGAGAGGGGGGGGGTGGCCCTTTCGAAATCGCCCGTCTTCTTTCTTCGCAGAAGCAAAGGACAAGGGAACCCCACGAGAAGCGTTTCCTCGGTCAAAGCAGATGACTGGAACCAGGAGGAGGAAGAGGAGGAAGGCGTGGGGCCATGACAGAAGGCTTGCCCTGGGCGCTTTAATAACCAAGCAAGGACAAAACGGAACTCAGACGAGTTGCTAAGGAAAACCAGAACCGCGGGCGAAGAAGACAACCCTGTGCACAGTGATTCCTGATACTAAAACCCTACGAAAAGTCGAGCAGAGTCACAGGACCCACAAGCTTCTTCTCTCTTCTCCTCCTCGCTCTTCCAAATGGGGAGATCCCCTTCAGCCGTGGGATTTCTGATTCGCCGCTGGTTCTACGACCGTTACGGCGGCGTCTGAAATAACCCCGGACGGGGGAAACAACGAGACACGACCGCTCTGAGAAGAGAAATCGAAGTCACGGCGGTGCAGTGTGGAGTGGGGTATCTCCGACATCCCCCCACGGAGCCTGCTCCGGCTGCTCACGCTACCACGAACACCTCAGGTGGGCGCGTCCAGCTGGAGGAAACAGCTGTTCCATTTACTGATCTCAAACGTCGCTGCCACCCTCCGCCGGCCACCTGTCCGCCGGCCCCAAAGGAAAGGCGGAGCCGCCGCAGAGCCCCACCACCGCCTCCGGTGGCGACCGAATGCAGCAGCCGGCCTGGGGAGGGTGGGGGGGGACCGCCCGGTGGCGGTACGGCGGTGAATCTCGGCCGTCAACGAGGGGCGATGTGATGATGGTGGGGTTTCGTTGCCCCCCAGAGAGAGGAGAATGGTACTGCACACTCAGAAGCATGGAGGCCACACACTGGTACAACCCCATCTCAGGTAAGATACCAGGGAGGATAGGCCTAGCAGTCTCTCTTGCCCTGTACCCTTCAGTTCTCTCTTCTGACTTCCACCATGTTCCCTCTCGTCAACGCCGTTCTTGACGGGTTCTAGTCGCAAGTCCAATCCGATCCTCATTTTATTTTATTTTTTAAATGCATGACAACAATGCAAACTTCCCCCAAAGAATATGAATCGTCAGGTTCTTGCTACGTCAGAAAATGGAGAGAAAAACCTACCAAGATGGGAGCTTTTTCTGTTGCACGTATAAACCCACAATGTAGGATCTCTTGTTCAGATTAAACCCTTTAGCCCAATCTGTCTTTCTGTATGTGGAGATTTTCCACGCTTAGACCGCAACCATTTTTCGAGGCCACTAGTGGTCTACATCGATATAGAGTTAATCAGAGCTGGAATCGGGTCACCATCAGTTCATAGGTCCAGTGGAGGAAGGGGACGGGAGATGGATGTAGAGTGGACATGGCTGCAGGTGCCCAATGGGAAGATTCCCGTAGGGCTTCCGAGCGACGGCTCGGTCCGGCGGGGCTCTGTCGCTTCTCTGTGGTCCAACGGTTCAGGGCTCCTCGCCGGCGGCGCTGTCCGGGCGATACGATTGGCTGCTCTCGATCCCCGCTGGAGACGGCGGAAGAAGCGTCTAATCTGCTGTTCCCTTTCTCCAACGGCGGCTCGGCGCCGCCGGCACCGACCAATCTGGTTCTCCCCTCATCGGTTTCAGAAACACGTCCCCTCGATCTCCCAATGCGGCACGGAAAAGCTCGGAGAATGAAGCTTCCGAGGCTACCCGGAATGTCAACTCTCAGATGAGCCGGCTTCCCCGCTCGGTGCAGAGATCGGGAAAGGAAGAGGAGAAGCTGTTGTCAACTCACTTTATTCTTTGCTTTCATCCTCTGGATCTAAATGCGAACAAAGGGCCCCTTCAAAATCTAGTTACAGAAAAGAATGGAAGGAGGGGAGGGAGGGGGAGAGGAGGAAGGAGGGAGGAAAAATAAGGGAATACCAGCCAAACCCAGAACAAGAGGCAGCGGAGGAGACGAAGAGGACACGCCCCCCCCAAATGTACATCAACTGGTGGACCGACGACTGCCCGACACAGAAAGCTTCAGAACAGCTCCCAGTCGAGCCGCGGGGAGGGGCTGACGGCGGCGGGGGCACCGCCGCTAACGGCGGCGGGTTGGATGGGAGCAGCCCTCGACGGAGGTGGCGGCGGCGGACCGGACAACAGATCAAATGTCTCCCAATCTGTCGTCACCACCACCGGCGGCTGAGAGACCCTTTGCTGCTGGCGGGGTGGCTGAGGCTGATGCAGGTGGTCGAGATGCGGCTGCTTCTCCGTTTCTCTCTGGGCTGGCTTCATCTCAACATCGGCCCTGGTATTGGAGTTCTTGACCTTGAGGTTGTCAAGCGTCTCCACATATTTCTGGACTCTCTTCACCTGCAGCGCCACAGCAGCCAGTCAGAGAGAGCAGGAGATAAACAGGAGGAATTGGGAACCGAATGGCCGGCCAGAGAGATGGTCGGTCACCTGTGTTTTCCTCTGCAGCTTCACGTCCCCTTCGACGACGAGGCCGTCCAGCTTGAGCAACTGGTTCATGAGCTGCTCGATCAGGGTGATGACGTCGCCCTCCGCCACCTTCTTGCCCTTGGACGCGATGGATTCCAGCGTCGAAACCTGCGGGGGGACGAAAACGAAGGCTCTAACAGTCAGCCAGAAGAACGGGGGGAGCCGGCGACGGGGGTGGGGGAGACGAGCAAGCTCCACACGACGCACAGATAATGATGGCTGGCGACCTTGGTGGCGAGCTTGTCGACCTCGAGGCTGATCTGGGAGATGGACTTGGCGGCTTTCTCCATCTTGGCGTTCTTCCGCATCTCCAGGAACCGCCGGGCCTGGCCGGTGGGGTCCTCGACGAGGACGATCTTGGAGCGGTCCTTCACGCCGGAGGTGTCCAGGTACGCCGTCGACTCCCTCTCCTTGTCCTTGTACAGCAGCTTCTGGTCCTGCGGGTGGAGGCCCGTCCGCTCCGCCAGCAGCTTCTTCAGCTCCCCTACATCGCCACCGCCACCGCCACCATAAGTAAACACTACTCTGGTTTAAAGCAACAAGAAGGGAAAAAACCAGGGTATCCTGCTGGTATTTACCGAAGGTTGCTTGAGAGCTGAGGTAGATCTCGTGGTGGGCAGAGCCATACTTGACGCGTACGCGGATTGTGGGGGCCGGCGGGCCGGCGGCGGAATCTGGGCTCCTCTTCTGGACCAGCATCCCGCAGGGCCTCACCTCCCACTTCACGTCCTCCGGCTGCGGCGAGCCTCCGGCAGGGTGGGCGGCGGCTTTGCCGGCGGAGACGAAGGCCTTATCCTTCACGGGCGCGAAGGCCGGCGCCGTGGTCCTTGCCCGCATCATCTCGGAAAACCTACCGGCGGAGAGGAATGCTGAAGCAACTCCTGGAGCTGGGGCTTCGTCCACCTGGTCGGATTAGATCTCCTGTCCTCCACCGGTGACCGGAACAGACGACACGGCGAAGCAATGGGAGAGAGGCATTCCACAGGATTCTCGGGAAGAGGAGTAGGAGAAACCTCTTCTTCAGATTCTTCCTTGCTATCCTCCAACAGAAAGACTCTGCTCCGCCCCCGGCTCCTCTGCAACTCGCACTTCTACCGCCTCCCCTTTCTTCCCCGAGCACCGCCGCGAAAACCAGCAGGAGGCTGGAATCTGTCGGACCCTCTTCCCAAATCAAGAGGAGACTCCCAACTCAGCTCAGATCTCGAATCCACAAGAACCCAGAAGAACCAAACAACGATCTGATGAAGTCGATCGAGGAACGAGAGGAAATAACCTAAGGGACGGGGGGGAAAACCAACGAGAAGACGAGCTTCCTGGAATAGCCTATAACTTGCCTCAGCTGCGAGGCGTAAATCGGCGAGGGACAAGAATTAACGAGCAAATGCTCTACTGATATGCAGAGGCCCTTGAGAAGGCGACAGATAGAGGAATAAGGAGAGGGTAGAGGGAGAGAGTGCGAGCAAGCGCGCGCGCGCGCGAGAGAGAGAGAGAGAGGGTAGAGAACCAGAGAGTGCCGGCGAGGCCGCAGGAAAGGGGGGCGGGGGCCAAAAATACAGAGAACAGGTCGGAGAATATTTATAATATTAAAAATTCAGCCTTTAAGCCTGATTACTCTACGTAGAGCTAATTATTTTGCTTCATAATGGACTAATCAGTACCTGAAACCATACCTATCGCCACCATATTAAATCTATAGAACCCACCTTTACAAAAACAAATAAAAAATAAAAGGAGCATCTCTGCCTCATTATCATGGTGAAAACCCCCTACCCTTCCATATCATGGTGAAAACTACAACTCTCTCTCTCCCTCCCTGCCTGCCTCTCAACATCCATGTCGCCTCTCTCTATCTTTCCCCGGAAGCTTCCATGGAGAAGGGGAAAGCATCGTAGCTCAGGGTTTCTGCAAATGGCCGTCCTCAAGGGGATCCCTCCGTCGTTCCAGTCGATGCCGAGCCGACACGGCACGCAGGCGCTTTTGCTCCGCTTCGGCCGCACTCCATCCGCCGGCTCCGCCGCGCGCCGGCACGTCGCCGCCCGCCCCTCCGCCGGCAGATCGCGTCGACTGGAAGCTAATCCTTTTCCTTTCCGCGTCGCTCGCCTTTTTAACCCTCCGCTGTCCTCTTTCGGAGCTTTTTTATCTTGTCGCCTTGCCGGCAGCGCCTTCCGGCCCCGCGCCAAATCTACCGCCCCGCTACCCCACACGCGGCCAGCGGGGCGACAGGCGGCGTAAATACTCCCCCCCCGGAGGCCTTTTCCGGCCAGGCGTAGAGCCCGCCAGCTGTAGAGACGAAAGATCATCTGGGTCGTAAGGGGGGGAAAAAAAATCCGCCGCCGGCTGACGGCTGTCACCGCCTTCCTCATCGCCGGCGCCGCCGCGGCCATGCCGCCACCGACACACCGGAAATGCCCCCGCCGCCGTCCGCCTCCGACGGAGTTGCCTGAAAAAGACCCAGCAACTGCAGCGGGATAAAACAAAGCGGCTGATGACGTCAGTACCCACCCCAACTCCCCCATTTCGCATAAACTATGGAAGAGGGAAGGTTTCAGCTCGGCATGATTGATTGATTTTCATCATCATCACGATCTCAAAGGGATAGAAAAACCCGGAGAACAGTAGGGGGAAGATTCGCACGGACGAGCCCAGCTTCCGCCGCCGGCCCCGGAGGAGGTGGGTGGCCGGAAGCTCTCCGGTTGCACCGTCCAGGGTCGGTCAACCGCCGCACTAAGGCAGCTGTCGTTTGCGTCCCCCCCACCCCCACGGCGACGGCTGGGAGGCGAGAGGAACATCTCATTCAATTGCCATAAATAGTTGGTCCTCGGGTATAATTAGCCTTCCCACTGTGTTCGTCTGTCTACGACGAGCAAGCTTCTGAAAGAATGTTCCATAGTCGAACAATCTATACACAAGCAGCTCCCTCTACCCTCACCCAACCCCCCTCTCTCTCTCTCTCTCTCTCTCTCTCCATCTCTCTACCTATATTTCCCGTTTAGGGTTAACAAGCAGGGACGCGAGTTCTCATGGTGACCACCGAGACCGGAGGGTGACGAAAGGACAGGAAAGGAAAAGGTCGAGATGGGAACAGACCGTCGGTGAGAGGCCTCCGTCAACGAGGGTCGCATTCCCCCTCGGGAAGGCGACCTCCGGCCGTTCTTTCCGCCATCTACTTTCCTTACCGGCGGCGACCCGAGATTTCGACCTCTCAACCAAAGACGTAGCTCGGCGAGGATGACGACCCCCCGCCACCATCACTGCTCCCATTTTTCCTTTTTTCGCCGCCAGCCCCATCACTGTCCGGCCATTTCATCGAAGACCCGCCGCCCCTCACCGGAGGGCCATCAAGCATCCCTCTTGGAGCCGCCATCACCGCCGACGCCAGCTTGAAGATGATGTCTCCCTCGGGCGGACTCTGCACTGATCAGTTCCCATTTTCGATCCGGGCCGACCAAGAAGGTTCCACGTCGCCGTAGACGGAGATGAGGAGGATCGATCTGGTGGTTCACCTAACCCCGCCAATTTCTAGAGGGCATCCTGATGGAGGTGGCATTGAGGGCCAATTGACCCATCGTCATCATAAGTTCAGCACTAGTAGTTTATTCTTGGCATAAACTGTTCCCCCAAAATATGTGCATGGTGATTATTACAAAAACCGTAAATTTCTAGATTAATCAAGCAGCCCACTAAGAGCCCACCTTCTTCCGTAAGGTTCTGCTTCATGGTAACGTGCCCATTTTATTTTCCACGCGTAGTCGTTCTCGCCCAGCTCATCTCTCTCTCTCTCTCTCTCTCTCTCTACAGGTACTAGGTCAACCGGGGCTCGGCTTAATCACGGATCTGCTCCGGTCTCATCGTCCGGCCAATTCAATAGCCCTGACGTGTCTAACTTGAGAACTCGTTTTCCAGACGTCACTTCGGGATGAGCAAAGATCCGTACATCATTAAAAGATGGGTCAACGTTTAGCTCGTTGGCGTCTTCCTAATTGTACCTAGTTTCGTTCATTAGCGCGCTCCCATTAACATTAACGGGCAACGGTTGACTTATCTTCCCGGGGTGTCAATCTCACATGATCTTTGATCCAATCATGCTTTCTACGTCAATCATTCAGACAGTTTTGACGTCATGTTAGCTGTCACATGCGAATAATTAATACTAATACAAGTAATAATAGTTGTAATAATAATGATGATGTGAATGATATAGTTTTTAGATGGTACGATTAGAAATTACCTCCAATGCAAATGTCTGCATAGTTGCATACAACTTTAATGTCGATAGGGCGAGTGGAGCCCAAGGCCGGCCAGAGGTTGACTTGGTGACGGAGTTGGGCTGCAGCATATAGTCTAAAGATTTAGACAGAATTTGTCTGGATCAGATTCTAGCCGGCTTAGAGCTCAGTTAGTGAGCCCATTCCCTCTCGCCATGTCGATGTCCCACGATTACCCACGTAGCAGACACCCCTCTCTCTCTCTCTCCTCCTCCCTCCATCTCTTTCCATCTCTCTCTCTCTCTCTCTCTCTTACTCCATTAAGATTGATTATTTAATTAAAGAAGAGTCGTCAAACCAATGAGCGTCAAAGGTACTACTAGCCGCTCTGCGGCATTTGAGTATGTAGATGGTTCATTGATTGTGATGACGACGAGAACTTGGGTTTTAGAAATCCCTCGCCTCCACCGATCTACCTGCCTAGGCCGGCCAGCTCATATATCACGGGCGAATTGACCCAAAACCATTGGTCGAGACGTCAGTCAGCTCCTCTTCGCGGAGTTTCTGGATATACATACCTAATCCGTTCCGCTGAGTCCGGAGGTCCACGGCGAGGAAGAGAGCAGAGGGTTGAGATGTAGAAGGAGAAAACTGACGATGAACCCACCCATGTACTTACTGCTTCGGGACATCGATCGGCCAGCGGCAGGATCCGGCGGCGCCGCCGCTGTTGGTCCGACCGCTCTTCTGTTCTCATCGTCACAGCTGTTATCATTCTTCTTCCATGGTTGGGCGGACTCAGATCTCTCTCTCTCTCTCTCTCTCCAACGAGACTTTCCCCCGGGTTGGGTCTTCCCCCCCCCTCTAAAGCGCAGACTCATGAAACAGTGGGAGAAATAAGGACCCATCTGGGTCATTTACGTGGACTTTGTTAAAAGTCAAACCTTCTAATTATCTCCTATCTAATCTCAAAACTACTTGGTCTCTAAGTCGGCGACCTGGATGCATTGCTCTTCAGCTCCCGCGGATACGAAAATTTTGGTCTTTTGGTTAGTTATCTGTTTCATACGTACCTAAGTTCGATAATATGAATGCATCTTCGTTTGATTGACCTAATAATTAGAGCTCAATTCTCAAATTACCTGACTATTGACAACAATAGAACGCAGATTTTTTGATGCCGTAATTTTAAGTAGAAGCCACGCATTGAGAGAATCAATGTTTGACTTAATCTGCTGACTTTTGTCCAAATGTAGTCCTAGATGGTCAGCTGAGATAATCGCCGCAGCCCAGTAGGCTTGGAGACAGCTAGATCCGCCGCAGATCAGTGGGTGTCCGCGGAAAAGATAAGGTTTTGAAGTGGAAACGGCGGCGGTCTATCTCCTGGGGAGGAACTCCTCGGGATAAGCCCTTGGCCCCGTATGGCGGCGGTGGGATGCACGGTCCGGGCGGCGCTCTGCAGCAGGAGCCGTAGGAGCTCCGCCGGTCGCTCCGCCATATCCTGCTCCGTCCAGCCCGCCCAGAATTCCATCAAGGTTCCTCTCCATCTCCTTCCTGTTCCTTGTTCCAGCATCGGGGGGAAGAATGACCAGAATGAGGAGCAAAGGGTTCATCGTTTTTCTTCTTTCTCGCAGGTGGTGATCAACGGGGCGACGAAGGATATCGGCAGGGCTGCGATCGCCGCGGTGGCCAAGTCCAGGGGGATGGAGGTGGCGGGCGCCATAGACTCTGCCCTCGTCGGCGAAGACGCCGGAAAGGTCCGCCCCTCACGACAGACCCGCCGGAAGTTATGGCCTTCCGGCGCTTGCTCCGGTGGAGTTCCTTCTTCCCTGAGGATTAGTGTCGTCGTTGCTGATACCAGTCCCGTGGCTGCTAGATATGCGGGTTGGAAGAGCCTCTGGAGATTCCCATCATGAGCGACCTCACCATGGTTCTGGGCTCGATAGCGCAGGTTCTTCTTCCTCTTCCGCTCCTCCTCCTTCAGTTCCCCATAGATCAAGACGATGACGACAACGATGACGCCATCTTCCCTCTCTGACAAGCAGTCGAGAGCAACCGGCGTCGTCGTCGACTTCACCGATCCCTCCGCCGTCTACGACAACGTGAAGCAGGTTAGGGCTCTAGAAGCCTTTCTGTACGCAAGCTCTGGAGTTCATGCTCCTACCCAGAGCCTTCTGCTCTCCACCTGCAGGCGGCGGCCTTCGGGCTGGCGAGCGTCGTCTACGTGCCGAAGATCCAGCTGGAGACGGTGACGGCGCTGTCCGCCTTCTGCGAGAAGGCCAGCATGGTGAGCCCTCGCCTCCATTGAGCTCGCCTCACAAGGACGGACAACCTCCAGAAGACTGACCAGAGGCCGTCGTTCTCCCTCGTGCTCCCCAGGGCTGTCTGGTGGCGCCGACGCTCTCCATCGGCTCCGTTCTTCTCCAGCAAGCGGCGATCCAAGCCTCGTTCCATTACAGAAACCTCGAGATTGTGGAGTCCAGGCCGGACCCATCGGTAAGCGACGTTTCCCCCTCACTTCTCCGGAGAGCCATCCATCGGTGAGCGAAGCTTCGCCATTCTCCCATCTGCAGGACCTTCCATCACCGGACGCCAAGCAAATCGCCCGCAACCTGTCGGACCTCGGCCAGATCTACAACCGAGAAGATCTCACCACGGACAATCCGGTAAGTGCCCCAACCTTGCTGACGGGAGGAAGAAGACGACTATAATTCATGGCGGCCCTCCTGGTTTGGATTTCCAAGGCGAGAGGCCAGCTTCTCGGCGACGACGGCATCCGCGTTCACAGCATGGTGCTCCCAGGGCTCGCTTCCAGCACTGCAGTCCACTTCTCGGGCCCAGGGGAGGTGCGTCATCTTCCTCTCTCCCCTTTACCTCTGGAAAGCTCTTCGAACCAGATAGCGGCCCTTGACAGACTGTTCTTGATGTTACCAGGTCTACTCTGTTACACACACCATCACCGACGTGCAGAGCCTGATGCCCGGCCTGATTCTGGCAATCCGAAAGGTCATTCGCTTGAAGGTAACTCCCCCTCCTCCCCTGACTCGGTTCTTCTCTCACTGATCATCAGAAAGCTTACGTTTCTCCCCCGCAGAATCTGATCTACGGCTTGGAGAAGTTCTTGTAGACCGCAGAGTTCTTCCTCAGTCCTTACTTCCAGAGGAACCCGGCTTCTCCCTCTCTCTCTCTCTCTCTCTCTCTCTCTCTTTCTCTCTTTCTCTCGCCCATTTTCCATATATGGGCAAAATTTTCCCCGTTGCAGAGAAACGGGCATTGATTTTGGAATATAAGCTTTCGTCATGGGAGCCCTGAAGAACTGAAAGAGGAGCTTTTCGACTGAAGATGAAACAAATATCATATAAATATAACTAAATAAATTGCTTGAAACCCCCACGCGATATTAACTCACTTTAATCAAACTCATTAAAATGATTCAAGATGGGTAATCCAGAAGTATGCCCCACTCAAACTAGGGTTCATGGCCGTTGAGATATACAAATTATAAGATTTTTTTTCACAAAAAAACCAAATTTCTGTGCAATATGACTCCTCCTCTACCATCTAATTATCTTGTTCCAACCCAGCTGGGCAAATATTGCATTTTTCCAGCCGATTGTTCCCATGAAGTAGGAAAATTAAGCCTTCCGTTGAGGAAAGAAGAAAATATCATGCGGAAATTTCAGCGCTTACAGCATTTCGACATGTTGCATTCATACCTTGGAACTTATCTGCCATTACTTTTATCCAAGCTCGGTCGCTATCTCTGTACGCATATCTTGCATTAGATGCCAACAGGACGAAGCCTTCAACGTCCCCGCCTCCATCTCCGCTCGGATCACGAGCTCCATAGGTCGGCTGCAGCAGCACTGAAAGTGCTCCCTTGGGCAGTATTCCCATGAACTGTGAATCTGCAGCCAATGACTCGGGACAAATCCGAGGGAGAAAAATTGATCGCCGTGGAGGAAAATATATCTTCAGATGAAGCAAAGCAGCATGATTATTACTAAATAAAACATGGTTTCCAAGCATCTCCCGAATATAAGAAACTGGCATCATTCTGCACTATGATATGATCATGAAGCACGTACTATAAATATATATTGATTAGTTAATATTAATATACATTTATGATCCTATCTTCATGAAATTATTATGGGCTGTCTAATAAAATTGAAAGAAAAAGAAAAAAAAAACCATGGCTGGGAGGGGTGCAGTGCTCTGTGAGAATGCCTAGCCCTCCAGAATGATGCAAAGACAGGCCATTGGATTCTACCTGCGCCCAGAGGAAAGTACAGCGGGTCTTTCAGACCGGTCAACCCTGTTTCTCGAATCTCTCTCCGAAATAGGTCAAGTATTTGGGCCTTCGAAGCCTCTTCGGGAACATTCCAGTAGCCACGAATGCATAGTTTGTCACCAGCCGATATAAGCTGGCCAAGAGAAGAGGATATAGTCAACGAAAACGTTCCAAAGAAAAGCCAGGCGGGCTATCTAATGCAACGAAGACGGATCTGAAATGATACCACAGAGATCGTATTCGTGTTTTGCAGAATAACATATGAGGCCCAGGCGAGATCTTCCTTTTGGATGCCTGGCGCATCCTCTGAGATGGCGAAAATCTGGGTGTTTCCTTCTGGTACAATGGATCGATCCGCAGGGCCGGTCCCCTGGGCACACAAATCAACCAAATTAGAATGACATCAGGTAGAAATATGAACAGAAAATTTCATGGGTCGGTCCCAAATTTCTTCACATTTCCAGAACTTTGCCACAGATATCGAAGACGAACAGTGAAAGTCGACGGGAATGGGCAGAGCCTGCACCTGGGCCAGCTCCAAGCATAAAGAAGGTATATTCAACTCTGTAACTGGGGGTGGAATAGTATGAACCTAGAACGGAATGCACAAGAGGGATTCCAATGAGGGTTTCTTGACCATGGAGACAGCAATCCAGACACCTCTGCATGCGATTTCGAGGCCTTGGGCATCTGAGGATCTCGCTTCGCTATGGCATTAAGATCGTAAAAAGGAATTTCCACATAAAGCTGTCGGCTTTGGGAGTCATCAAGTACTTGACACGGCTATCATCTGGGGACCCATCTCGGATGCATGAAATCCTCAGCCGGTCTGACTTCCTGGAAATGGAATCTTTATGGAGGCATCAACGTGATGGCTAGAAAAGATCATTGGTTGAAAATATAAGCTAGAGATCGAAAAGTCAACAGCAAAAAAAAGACAATCTGGTTCTTCAGTAGTTTCTTCGACGGACAACGTTCCGAAACGGCCATTGGCAGCATTTTTCCCGGAGCTTACCCAAGAAAAAATGAAAAATTGAAAAAAAAGAAATCCTCAAATTTTCTGCTTCGTACTGAAGATGAAATCCTCAAATTTTCATCAGTCTCAATCCTAGCGATGTAGCAGGTGACAATAATGGTATATCTGCGATCAAAAGGCATCCTTCCACACATCAGCACAGGTTAAAAAAAATAACATTCAAACCCCTGATCCAATTTAATGAACTGTTCTCTGAATATTCCGCAAGGCTGATAAAATAACATACAAAATGTCCTGTTCTTGAAAACTTATCACCCTCCCTGGTGGAATCATCTGCCTCTGCTTCATCAAAAGGGTTGACTAGAATTACAGGAAAAATTCCTCATTTCACACTTCCACTCCTCTCTACTCATTAACAGTAGCTTATAATATTGGAATATATAGTCCTCAAGATCTTTCCCACTTCAAAGCTGCTCCCCCACACTTTCTGGGCCTCCTATCCTTAGAATCAATAATTTCATAGGACTAAACCACACAATCTCCTCAGAAAATCGTTTTCACCTGATTTCATCACCTATCAGTCACTCTTATTGTTTCGGCTTCTTCCGTGATCCCTTCTCTCATTCTGATATACAAGGTACCGGGTTTCCTCTCAATTCGAGGTTGTATCATTATTGTTCAGTAGCTCTGGCAATTGTGATCCTCTCACAATCTTCATATGAACAGTCTGCGTCTACCCTCCATTGTTGATATTTTCATCTCTGTCATCCTAAATTGTCTTCAAGCATTTGACTTCTAAGCATTTTGTGAGGAAACGCCATGGCGTTAGTTTCTTTAGACACAACGGGTGACTTTTATGCTCATAGGTTTTCTCCTCACTCAGAGTGACATCATGTGAACATTCAACAGTTTCTAGCAGTAAATGTTGACATAATACAAAAATTTCAACTTCGATCAGAGCCAATTGATTTATCTATTTTAGTTAAAAACTGCGGATAGTCAACTCCAGAGTCAATGGGAGAAAACTGAGGGCGATACGGTACCTTAAGAAACTTCCCAAAATAGGGGAGGGCGAAGGAGAAAGCGGCTAAGCAAATACCCAGCGCCTCAGATCTCTGAAAAAAAGAAATAGTAGTTCGGGCATCTGGTTATCATGAAGAAACCCCAGGAAACAAGCAATTCTTGTCCATAATCACGAGCTGTTTTTTATGAGTTCCTTAGAAAGAGGGGGAACCAATGGGGATTGGATTGTGGAGCAGACCAGCTGAGCAGGTGTTGGGGAATCAGAGGAGCCGAGGAGATGATTCAGGACGATGAGGGAACCGAACGCCAAGCCAATGTATCTGGGCAAATAGGACTCATCCAACCCTGGGATTCCTGCAACGACAACCATCAAAATTCTCTAAATCAACTGCATCAGCGCTCCAAATTGTCTCAATGGCAGCTCCGAGTAGACAGCAGGAACGTACTCACCGAGAGTAAACCGAAGGACGGAGAAATTGAGCGCCTCCTGCTGCTGCCCCCCGTCCGCAGAGTCATCCAGGCGGGCGCTGACGACCATGTGGCGCCTCCTCCTGCCGCAGCGGCTGCGGGCGGCAGTTGCGACGTCGACCGCGTCCACAGGAGGGCGCGCTGTCCTCGAAGCGAATGACCAGCGTGAACGGCATCCGCCGCCGACAAGAAGGCCGCGAGGGAGGAGGAAGCCCGCCGTAGGGTTCACCAGAGAAGAGCACTCCCAAGCCATCTCTCTGCTCTCCTCTCTCTCTCCCGCCTCCCTGCGGGAACCCTTCGGAATTCGAATTCGAGGCGGCTATCTATGCATGCATCTCTTGGGTATCCTGAAAGATGTGCCCGACCACCGGGAGTACAGCGGATGGTCCTCGGCGGAACTCCGGCGACCTCCGAATTGATGGGCTCAGCCCCTCCCTTTTGGACTTACAGTCGGATATCTTTCAAGAAGGAAAATTTATCCTTTTATGAACCCAACAAAAAAAAAAAGAAAAAAAAAGAACACACACCCAGCTTACATCTCCCGGAAAAATCCGAAATTTTCGATAACAATGGCCGCTGCAAGTATATTAAAATACCCAAAATCATAAAATGATCAGGGGGATGCGCTATGAACCGGCAGGAAGAGTGAGCCAAATGTAATCGAGAGAAGCTCGACCATCCAAACAGATGACTGCACTCCCGGAGATTATCAAGATCTCAGGTCAGAGGACACCGCATCCGTGGGGATCATCAAGATCACAGTTCACATATATATACATATATATTGGATCACAATGATGAATTTTTCTTAATATATTCCGTGTAATTTCTCCACCCACGGGTCAACTATGAATAAATCATCTACAGGAGGAGGGTCGCATGCCCCAAAACGTCTAGAAGATCGACACTTGCTCAATTCGAAGCTAGTGCAAAATAATTTTTTGTATGGTTACCCACCCATATTGGGTAAGCCACCCAGCTTTGGATCATGAGGACCTGAGCAGAAACCTACAGGTCACCTTGAAGTGCTCGAAGAATGTAGGGATAAAAATCATGATCAACTGGGCACCAAGGATTGCTTGGCCCTTGCCGAAGATGGGCTCAACCATGTTAAGTGGACATCACTTTGATGAACCTAATTAATCGTGTGCTCTGGCCAATGAGTTGTGCAGCCTTACAAAGTCCTCCAGAGAGAGCTCCTCTGGCCTTGCCTGTGATTTTGCAGGCAAACATTAGTCAACTTGAAGACCAGATTACTAAGGTAGCAGAAAAACAATAAAATAGCAGCGACCCACTGTAACAGGGAGACCAGCATCGCTCAGGGCTTCTTCGATCTCAGAGGGTGTTCGAAGATGCTGGAGAGATTTACGGAGCATCTTCCGTTTACCATTGAAGGCAGAATTCACCTGCATTAAATCATCACTAGGTTCAGAATCGGTAATCAGATATGGGAAGAGAATTCTACAAAGAACATCAGATGGAGGGAGATAAATTTTCCCAGATGGGTTCAACGTGAAACGAACCATAGAAAAGAAGTCTTTGACTGATGCGACTTCTGGATAATCAGTTGGTCTCTTTAGCTTGAACATGACGACGGCTCCATCCACCTGTCGATGCCATTCATATGAAGATGTTCAGTACTTATACTGATCATGACAAGCCATAACCAATCAACGTACGGCTAAAGATCAAAGAATGAATGCCAAAAACTAAATGTTTTCACTGTAGAAAAACCAAGAAACACGATGATATTTTGCTTGATATTAATTTCCTCACGCACACCTCATCAGCATCGTCCTCAATTAGAAGGATGATGCGATATGACAGCAAGCAGACTGAGAGTGCATATGCTTCATAAGTAATGATATCAACCTTGAAGAAGCAGTACTCACATTGGGGCGAGGGAAGAAATTTGTTCGGTCAACCTTAAATCTGTATTCTGCATCTGAAGGAGACGGAAGAAAAAAAAATTCTCACAAAAGCTATTTTTTTAACAAAAAAAAAAGGAACAAAAGGTCAGGTATTTTTCTTATTCTATCACAGAATTTGAGCCATCTTCATGAAAACCATCGTACCTGAGAAAAAGTTGACAAAGATGTTGATCGCGCGGTACTCTGATGTTCTTAGTTGGGAATCTACCAAACGAAAAGCTGTCTCGTCCTAAAACATTCAGCTATTCAGTATTAAAGGCCATTAAAGCAGCTTAATAAACGTTGCATTTATATAACAAGGCCAATCTCCTGAAGATCATGATATTCTCACAAATCGGAAAAAGAATTCAAGAAATAATGGCACACACTAGAAATATAATGATAACTATTGGCCGAGATGCCTACCCAGGAAGGCAAAGACAACCACTCTGTCAGAAACCTATGAAAGAGTTTATACTGAATCTCCATGCATGATCACCTGTGGCATCATTAATATTTGATAATGTGACATAACTCGAGTATCCACTTATTTATTATGAATCAGAAATTTCCATTCATCGAGACCTCATTTTATGACCTGTATTTGTGCCTGAAAACTTTCACAATTTGAATGAGCCAAGTGGAACTAATCAAGGCTCATCATTTCGTATATTTAATAAGCATAATTGAAAGTTCGACTGAATTTCTCAATATTGATGATTGATCTGAAGGGGACTAGGCTGAGTTATCATAGAATCTGTCCACAGATGCATGTTTTTGCCGTGTATGAGGAACAAGAAATTAAGAATCATCATTGAAACCAGAAGCATGTACCAAATCGCTCAGCCAATTTTTAGGGCAAAATGAATTAAAAAAAATGTCAAACCTGTAGTAAAAGCACCACATCAGAGAAGATGTCACCCAATGGCAGAAGCCGTTTTATTATTTCTGTACTTATGTTGAACGGTACATTAGCAACCACCTACAAACGTATTTCAAACAAAGTTACTAATAAAAAAGTGCAGTGCTTGCATGCAAGGCATCCTAAAGAAGGTATAGCTGCAAAGGCATGAAAATTTCATACTGAACTATGTAAACCACGGTAAAGCATTACTAACAACAGTAATTCTATTGTTTTATTTCTAGGAAGCTCATTTCTCCTCGCTGAACAGTTTTCATTCCACCAGTTTCCCACAACAGAGAGTGAGTAGATCAACTAGAATTATCTTGTCCACAGAGAACAAAACGGTTGATACACTAACGGAAATGAGTAAGGAATTAAAACTAGAACGGAGATCTACAGCCAAGCCTCTGGTTCATAGCTCAAGTCAGCAACTATTAGATTATCGACATACGAACTTGAATAAATAAATAAATGCTTGACAAAATGTTCAATAAACATCACATAAAAATAAAATGATTGCATCCCTATGTTCCCCGCCCACCGATCTGAGGAAAAGATTAAAGATTCAAAAAATAATTGAAAAATGGTAATGAGCACAGTTGACCATAATGGTTGCGTCATGGGGACACTTTGGCAAATTCAAGACGATGATGAGACGTTGGCCCTATGTTCTTTATCCTCAAAGGCTACAGCAAGCCCAAGCAATGGTAAGCAGCCCTGAACCTAATATGACTGAAAAAATTTAAGGACAATAACATTTGTTCAACTAAATTCAAGCCATGATGCGAATCATTTGACTGACTTTTGTAATGGTTGCCAAGACCCTCTCGTCGTGCCTACACCCAATACTTTTATGGGATCTGCACGATAATGAAGGGCATCCTAAGCATTCTCAATACTGTAGATTGATCGATGATACTGTTACTTTCTTGCTGAGCATGTTGCACTTGTCATTCCCAAGTTATTTCCAACAGGATCCCAACAGACCCGCATCATCAATATAAGATGGTTGCCTCATGGTGGTCTGCCTCTAATTGGTCAGGCTAACCTCCATTTTCGCAGTAAAACGAACACACATTTTGATGTGTTTCTCTAATTGGTCAGAGAAACACATCAGAGTGCCTTAAACTAGACTCGGATTAAGACTGAAAGTCGCACAGCTAAATTTTTCTAAAGGAAACCATTTTTTTTAACTCTTAAAAATTAAAATATGATGTCACATCTACCATCCAATTTCCATACCTTTGAACTTGTTGATATTCATGGGGGAAAACAAAACGTAATTACTTAAACGTTCTTGTAGCCCGTCGGGTCATGAAGATATTGTATTTTTAATAAGGATACTGTTCTTCAACATCACTCATGTCCTCACCTCTAGGTATTCTGTGGGTCTCATCTATAATATATTTCGCTTACACAGACTAAGAGCCTTTTGACCTTTAATCATAGAAATATAAAGCCAGCAATCAAATCTACCATAAGCTTCTTGATTGCTCACCTTTGCATGTTTAACACCACCTCCAGTTGATTTCTTGCTTTCTAACAGCTGGCTTACATGTGAACTGACATGACACTTGGTGAAATCTTCTTGCAAAATCTGCAGGCAATAGATTAAGAAAGAATTAAGATTACATAAAAATAAAGTGTTAGATAGAACCGATATTAAATCCATAGTTTAATCAAATAGGAGTCAAAGACCATTTTCTAAAGAGACAGAGATATCCCTACAGGTCGACCATTTGTAGCAACTTCTTGGTGGCAACGTGAGTATTTGTTTTTTCACAATAATTAGACACCAGGGGAAAGATACCAGAGCTCAGATCTAGTGCAAAGGCATCATTATTCATAGTTGGCACTAAGATCAGAGGACAATAAGGTCATGTTTCTCCTTGGAACATACACCACGAAGAAGAGCAATCATGTAAGACATGCATCGATTGGACTCTACATATGTGATTCCACACTCCAGGACAGATGTGGCACGCTATGGAAAGCTCATGAACTCTCTTTCCTAATATGTACATGGAGAGAAATACTTATCAGAAGAGACCTTAAAAAATTCCTCGTCCCACAATGATTCTGACTGGTTTGTCATGGCAGCGAGTGTTTTGGGCGGAGCTCCCTGATAAGGGCTTCCCCTAAGACTACAAGGGCAACCTTTGAAACTATGGTGCTAAAAACAGAGATTATTCCTCAAGCATACGATTGTGCACTTCCAAATTCAAAGCTAAGACAAAGTTGACATGTTGATGATACTTGCAATATAAAGCCTGTGTGAGAATTATATACGATCTGTGAAATGGCCATATACTGAGGAAAAAAAACTGGAATTGCTGTTCAGAAGTTCAATTCCAGGTTCTAGTTTAGTTCCGGGGAAAATAATTCCTAGTGGAGGAGGATAAAGATGAGGCCCTCAAAAAGGGACGAAGAGGAAGAGACTAGTATCAGGAAAAAGCAGAGACGGCGGGGTTTTTATTACTTACACAAGTTGCAGGTCTCTAGATCACTTACGTAGAAAACAAATGCCATGAGCTGCATCTCAATCAATGAGCTCCTATTTTCACTCATATCTTACCTTATCCGCAGGAAGTTGGAGCAAACATAAGAATTGGGCACAGAGATGTAGAAGGGTTGAAAAAATGGAACAGAACTAAACCCATAAGCCGTTGATGAAAACAGAAAAATGATGTAACATTGTCTATTCCAGAACAATTTAAAAAAAAAAATTCAACAGATTATCAAAAAACTTGCCAAACCGGTTTGGACCTAGCCAATTCCGTCAGTTCCACTTGTTTCTCTTTCAACCACCATTTTTGTATGCCAAAGAACAGTGTATTCCCTGTGGCTGATCATAACATACCTACCATGTTTGGCGTGTACATAACAATTTTAGACCAAAGAAATCGTACGCGTCATTCTACACATGCATCACGCTAGCATGCTTGGTAATTCTTAAGAAAATGATGGCCAGAATCAATGATAATTCGAAGCTCAAAAGTAATGAGCTTCGAACCTCACCATCAGGCTATCAACGCCTTCAAATCTGTCCCTAACAAGTGTTGCCATGCGTGGATCCTGCAATAAAAAAACGTTTGTTATGATGAAAAGAGAAGAGTTGAAAGCAAGTGTCTTCTTCTTTTAGGTTATTATTTTGTAAGGAACGAAAGTTCTGTTGTTTAACAAAATTTATTAACAAGGAAAAAGGTAAGAATGTGACGTTTAACCAGCAAAGTATATATATTAGAAAACATCAGTAAATTGTCTTTTACTTGCCTTGCCTTAAGATTAGGGATTTCTAAAACTCTAATACGATCCAGGAATAATTAGAAAAACCGAAAGAAATATTCATCTGGCTCTCTTCAGAAAATTTATAAATAATATACATGCTTAAAAATCAGGAAGTATTAATAAGTTATCATGTAATTCTGATTACCCACACAGGAACCGGCGGACAATTTCTCCAATGTCATGGGTAGGTAAACGTAATTGTGCAATATGGTAGTTTAAAGCAGTATAAAGCTGTGCGCCAAGTCGATTTAATTATTGAAATGTTTGACAGAAAGAATGGTAAGCATGCTTCATTAAACATTAAAATATTGTTTTACACTGATGGCATCTACCATGCTAATATTCTTTAAATAGCATGATGTTGATTTGATACAGAGACATGCTTCACAGTTCATACCTTGTCACTTGTAAACTCATGACATTACGCTTGGAATTTTTCAGTTGTTAGTTTAAGGATAGTTCTAGTTAGGTGTTCTTTGTCACCGGATAGCTCTATTTTTAACATCTCATTCAATGATAAACCAAGCTACAAGCATTGACGAAACACGCTTTTAACCTTCTCAATTGCGATGACTGTGGCACCAGAGTTGATGAGAACATTGGTCAAAGATCCTGTACCAGGCCCAATTTCTAGAACCACATCACCGTCTTTTACCTCGGCTATGGAGGAGAGTTGCTCATTAATTGAAGAGTTGACCATGTAATGCTGCAGAAAACATGGTATTAACATCAGTCACCGCAACATGAAAGAAAAATTTACCCTGCACATACCGGGGCAACTATTTGAGTATATTTTCATGCAGCAGTACTCATTTTCTATTCATATAAAACAAGATCTTGGTATTCCTTTCAAAGAAACATATGCCACAGCTCGTTAAGATTATTTACCAGGTATTATGAACCGTTTTGAGTGATGCAATAAACGAACCACAACGAACATCAGGCAACATGAAGTTCTGCAGAAACTGATTCTTGATAGCATAATCATATGATGAAAAGCGCATAGAAAAGTTTGAGCTGATGCGGGACAAACTTAAGCATGAAGTATCCGTCACACTATGAACTAATAGGAAAGCAAGAGCAAAGTTTGAGACTGCTACGTTTCCATGATGAAGCACAGTTATCAAAGCGACAACATGGTCAAAAAAATCAGGCTAACAAAAGGTGGCCTTTTTTTCAGCAGAATTTCTGACTAATATTAGTCTTCCCCCAATTTTCACTATGGTTCTTCCTTCAGGATACTACTATGCGATGGAATTATGGAAAAAATAAGATAAAATTCCCTACAATATATCAATTTTTTTGACTTAGTGTTTCACCCTTCTGCTTGTGTTGACTGATACGCACGAAGTATCAGCTATATGATGCCCTTCTCCCTCAACCAAAAAGAGGCAATATAAAGAAAAGTTCCTGGATTTTCTAGTTCATGTCACTTAGTTTTTATCCTTTACATCTACGAAAAAGGTTGCAGATAAACAACGGTAAGAAACTAGTGATCACCACCTGGCATCCGACATCCAAAAGATTTTATCCAATGCTTTGGGACGACTTCCTGTCTACGATATTGAAATTTCATTGTTTCTAAGTATTGAGGTTGATCCGAAAGCATAAAATTTCCTTTAATAGCAATTTAATTGGTTCCGGCAGCTTTCGTTTAAGGCATCAGGACATGCAAGAGGACCCAAAACCGTAGTTAGAGATTGGACAGAAACCAGCTAGATGAGATCACTAGACTTGTTGAATAAACTACGTGCATATTGAATCACAGGGATGCGGTGACTGATCCTCCAAAAAAAATAATTCACCATCCAAACATCTCCCAGAGTGATTACACAAGGTCACCTTTAATCACCTCCACCGGAGACATGAACTCAAGAAAGCTTTTCCATCAGTTCTTGGCCCTCCATCCTCACTCACATTTGACCCCAATCCTACACAACCTCCACAGTCTCCCATTCAGGCACTACAGTCACAAACCTTGGAGTGCTTGAGTCATGGATAGCAGCAAGGTTTCCAACTTGCTCTGTGGGGGGGAAGACCACCGAGGCTTCCGGCCTAACTCAATGGCATAGGACGTTTCAATTTTTTAAGAAGCATGCGGCGTACTGCGGAGCAGGATATTACCTGGCCGAGGGACTTCCTCGGGGAGCGGCGAGAGCCCGTGGAGTTGAGGGCCCGGAGGGTAGAGTGGAAGTCGTCCGTGGCACCCTCTCTGCCGTCGTCGGCGACCACCCGGCGGGAGCACCGAAGAACCGTAGACACTCGGCTCGCGGTACCACTCGGCTCGCGGGTTGAGAGAGACGTTGCGGCGGAGACAGACGGCGGAGACCGCAGGAGGCACGCCATGAGTCGCCTCCGTCGTCGACCCCGGCACAACGGACCACTAAAAGATCTCGCCTTTAGGAGTAAATGGGTAAGGTGACACGTAAGAGATTCTTCCCTGTTCCCAAAATGATCGCAATTGCCAGGCTCATGAGATCAAATTCAAAACGCCACGAATTTTCTTTGCTCTTCCGCAGTTGACTTTGTTTTTCATGTCTGATTTCCCACCAAATTGTCAACACGTTGACCTAGGGAGATACGAGATGGATCTTAGTTGATCTTATAAATTTTCTTTTCTATTTCTCCACATTTTAATTTATACTTTATAATCTGTGAATCAACCTAGAAAGGGGTGTTGTGCGCGATGGGTAAGCTTCCACGTGTCGTCCCGTTAATGGCGTGCCCGATGCTTCAGACAGGAGGTGGGCTGTGGAGGATAAGCCTCCAAGCCATCTCCGGAGAAAATGTTCGACGACTGCCCTTCCTCGTGCTCCCCTTCCCCCTCCCCGCCATTAATGGCGGTTTTCAGCTCGGAGAGGCTGCTGGCCTACAGCCCTCCCCGCAAGAGCCCCTCGAGGACCCACTGGCCGGTCGCCGTCCCCCTCCGGTTCATATCGCTGCCGCTGCACGGTCGGAGGAGATTGGTGGTGATCAGCGCCTACAGGTCGCCCTCCTCGTCCCTCCTCGAGGAGTCCTCCGATGAGGTTGCCGCCGGCGAGCCCCAAGCCTTCCGGCCGAAGCCTCAGAAGCCCGCCGCCATCTCCGATGGGTTCATCAAAGGGCTGGCCAAGAGCCCGGAGATGGAGGCCCTCGCCTACGATTACTACCGGAAGGCGAGAGCTCAACCGGAGTACCAGCCGGACAGGCAGACTCTCCGGGTGCTCATTCGGTACCTGCTCAAATGCCGTCAGTGGGACTCCATCTCTGCTCTGTCGGAGGATTTCAGGGCCTTGGGCGTGTTCCCCGACGCCGCCGCCTGCGCGACGCTCGTCGGCGGCTGCATCGGGGCCCGCAAGTTCAAGCTCGCCGAGGCCTTGCTCAGGGCCTTCCAGGACAAGCCCACCGTCGCAGCGGCGGCGTTCGGCGCCGCCATGCGCGGCTACAACAAGCTCCACATGTACAGCAGCACCCTCGGAGTGCACGAGCAGATGAGGGCCGCCGGCGTCCCGCCGGACCCGGGCTGCTGGTGCTCCGCCATGGACGCCCACCGCAAGCTCGGGAACACGGACCAGGTGTTCGCCCTCTTCCTCGAGATGGGCCCTTCTTACCACTCCGCTCGGATCTACTCCATCCTCTGCGACTCGCTGGGGAGATCCGGGAGGGCCTTCGAGTCGCTGAGGTACTTCAGGGAAATGATCCAGAGGGGGATCTCGCCGGATTCCTCCTCTTATGCCTCCCTGATAAGCTCCTTCGCCGGAATCAGGGAGGCGGAGATCGCGGAGGACCTCTTCCAGGAAGCCCGGCAGAAGCAACTGATCAACGACCCCGCCGTCTTCCTCAAGCTCGTGCTCATGTACGTGGAGACCGGAGCTCTGGATAAGACCCTGGAGGTGGTCCGGGCCATGAAGGAGCTCAAGATCGGGGTCTCCGACTGCGTCTTCTGCGCCGTCATCAATGGCCACGCGAGGAAGGGCGGCCTCCGCGCCGCCGTCAGGGCCTACGAGGAGCTTATCTCCCTGGGCTGCGAGCCGGGGCAGGTGAGCTACGCCTCCGCCATCAACGTCTACTCCCGGCTGGGGCTCCTCGCCATGGCGGAGGCCCTGTTCCAGGAGATGCTCGACAAGGGCTTCGACCGCTGCGTCGTCGCCTACGCCACCATGGTCTCCGTCTACGGCAGGTCCGGCAGGGTGAGAGAGGCCACCAGGCTTCTGGCCCGGATGAAGGAGAAGGGCTGCGAGCCCAATGTCTGGGTCTACAACTCCCTCATCGACATGCACGGCCGCGCCACCAATCTCCGCCAGGTGGAGAAGCTCTGGAAGGAGATGCGGCGGCGGCGGGTGGCCCCCGACAAGGTCAGCTACACCAGCATCATCGGCGCCTACAGCAAAGCCAAGGAGTTCAAAGAGTGCGTCAGGTTGTACGAGGAGTTCCGTATGACCGGCGAGAAGGTGGACCGGGCCATCGCCGGCATCATGGTCGGCGTCTTCTCGAGGAGCGGCCGGATCGACGAGCTGGTCAAGCTCCTGCAGGACGTGAAGGCCGAGGGGCTGCCGCTGGACGAGCGACTCTACGCGTCGGCCATGAACGCGCTGAGGGACGCCGGGCTACAGACGCAGGTCAGGTGGCTACAGGAGAGCTTCCCCTTCCCGGCGGCCAAGTCCTGACGGCGGCGGGGACTGGTTTTTTTTTCCGGTGGGGAATGGGAAGGTTCCCCGGATATTCCGGGGCTGATGGGACTTCCGGGAGCTCCACGTCGGAGGTGCTGCCGGCGGGTAGGAGGAGCTCGAGAGGACGAAAGACGCGCGGCGGTGTACTGATCACAGTCTTCATTTCATTCTAATTAAACACCCGGAGTTACATACTAAATTCAGTAAAAAAAAAAAAACTGGTTCAAAATAGGTCATTCATCAGCTTGCATGCAGATTATGTAACAGAGCAAGTTAATTATGTGCACCAGAAAAAATTTAATTTTTTTTAATGATCATTAATTATGGAACCCCCAATGGAACAAGCTGGACGGATCATAAAATCCCTACCAACTTACCAAATAGATCATTAAAACAGATCATAATGATCCGGGATTTTTTTTTAATACATATAATAATCTTCATTCAATTCTCACTAAACACCCAGAGTTACATCCAAATGATAAAACCAAAGATTATGCCTCCATAAAAAGAAGATTTTGAATCTGCAAAAGTCATTAATGCGAACAAAAAATGGAAATATTCAATTCATTATCAGAATCATTACAGCTCTAGTAGACCCAGCTGAATAAATTGGAAAACCCTTCTGACTTGCCGATCAGTCAGGACCAACTTCATAACAATTGCCTGAGATCTATGAGTAGTGCTGAAAGAACTCAAACAGAGACCATAGAATGACAGCTAAAACAGTATCTCTGAGAAAACCCAAGAACAGTTCTCTGACCCACCCGTTGGAACTGGCTCCAGAGGGCTTGGTGCCAACCAGATCACGGAAACGCAGGTCTCCGAGGTCAGATACCAAGGCATACACTACTCCGTTCATGTGACCTTTTCCAATCACCCCAACCACACGTTTACTGTTCTGTACTGCTTTGCTTCTCTTTAGGGACCAAGAAAGATACTGAAATTGAAATTGTACAGAGCAAAGTTTCAGAATAGGGTATTTATTTACTGGTTTAGTTTATGTATTGTGGAAAAATCCCATCCGAGAACGATCTCAAGAAAAAGTGAGAGAATTTGTACACAAAATTCTCAGCATGATAGGAATGGTAACATACCGTGTCCCGCTCATGAATGAGAGGCTGCAAGAGTGAAGGATAGGAGAGGCTAAGCTGCTCATATAGTTTAAATGGGCTTGCATCCTCTTCCTTTTCCTACGGTGTAGTGCAATAAACACTCGTCAAATCTAATATTCAATGAACAATATAAGTTGATAAGCTTAATTCAATAAAATTTCACTGTGATATCAATTTCTTCGTAAACATGAACAAGCATGTGATCCACCACTGCTTAGTATTACAAGGAAAACAGAAGAGAGCATGATCGGCAAACGTATTGCCAAGATAAAATAAAATATTTTTTAAAATAGAGTCAAAGGGGATAGTCATAGTAACACTGCATAAATGAAGTAAATTTTTTTACTTTAACCAAGATGTCTATCCACGTTGAGCTCTCTTGATGTGCATGAAATGGATGATTCTCTTAGAAGGGGATTTGAACATATCCTTGTCATAGTTGAACTGAGAACAAAGAAAAGATGGTTCCTTTCACAGACAAGGTTCTAACTGGTTTATGTCCATACGCTCAAGAACAATATACTAATTCGATCGTGAAGTTAATTAGTTTTTATTTCCGTAAGTGATCTTGAGTTATTTCCTTTGTGTTACAAACCAACTTAAGAATATGGTTTGAAATGATAGAAGAGGTAAAACGTTGCGAAAATCAGTCCATAAAAATATAAAAGCGTGATGACAAGCAATGTCTAGACCAAAGATAATCCCGGTGGACGGAAAAAAATGTGGCAGATACGGTCAAACATTTAAGTGAGAGTCAAAGAGATGCGCCTTAGTTTCTTGGTAAAATATGAGGCCAGTAAGAAAATAACTTTTAAGAGACTGACCAAAAGAGTTGGTGAGGCACCGATCTCAGGACTTCCTGCAGTCAACGGGGAAGTTATTCCTTGAAAGAGCGCTGTGATCAGCTTCAGCTTCTCATTCCATTGAAGAGATCTCCAAGCCCTTTCAAGCTGAAAATAAAATCAGCTACCAACATGAATTTTGACTCTAATAGATCCTATCTCTTTAAGCTACAACCTCGTTCAAGTGAAAGTACGAACGGTTATTTCAATAGGTCGATCTCCCAAAACTAACTGAGCACCAATCTCTTCTGAAACTCGCCGTGCAGCACGAAACTGTACATTGAAAAAAAAATCTCAATCAAATGATGCCGAATACACGTATTATATTGAAATAATCCGCAGAAACTTCAACCTGAGAATACCTCATTTCCAAAAGCCTGTTGGGAACCAGAGGATATCTTTGACGAATAAAATGCCAGAAGCAACCGTAATGCAAGGGCAGTTTGACCACCTAAATTGCATAAGATGCCAACAAAATATGACGATCCCTTAGGTAAATTTGGCAATCCATTTGAAGTTTTTACAACAGAAAATAAAAAGGAATTCATATCATTTAATGTTCATTGTTACTGTCGTTTAAGAGTTATCATGAGGAAGATCATCTAACTTCACTACGGCCAAGTTGGCAATTCTAACTGCTAACAAATTTCGATATCTTATATGGAGGCTAAATTCATCCTAAATTTCTGATTAGACATGATGGATAGCCGAACAATAGACAACTCCCTGGTGCTTTAATCCAATTTACAGTTTTCTAAAAGCAAGGCTTTGAAATGCAGTTGAATAATCACCAATTCGCAAGGGATACATGTTCAGTGACTTGAGCAAAGATTAAAGAGCGTTAAATAATTTTAATCAATACCATAAGTTTTCAAATCAAGCCAATTTCTCTAAAAAGCTTTAAGCTATCTTCACCTATTTAATAATAACTTTATATATTAACTGCGGTTACAAGGATTGGGATTGCACGCTGAAAAAATGAAGCTGCATAAATAATACTCAGTCTACATGCCACAAGAAACCTCTTGTAACAGAGCCCCATTGGCTGCAGGGTGGTTGGCTAAAGGAGCTTGGGTTACGATCTAAGAAGAAGGGGATGTGGGTTTCCTATTATCTCCATAGATTTACCGATTATAGTCAGGTTCACTCAACATCCAAGAAGAACTATACGTTACAGAGTATGAACTTTATGAATCTAAATTTCAGCTAATGATCAATGTGAATCATAATTAGATATGTCATTAAACTTTTCATACGGCTTAGGATCATTTCCCTGTTGCTTTCATGATCTGGGGAAGAATCCAGTTACACAGTATGCTATTTTATTAAACAATAACTTTCAAAAAGATTGAGAATACATATTTTCATCTAGATAAAGGTAGAATGAGCTAAGAAGAGGCCCTGAGGCTTATACTCAGAAATATGTAGACAGCCTGAGCCCGCTCTAGATACGGTGAGAAAAACCAAGAAGCTCATAATTGTGGTCTAGGCAATGAAAAAATCTTGGAATCTATGTGGGCAACCTTCCGAACATGAGATATTTGTAACGAAACTCTTGCAATCTGTTCTTCATAGTAACACTAAATAGAGATATCCATGTTCATAATTTCTAGAGAAAATGGACTCAAACTCTATGCCGGTGTGTTTGGAAGGAAGCTTACGCATGGTCCATGTATTTTTTTGCTATCCAAAGATAAATTGTGTACTTGTTTCCATTTTTACTGGAATTACCCTTCTTTTTACATCTTAATACTAGCTGTTGTGCGCACTAGGCAAAGCATGCCTATAGTTTACGATCATCAAATCCTCCCCCTCAAAAATACTATAATGCCAAGCTGAGTAATTCGCTTAAACATAGGCAATGCAGCTGCATATAGAGTTGAATGATTCCACCAGACCATGTTTTCTTCTTATTGACCATGGAAAAGGATGAAGAAAACAGATAATAGTATAGAATAAAATAAAAGTAGAAAGCATCCCCCCATCCCCCAAGAGGAAAAGACGGAAGAAAGAAAATAACAGTTAAAACAGACGTTTAATTGAATGATTGTGCATACCCAAATCCAAACTACGACCAACGGCACCTAGAAATTTAGACCCAGTTAATGAGAACATGTTTGATTTTGCCAGTACTGAAGGTTCATCATCGATAGAAGTGTACATTATTCCAGCTCTGAAGATGTGTTCTGCAAAACATTGGTTAGGCTGTGATATTCAAATAAAAAAACAAAACAAAACAAAACGAAAAAAAACTGAGTCGTCACGAATAGCGCAAATCTGTCGATAGCTACTTTGATAAAATCTTAGAAGGGGAATGGCACATAGAAACCATTCTGTCGGGAGAGGGGGGGAAAGTAAGCAATTCGGGAGAGAGGAATGCGGAGAAAGAATGGACGATCCTTGCCTGCTCCTGCATAGCTCCACCACCACGTTATCGGGAGTAATGGCCTCAATCACCCGCACCACGTCTACAGCGGACTGCGCTGAGATGTGTGACGTCCCAACAAGCCAGATAACCTCAGGTTCCACAAAGGCGCTCCGCCAGCTCGGGACCGGCCCGAACCTCCTCTTCTCCACCACCACCAGGCTCCCCTTCTCAACCAGGTCCATCAGCTCCGGGTGCTCCCTCTCCACGGTGGACCGGGTGTCCTCCAGCACCTCCAGCTTGTAGTCGAATCCCGCCGGCGGCGGCCGGATCGACACCTTGGAGATGACCGGAGACGAGACGTAATGGCGGCATCGGAAACTTGCAGGTTTTGGCCCCCCCAGCGAGAAGGAGGTGGAGAAGGAGAAGGACTCCATGGCCACCTCTCCCTGCCGCGGACAGCCACCAGTGGTCACCACCGGCGGTCCGATAGCCGGCGGGAACTCGATCTCCCAAGCCCCACACACCGCACGAATGGATGCCTGTGAACGCGCCACGTGGAAGAGAAGTGATTCCCCAAGACGAGATAAATAATAAAGTATTTTTGGCCGTTGGGGAGGCAAAAAAGACTACTTATCGGACTCCGCAATTTTTAGACGAGTTTTCAAAAGTTTCTGGACTTTCAGTAAACCCCTACATTTCAGATAAATACATTTTATGTACCAGCAGTGGTTCTATAAAAAGTTATATTCGGCACGTGGAAGAGAGCTTGATTCCATAAGACGGGATATAAAAGGTATATTCGGCCGTTGGGGGGGAAATTGCTACTTCAATTAGACCCCGCAATTTTTATATAAGTTTTACAAGTTTTCTGGATTTCCTATAAACCCTTATTTTCGTAAATATTAAAATATTCCTTGCCAATACCTCAATTTATGGTTTTTTAGGGGTCAGAAAAAAATTCTCTGCAAAAAAAGGGGTCAAGATGGAGGAATATGAGAAGGCTGGTGTGAGAGTGAGGCTTCCACGAGGGAGGGCAGCACTACCCAGCGGCTAAGGGTCCGAACCCCCCTCTCTTTCTTCTTCAGGGACTCATTTAGGTAGATATTCTATCTAATTGGAAATCAAGAGCTGGGTCTCTAAGCTTCCTATCGCAGTTACTCATTTCATGCATGAGTGAGATGGTCAACGCCTGCTGTAGGTCT